GAAGCGGATTCTCAAGAGTGAACTTGTCAAAATGTATGGCTAAGAGCTTCATTGATTCATCTATGGACTGTGGGAGAGGCTGGCTATATACTCTATGCCAAGGATCACCAGCCTCTCCTTTCGGTTGACACGTGAGATTCAACAGAACTTCGCTTCATCGAACTGACCCAGAGTCTCTCGTGCGGTAGGTCAGGCAACCGTGGCATCCAGTCAGCTGACTTGCTTCACTGCCTTTCTTTCTTCAAGTTGCTTCACTACGTTTCTATGTTCAAGTGGCTTCATTCGCTCAACTAGGATCTGCCATCAAAACTCTTGCAATCAGTCCGCTGACCAGGAATCACGTTTGCCCTTCACAATGGACGGGTGTAATATCCGCTGTTTCTTATGCGCGGCCTCTTTCCACCGCATCCGTATGATCTACGAAGATCATCGTGGCGCTGTCAAGACCGACCTTGTACTCCCAGAGGCTGTCGAATGGATGGGACGATTGAGACTGATTGGGATGGAACGATATGCACTGTTCAAGCCAAACGGGGGCTCCACCATCGCCCGGCAGTACTACCTCTCTGGGCTCGGTCGTTAGGCGGAATATGACATGGCAGAGGTCATACCTAGCAACGACCCAGCATTTCCCATTGATGCACGCCCCACTTCAGATGGTAGGTTTGCTATCGATGTCTATTGTGACGACAATGGCTACCAGACCGGCGCATTGCCTTTCCATCCCGAATGTTTCCTGATCTTCGTCAAGGCGCTAGCGAACGCATGCGGCGATGCGACTATCACGCGTTTTGAGGATGTTGACTTGGGTCGCCTCTTCGAATGCCTGTCACCAACGCGCGAAATGTGGCTGAACTGTCTCACCCTGGATTATGGCGAGCTCATGGAAAAGTCGAAACGCGAGCAGCATTTCTACATTAAACCGGGTATGGAGGTGAGTAAGGAGACGCGGTTGCACCTTCACTCAGCAATGCATGTAGGCTAACCATGTTTAAATAGCGGGACGTTACGAACCCGGTGGATATGCCTGGGCTCCGGGAGGTCTTCGAGCGAGCTACGAAACCACAAGGCTTCTCTGACATCAGCGATAGGTGAGTCAAAGCCAGCATCACACTGTAACCTAGTATTTGTCTTCTACTCTCTTTTAGGCGCTCTTTACCGAGCCCATCAGTCTCGCCCAAACCGTACCACATTCAGTTTTACACAGCAAGCCGCCGGTCTGATAGAGAAGTCATCTAACAGATCAAACAGGCCCCCACCGTAATCTGTAGCGAAAGCCAGCAACGATCCATTTAAGAGGCTGCTGCCGGAACTGAACACAGAGATTATGTTATATCTCCCAACAACGTCTTTCTTCACCCTTATAACCGAGTCCCCCGCCGCTCATGCCGCCACCCACTCGAACTGGTTCTGGCGCCGCCGGTTGATCATGGATATGCCGTGGATGTGGGAGTCATTCGACCCTTCATACGTGCCGGAAAAGGGATCCGTTGACTGAAAGCTGTGTACCAGAGTCTCTACAATGCTTCGTTCGCGCCGTCGGACACTGATTCAAGCCTGCTTGGTCTGGCCAATCGGAGCCGTATCTGGGGTGTTTGCGAGCAGGTACTGAAACTCTATCTGGGGTATGAAGAGCCGAAATAGCCTGCGGAGCCGGAAGAGCATGAAGTCGATTGAGTGGAGGGCGATGCGGGGTGCGTGTACATGCATCACTCAATATTCCTCACGCCTTAGCGCTGTCATTGCGGGAAGATGCGTCAGTTGGACTCTGAGCCAGACGTTGAGGAGACAGGGGGGCTTAAGATGCGCTGGACTTATGGCGGGCTGCCATGCATTAAGCAGAAGCCTACAAGGGGCATTGGGCGCTGTGATTACTCGATGGGGATCTGTCGCTCTCCGACAAGATTCGGGCTCGTCAACAGATACGCTCAGCTAGAGCCAAGCACAATGAGGCTAAATATTTGTAATTAAACCAAATGCGAGAGCTCATAGCAACACAATCAAAAAGTGTGAGGTCCAAATTGCAAATGATGAATCATGCACCAAGCCCCTAGAGAAAACCAATGCTACCGGCTAGGTAGTTCATTTCTGCGGTGCGTCTAACTATTCCTCGATGAAACGCTCAATCTTATGGCCCTCGAGTTCCCTAATTCCTCAGGATCCTTACCTGCAGCGTCGACTTCGTATACGTTCTCAAATCGCAGGTGCCGCAGACTCTTGCAATCCCCAAAAATCTGCTGTGGGTCTGATCCGCTCCAGACTTCGTAGTGACCAACGGTAACTCCAGTGAGGTGAGTCTTGCCGTCGCCGATGCAGCGGAGAAAATCTTCCATGAGAAAGAGATAGGAGAACGAGAACTCGAAGCTGTAGAAGAGATACGATATGGCTTGCTGATGCACCTGGCGAGATACTTGGGAGAGTGCGAGGCGGTTGACCGCGTGGTAGCGTGCGAGGAGCAGTTCCGGAGCCACCCACGCTTACTGAAGCTAAAGATGACGATCGCGATCTTCTCCTCCCCTTCCGGTTGGAGATAGTAGTCGTATATCTCATTGCGTAGCTCCGCCGGCAATTTTATATACAGGGAACGGGCGCGTGTCTTGGCGTCCAGCGCCACTGTCATCCAGGGCTTTGACCTGCACATTAGTTTTAGCATTGGGCGCATAGTAGTAGTAGCAGGCAGTGCTTACTCTAGTTCTACGGCGTTTTGTAACGTCTGATGCAAGAGCAATGCCTACGGGCGCCAGCGCCTTAGGGTTCTGTAGATGGACGGAGTCGTCAGTTTTGGATTTCGGTAGGCAGCCGTAAGAATCGCTCACCAGAGGTTTCTCGACTACTGTCTCAGACATGAGGCGAGTTGCTGAAGAATGCTGGTATAGGACTTGCGAAAATGAAGCGATTGGTGGACGCAACGACGCAATAGCTGGCCTGCAGCATTCGAGGAAAGGGAGGAGTTAAATGGGAAGTAGATGATGAAGGTAGATAGAAGAAGCAATAAGGTCTTTTCGTAACTCGTCTATCAATTGAGATGGCTGGAAAGACGAGAGCCTCCATGCCTCGCCCAATAACGATGGAAGCGCTACATTGACGGCGAATCACGGCTTTGCTATTGCAGGACCGTAATACAGCGTGGGCTATGAATCCGGTCAAGTACGTTTCTGACATGCCGTACCCGGACTGCCACATTATCCAGATAACACGCCTTTAAGTCCCACCGTATGAACTCACTATCATTTGTCGCCGCTTCTGGAGTGCAAAATAGCTGATGTGCTGGGCGATGCGGGTGATGATGGCTTTCTAGAGCGCCGAACAGGATCGTGAAGGTAGGCACACGGATGTAGGACTGGCATATAATTAACTGTGTTAAAGCGCACGGGTAACACGAGAAACCTTTCTTGTTGAACCTGTGTACATACACCAAAGCGCTATCAACAAGACAGCCCGCTAGAAACTCAACGCGCAAAACCTCAAAAGCACCATTCCACGCTCCCCCATCCCCTTCCACCCAAAGTGCCACTCAAATGATGATGTCCAGCTCCGGCCTGGCCAGCCCGTCTTCCTCCAAGTTCGGATAATACGGCACCATGGCGTCTGCACTCTGAACATACGCATCGTTATATAACCGCCAGTACGGCTGCCGCACCTTCCTCGCCGGGTGAAACAGGCCAGCCCAGACATAGTTCATGACCGTGCCCGTGCCAACAGCCATCCTGATTGCATCAATCGCCTCGACGATCCTGTCGATGACATGGGGGCTAGTCTCGAAGAGATTCGGGTACAGCAGGTTCAGCAGATGCAGCATCGCGTCCTCGCAACCCAAACCTACAACACCGAGCGCGACGTGCTTGACGACTGAGGCGGCGGTCTGGCGATGGACCTGGTCCCGGTCGATGAGCGCATCCTCGAGGAGAGGCGTCACCGCATAGACGTAGTCCTTTGCCATCTCGCCGATGTACTCGAAGAGGAAGGACAAGCTCTTGAGGACGCCGTTCTGGACGTTCAGCTCCGGGACGCGATACTCATTCATCAGGGCGGGAAGGACGGTGAAGGGAGCGCAAGTCTCAGCAACGATGCCAATGGCGACGGCGGTGCAGACACGGGACTGTCGCTCCTGTACTCGCAAGTTGTTTAGTAGCGTGGCCAGCACGTCCTGTGGGCCGATAGCTTTAGCGATGAAGCCGAAAGTGTTGTTTGCCGCTCGCCGGATGCCCTTCTTGTGCGCCTTGAGCATATCGAGCAGCTCGAAGCAGATGCGCATCCATTCGCGGGCGTTAACGCTCTCCGGGCCGCGGTCGGCGATGCGGCCGACGAGGTCGATGGTGTTTTCTTGCACTTTTTCGTGCCGGTTGCGGAGGATAGGGGTCAGACGTGGTAGGAGATCCTTGATGGGTGGTTGCATCTGGTTGATGCCGACGACAGTGACGATGGATCGGAGCGCACCGAGAATAGAACCTAGGACCTCTGGGTACTCTTCGCCCAGGTATTCGTACAGAACAGTGCCTAGCTTGGCCATCAAGACGTCTTCTCCGCATTGCTTCATAACCATAGCAATGCGCGAGACAAGATCAGCGGCCTGTTGACGGACAGTGGCGGACTTGTTGTTCAGCCGCCAAAGAATGGTACTGACAATCTGTGGTAGGTATGGCTTGCATCGGGTGCCCAGTGCATTGACGACAGTGCCGAAGCCATTGAGTAGAACGACATCCTCAACGCTCTGCTCCTGGAAGGCGTGCAGAATACCATCGACAAGGCGCTCTTCAAGCCGCTCACTGATGTCTGCAGCACCCAAACTAGCTATGACCTTCTCAACGGTCTCAACGGTCATTTTGCGGTACGCTTCGCTTTCGTCTTTAAGGTTGTTGACAATTCTCTCGACAATCTCACCAACGCCCACCTTCTGGCCGAGGTCAACGGTCGTTTCCACGACCTGGCGGTAGTTGCGTTTGTCCAGGGCCATGCGGCGGACCCAGAAGCTCTTGAAGAACTCGGTGAGTACGTGCTCCTTGAGGTAGCCGGCGGTCACACCATCGGTGCTGGCGCACTGAGAGACGACCTTCAGCACGACCTTCTTCATCTCCTCGTCAGGTGACGAGAACTCTCTTAGCAGGATCTCCATGATTTGACTGGTGTAGTAGTTGGCGTATTCCTCGTCCATGAGCGGAATGATGTAGCCAACGGCCTTGAGGAAGCCTGCAAGCCCTTTACCACGCTGCTTTCGTGCGCCTGTCCACAGAGGATTTAAGATGTCATCAAAGCTTTCGATTCCATAAGGGTTCGCAGCTTCTGCGAGAGCTGCAATAGCCAGTGATGTAACGGTCCGCACCTTCGCCTGTTCGTCGTTGAGGTTGTCACCTATGCAATCGACGAGGCCTTTCAGATGCGGCAGAATCGCACAGCCCATAAGAATGGGGATCTGCTGGACGATCTTGACGCCGGTATGGCGAGCCTGCCATGACTTCTTGCTGCGGCACACGGCGCGCAGAAAGGGTAGAAGGGCAGGGATACCAAGGGCTGAGGCGACGACAGCGAAAGCTCTGGCGGTAGTGTTTCGGACATATTCATCGACGTGATCGATATCAGGACGCATGGTACTGATCATGTGAGCAAGACCCGCAGCTTTGCTCAGGTTGGAGATGATTTCGCGACCCTCAACACGGGCGTAGTAGTCTTGATCGATGAGGAGTGGCTCGATGACGACGAGGATCTTGTGTACGTAGGGTCGGACGAGGTCATCCAACTTATAGAGGACGCGGTCAATGACCTTGACGAGCAGATGGCGTTCCTGGTCTTCTAGAGTCTTTTCCATGAGCAAAGGTAAGATCTGGTTGAAGAGCGGACCTGCTCCAAATTGTCGCGCATTATCAGTAAGCTGTCGAAGCGCAGTCTTACGCATCGGTGGTGTTCCATTCTTGACCTTGAGCAGCAACCGCATGATCTTGCGTTCCTTCAGCTCTTCAACGCTCATCTGATTCTCATCTGCGCCGTCTACCAGCTTGCCAAAGTATGCCATATCTTCCGCCTTGAAGAATTGAAGATCTCCGACGCCAGGAATTTCGGTAGGTAGCTGCTTGCCAAGGGCGCGAGCGTTCTCCGGTTCCTGCATCATGAAACCCCCATAACCGGAAGCGCTAGCTACAGGTGCCGGAGTAGCCATCAGCTTCCGGGCTGCGGCACGGATTGGTTCGTAACCAGGAGGCGGGTCCAGGATTTTGTATCCTTCTGAAGGTAGCATCAAGTCCAGCTCCTCATCAGACAGCGGCACGTTACGAGCAGAAATGTCAGTACCAAACGTCATCGTCCCAGCTTGAGATGGATGCATGGGAGTGGCAAGTCCTTGATTGCCTACTGGCGTAGCCCCTCCCAAGGTAGGTGCTTGGTCCCATCTTGATCGACGCTTTGGCCCATCCTCAGCACCCGGGACTGGAGTTTGATCCCATCGGGAACGCTTCGTCTTCGTTTCTTCAGTTTTGATACCGTCATCCGACGGCGCCTCTGATGCCACGTCCCACCGCTGTTTCCGCTTCCTTCCTATGGCGACGACCGTAGAGCCGGCATCTTTGTTCTCCTTATCGCTAGCATCCTTCAATGTGGCTTGGTGTTCCACGACGCCGTTTTCGCCCCTGGCCTGCTTCTCTGCGACGATACGCCTAACACGCTCTTCCTCCCTCTCAAGTTCGCGGGTTGCCATAACCTCGCGGTAGCTCTGGCCCTCGTCCTGCGCTCCAGCCTGCCGGTTTGCGGCAAAGGGATCTGCTCGTGTGGGCGTGAGAGGTCCTCGATCATGGCGCCGTTTTTGATAGTCGGTCTCTCGTGAGGCGATCTGCGCCTGTTTCTCGCGGCTCATGAGGATATCCTCCTCTTCCGCACCACCCGTTGCGAACTCATTCATCTGTTCCTTCGTAGCAGTATACTGTCCGACCAAGCGCCGTCCGTCATCCCCATCCCCATCAGCCATATCATCATCGTCATCGTTGATAGCGATGGAAGTATTGTATCCGGCATACTTGTCGACGCCTGTGCGCTCGTAGAGATCCGTATCGAAAGTTTCAGTCAGGGATGCCTTCGTGGAGTTGTCAGTGCGCTGGCTAGCCGGGTCGAAGGTTTTTGAACCTTTCTTCCCTGCTGCTGCCGCGTTGCGCTCTTGCTGGAGGCGCTTGATGGTCGCGAACTCGGCTGTCGGAAGATCTGTCAGTATTCGATGCGGGCTTCGCGAGGGAAAGGGCGCAAACTCACCGTCAGACATATTGGCTGGCTGCTTCTCTATTCGGGCAGAAACCTGTTTGTAGCAGTCATCCAGCGTCCATGGACCTGCACGATCAAGAGTAGAGGCGGGCTGGTACACGGTCGTGGTTATGATTGTAGTTGTTCAATCGTGAAGCGGCAACGATGGATGCCAAAGACTGCGGTTCAGAGTATTGGTCCGTGCGTGTTTCGAAACCGCCAGAATACATTACCATGATAACTGCTGAGTAAGCGCATCGCTGCAAAGCGATCTTTTCGAAGCCATCACGTGCCGACGCGCTCCGAGCTTGCCAAGCCGTCGAGGTCGTGTGTCTGATGATCTTCCACAAGAACAATCGGCAGACCAGACTCTTATTCACATGCTATAGCATTTTCTCTGCAACTCCCCTCGATTGCTTGAAAGCCATGGAAGAACCCGCAACGATGCCACAGCAGGACAGTGCTCCACCACAGCCGGAGGAACAACCAGCTCTGAACGGTCAAACAGCGGACGTCGACATGAAAGAAGAGCCTGGCATAGAAGTACTCACGCCGCGATCCCTTCACCCTCTCATTCCTCTTGTTACATTTCCCTGTTAACACCTCACAGACCTCAATCCCACCCACCTCAACCCTTCCACCTAACCCTTACGCCTCAACTCCCCCACCAGTCGCGCAGCCCACACAGCCAACACAACCCGCTCATCCCTCTACGGCAACCGTTCCTCCTACCACAATGCCTGCGCGCGGTTCTCCACATCCAGCGGCCGCGCCCATAGCCCCGCCAACGCAGCCGACGCTCCACGGCTCGCCCACACGCGTGTACCTGAACCAACACGTCACACCATACTTGCTGGAAGGGATGAAGAGGCTTGCAATTGAAGAGCCGGAGAAGCCGCTGCGGTGGCTGGCGGAGTTTTTGGCGGCGAGAAGTCGAGAGGTGGAAGGCGCATGAGGAAGAAAGGGTTGAGGAAATCTTGAGGATCTTGGTTCTCTGAGGCTGTCGTTAGGGAGGAGAAGAACTGGACTTTGCATAGCGTCGGCGTTACAACGTGCTTTTTGAGGGGACTTGGCCTCAAGAATATCGAACATGCTTAGATCGCATTGCGCCGATGTGTGATGCGTGCGCCTCTTTGAACTTGACAGCCATCCATGTGGTCACGAGACTGGGCCTGAGGCTCGGTATTAGAATGTCAGAACAAATCACGTAATTTAATGGGCTAATGACAGCAAGGTAGTGTTCAGAAACCACTGGCATTTGCAGCGGGTCCTAACCGCACAAGTCTCGATTTGAATGCATTTCCCCTGCTAGGTCGACATAGAATGCCTCAACCGAATATCTTGCGCCGTTCACCACGGACTGCCCTCGAACACGGCATCCTAATCTCCACCTTACCACCGTGCCACGCCCTTATGCGACCAACGTGCTAGCAGTGGCGCTCTCGTACCTCCAAGTCGGTGGAAGGGCACCGACAGTCTTGTAGTACCTCGACAGACGGTGGATGCGGGACTCGATGAGAATGAGGCGGAATTTGGAGTCCTTGTCCTTGCGGTTGCGCTCAAGGTGCTTGCGGACGGCGACAGCCTAATTCTAGCGTGTTAGAAACTCGCTCACCTGAAATCATTCAGAGCAAAAACATGAAAAATGTCTCACTTTCTTGATCAGCATGTACAGATCCTCTGGGATCTCAGGAGCGAGTCCTGTGGAACGTCTCTCAGTCAGTCATCGAAGACCAATCCGAGGCATAAGATAATTGCGCTGTGGTCAGCAATCACTAGAACGTGATGCTGCCGTCCAGATGCGTCTTTCACATAGGTTCAACCGTACCGTTGCCCTTAAGAATTCTGAGGATCTTGTTGCCTGTGGTATTGTTAGCCACGTCCCTCGGATCTCAGCTTGTTGTACGGACCGGTAACGACCTTCACTTGCGCGATACCATGGCTGTCGCGGAGAACGACACCAATCTGCGATGGAGTCGCGCCCTTCTTTGCAAGCTTGCAGATCTGGTCGACGACCTGGTCGGGTGTGGTCTTAAGCCAGGCTGGGGGTGTGCGCGAGTACGGGATGGCGGAGCTCGATATGCCCTTCGCCTCATCAGTGGACAAACTTGGTCTTGTCAGAAGCCATCTTACCTTGCCGTTGGAGTGAAGACGACCCATTTTGGCGTTGGATTATGAGTGACGCTTAAAAGGAAAGATGGTCGCTGGTCGTTGGTCGTTGCAGTCGCGATGTCTTGAAGTCGGGTTGCGAAAAGGAAGATGCCGACGGTGTGCGGCTCTCGCTTGTTGCGGCGCTTTGACCACATTTTTGAGATTTTCTCTCGAGCAGCACTGAAACTCGCACTGCAAGAACTCCCACCTTCACCACCAGCGAAACGCTTGACATCGCTCCAGCGCCCGCACGTAGCAGTATGATGAGCACGTAGGGAATCAACTCCTCTATGAGCTACGCAGTAATGGAATGTCCTGTCGGACTCCTCTATGCCATCGAGGACTCTTGACAACTTTTTCACTGGCTCGACATCTTTCCCGGCCAAGCTTACTTCAGGCTTACAGCACGCATGCCTTCGCTTGTTTCTCGGTGAGTCTGCCCCTATCAACAATCTCACTACTCTGAATGATGATACTCCATATACAATATTTTCTGGTACCTCTTGATTTAATAGAGTCTCATGACTCTATAATGATCTCAACGGACTTCTGACTCCTGTCACTGCTCGACAATTCTCAACTACCGTCTTCATTGGACCTTGCTGACCTGTCGCTAGTATCGGCTTGAGCTATGGCGCGATGATTGGTAACATTCAGAACTCGTATTCTCGGCATGAAATCTAGTCCCAGGTCGAGTACAAGCACCTGCAGGGCGGCACCTTAGTACATGCTACAAAGAAGATCACTAACGACACGGAATCTCGGGAGGAGGAATTAAGATCTGCCAGTCCGGTGTCGGAATTCGTTTGACTCTTACCGAGATGTTCCGCACTTGTACGGAGAATGGTAGGACGGTCCCATGGTCCTGCCACACCATGGCGTCCGCCCTCGCGGATTTTGCATTCTAGTGTTTACGGAATATGATTTCTACTCAACGTGTGGAGGCGCTACAGTGCCGACGGCAGTGTCAGTTTCGAAAACGTGGCTGGCAGCCAGCGACCTTTGTGTGACTCTGGACATATCATGTCCATCCACGGTGGATTTTTCAGCCACCGCATGTACGAGCACTTCTGTTAAACCAAGCCACCTGCAAGTTCTGTTCTCCATGCACTGCAATTCGTATCGGCACCAGGACCGGCCTACGCGGACCGGCCTGAGGGTCTGCGTTGACTTACTGCAGGCAGTCTCATGCTTGCCTGAGCACATGGCGTGCTTTTGTGTCAGGATGTCTTTGAATGTAAACAGGTCGAACTGCGACCGGTTATTCTGCATACCTTGAATCGATGTCGTATGCTCCACCACTCTGCATATGCCCACAACCTTGTCCTTCTCATGTTCTTTCAAGTCCTAGGTGCTCCACTCAGCACAGTCTTACGGCGGACAACGTTCCGACTGCTCAACAAGAGTGAAAATCATCGCAGTTAGCGGTGACTAGCGCTGCTCTTTTCTGTGTTGTCGAGTCGGTGGCTGGAAGGCTACTGATGGCGCTCATGATGCACATGCGTGCCCAGCCCTACCATCCTGGCAGGCAACTTCCCGTTAGTGGCTCATGCTGCAGCACACCGAACCAGCCGGAGAGCCTATCGCGTGCCTATCAGAGTGGGAGCGGCATGCCTGCTCTCGGGATCTGCTGCAGGAACCCACAACCCTGCCTTGATGCCAGACGTAAGCATGGCGGGCTTCCCTTGCCGAATGGTTGCAAAGCCGTCGCACTTTGCCCTCGGCACACAAATGTTGCGGCTCACTTGTGAGTGGTCTTCATGCGGATAGACTCTGCTTGTGCACTGGCTGCATAAAAACTGGGGGACGCTGACGACGACGGAAAAGTCCAGCCCGCCAAGCGCGACTGTGTGATTTACATGCTGACCACGACGTCTCCCGCAATGTGGATCGACAGCACACCGTTCCAAACTTTGTCGAAGGTGACTTTTCTCGATTTCCCATTCGCCCACACAAGGGAGCGTTCGGGAAATTGCTGCATGAAAGCCGGCGCACCGACAAGGGCGATGCGCAGACCTCGCAGCCCTGGAGGGTCGGTGTCTGTCGCAAACAAAGCGCTCTCGGCACTGAATTGAGCGGCAACAAGACACCTACCTTCTTCAGACATGAGTGGAATTAGAGACAATCTGTAGGAAAGCAGAAGCGCTCCAGGAGAGACATCGGCCTGGCTCCCGGGTCACATCGAGCGCCCGGCGGCACATGGGACGGAGCGGCTTGACGTTTCTGATGGTGACAGGGCCACGAGTCGGGGCGTGCATGGTACCGAAATGAGGTCCTGCACGGCCCCTGACTAGCGTTTGGCAGCCCTGACAGCGTCTTCGAAACACCGACATTGGCTCACGGCTTGCTCTGGGCCTGTGGGAGAGATGGGAGAGCGCCAGTGCCAGTGCCAGTGCCAGCGCCCCGGCGGCGCCAGCGGCCATGATAATATCCCTCCTCGCCCTTCCCCTTCCCCGTGCCCGGTTCACTTCAGTTTGTCCTTGCGTGTCCCTTCAGCCTCGCATTCACCTTCCTTGACCACCAAACAGTCATTCATTCATTCATTCATTCATTCAACTGAGCAACGCCACATTCATTTGTGCTTTGTCTTGTCAATCGCAGCCCCGAAAGAGCAGGATACCCTTTGAACCTATTGCAGAACTCACCGTCGAGTCCTCCGTCGTCAGCTCCTATAGCACTTCCCACAGTCCTTCCGGAACATCGTGAAGCGCATCAAGCCTCGTCTACCCTTAACGGTCTCCCGACACACATACATACAATATGCGCAACGTCGTAGCCGCTGGCGCGGTCATCGCCGCGACCTTGTCCGGCGCCGCAGCAGACCTATGCGCTTCCGGCTCCGAGCTCATCGGCGGCAACTGGTATTGCCAGGCTGTGCAGAAGATCACATATCAGGGAGTTGGAGGCTCGGGTAAATACAACAAGATTACGAAAATGGACCCCGTCTCGGGTGCTTGCTCGTCGGCGCCGTTCAGCTACTCCGGGTCTCTGGCTCCGCTCAACGAAGAGGTTGGTGATTCTCTTTGACAGGAATCTTCTACAGGCATTAATTAGCTAATGGAGTAAACGCAGCTCTCCCTTCACTTCCGCGGACCCCTTCAGCTCAAGCAGTTCGCTGTCTACACCCCAAGCAGCGGCTCATCCACCAAGCCAAAGATGGCCAAGCGCAGCCCGCACGAGCGCCGCCATGCCCATGGTCACCAGCACTTCCACCAACAGCACAAGGAGACCCGAGAGATCCAGGAGGCCGCTGAGGCCGAGAAGCGAGCGGTTGGCGACTGGGTCACCGCGACCATTAACGGCGAAGTTGTGTCTTGGGTCAACACTTTCGGCGCCGAGACTCCGGCTGCCAAAGCCGTTGTGAACGACGCGACCACTATTACCAAGACTGTCGCGCAGGCAACTGCTACCCAGACTGCCACTATCGCCTCCGAGAAAGCTGGTGCAAGCGCTCCTGCCAGCTCTGCTGCCCCCAGCCCCAAAGCTACCACTGCTTCTGTCGCCAGCGGCGATTGGTCCCAGGTTGCCTACTACGAGGCCTCCTCCGGTACTGCGCATGGCGTTACCTTCCTGAACAACATGGGTGGCCAGGGCTCCGGTACCTTTGACTAGTAAGAGCCGCCAACTGTTTTACGATTTCACGTGACATGCTAACAAAACGCAGCGTCTTCGGAAACTCCCTCTCCTACGCTGCGGCCGACGCCAAGAGCGGCGCGTCGTCCCCTCAGGTGCTCAAAGACATGACTCTCCCGTCCAACACCGAAATCACGATCATGTCTGACAAAGAGTGCTCCGGCGACTCGTGCGGCTACTACCGCCCCGACACTGTTGCCTACCGTAAGTTTACCGAGAGCGATGTGCAAACTCTCAGCTAACAAGTTCACAGACGGCTTCGGCGGCCCCTCCAAGGCTTTCTTCTTCGAGTTCTCCATGCCCGACGACGGCACCTCCGGCTGGAACATGAACATGCCCGCTCTCTGGATGCTCAACGCCCAGATCCCGCGCACCCTCCAGTATGGCAAGGCCGAGTGCTCGTGCTGGACGTCCGGCTGCGCCGAGTTCGACATCTTCGAGGTCCTCGACTCCGGCAATACCCGCTGCAAGTCCACTCTCCACGGCAACATCAAGGGCGGCAACTCCGACTACTTCAAGCGCCCGACTTCCGGCACCATCAAGGCTGCCGTTGTCATGCACGACGACCAGATCCACATCCAGATTCTCGACAACGGCATCAACTTTGGCGGCAGCATGCCCAGCTCGACCATCTCCGACATCTGCGCGAACGACAGCAAGGTCCTGACGTCCATCTTCGCGCTTTCGTCCTAGGCGCCTGCCAGCCGGTTGCCTGCTTTCTTGATTTAGGCTTCTTGGATAGTCGGTGCGTTGGTTGGCTCTGTTGATATCTCCCTGCCATACTTCTTGTAGCTACGGAAGCGTTGGGTATACTAGCTATGTTCGTGGATCTTGTTTAGACAGCAGAGCAGTGCTCCATGCGCGCAAAACGCCTAGAGCGTGGCTTACGAACTTGATGGACTGGCATGGGCGGGCTCCTATTCATCGGGTCGGAGTGTTTGCTTTGGTGTGGTGGGTGTGTACTCAGCAACGGCAATGGACGCGTTAGAGTAGCGGGTTTGAGCTTATACGAGCTGCTTTGGATTTGACTTGAGTTTGATATCCCTCTTGATGACGTGATTTTTCTGGTCGCCCTTGTAGTGCTATGTCCCCTGCGCAATGAGACATCATTGGAAGTGCTACTCATTGTTTGACACCGTTACGAAGATGCTTTTCTGGTGTCTCGAAAGCCAGGGTTCGGCAACGGGAGTATTTTCCTGATCGGTTCCAGCGCGCCGAGTCTGTGAAATCCGCCGAATCCAACCAGCCGAGGCAGCGCAACAGCCGTCATCTTCGACCGCACAGGTGGACAGCCCGTCTTCAAGCCATCTTGGTGCCATCTGTTGCTCTGCATTCACTGGGCTTGCAAACATCGCACGTCTTCATTGCCATACAGATAGCGAGGTCCCATCAACAATCGCCGACGCTGCTACATAGAAATCTATCGCGCACTCCGGGCCCCGCTTGCGTCTTTCAGCCACCGCTTGGCGCTTCACCACTTTCAAGCACCAGCCCTTGAGGCACGACACACAAAGGTAGATGAGGACGTGGTAGAGGGATAGACCGCGAGAGATGGCCTCGCCGCCAAAGCCATGGGAAAGAGCTGGAGCGGGCACATCAGCCGGTACGCTGCGCGGACCTGATCCGCCACCAGTCACATTTGAATATACATGCTGATATCTTGCCAGGGCTTTCTTCAACACCAGCAAGCAACGGCAGTAGTATTACAGCATCGACCGCATCTCCGTCCGCGACAGCACCCTTGACGTCTAATCCACCTGCACTACCTGAACGACCTAGTACCCTTAACTCGATAGTGAACCGAACGGCATCGAACTACTCTAGCCTCAACGCCAACCGCTACGGATCCTCGCCCTACGGATACGGCGGCATGAATAGCTTCTCATCCCCATACTCGCGCCTCGGTGGCTACGGGTCCATGTATGGCGGCATGGGCGGTATGGGAGGGATGTACGGCGGAATGGGGGGTATGGGTGGCATGGGTGGGATGTATGGAGGCATGGGCGGGATGCCCGGCGACCCGAACAACCCGAGCTTGACGCAGTCGATGAACCAAAGCACACAGGCTACCTTCCAGCTCATTGAGAACATCGTTGGTGCGTTTGGAGGGTTTGCGCAGATGCTTGAGAGCACGTATATGGCGACGCATTCGTCCTTCTTCGGTATGTGTTTTCCCCCTCAGACACTCCCTCCAAGCCCCGCGCTGACGGTATACCAGCCATGGTCTCCGTCGCCGAACAATTCGGCAACCTCCGCCAAACCCTCGGCTCCATCCTAGGCATCTTCACCCTGATGCGCTGGTTCCGCACCGCCGTCGCCAAAGTGACCGGCCGGCCTCCCCCGGCATCCTCCAAAGAGCTCACCCCCGCCAACTTCGCTGCCTTCACCGGCCGCGGCGCCGCCGATCCAGCAACGCCCCGCCCCTCCAAAAAGCCCTTCATCATGTTCGTCCTCGCCGTCGTGGGGCTGCCCTACCTCATGGGCAAGCTGATCCGCGCGCTCGCCCGCTCGCAGGAGGAAGAAGAGCGCCGCCGCATCGAGGCGAACCCGCACATGCACGCCGACCAGCAGCAGCCGCTCGACCCGGCGAAGCTGGACTTCTGCCGCGTGCTGTATGACTTTACGCCGGACCAGAACGCCGTCGAGGGCGTGGATCTGGCGGTCAAGAAGGGAGATTTGGTGGCCGTGCTCAGCAAGACGGATCCGCTGGGGAATCCGTCCGAGTGGTGGAGGTGTAGGGCCAGGGATGGGAGGATGGGGTATCTGCCTAGCCCGTATCTGGAGACGATTCAGAGAAGACAGCAGCCGATGCTCACGAGTGGGAGTCAAGCGGGCAGTCCGGCGGGGAGTAGGGCCCAGACGATGTCGGGGACTGGGAGTCAGATGGGGAGCAGGAGTGGGACGATGACGGAGATGGCGGGGAAGCCGGTTGTGGCGGGGAAGATGGGGGAGATGGGGATTGAGAGCTTTCAAAAGGGGCAGTTTTATTCCTAGTAGGATGCTTGGGATTGGGTTTCGTTTGGCGTCGTAGGAGCTTGGGAAGTGAACGGATGATTCTGGGATGTCGTACATGCATTGCCCCCATGCTTGTTATATTTGGTTATGTATCAGTCGGCGATGTGTGGGGCTGCCTTACTTGGGAGCTATCTGGGCTCATGCCTTTCGAAAGTGCCTGAAGTTTTTATGGCTGGTAAACGCCGTATCCGCTTCGGATGGCCTATCACGTGTCGGACAGCTGCACAGCCCAGCATCCCCAGCCCGCAACGCAGCTACCGGCACTTCACATGGCAGCTGCGCAAACCACCGTCACTGTCACTACCGGTGCGCTCTGTTCCTTTTGCCAGGCACAGGTACAGGTGAAATGGAAGCCTAGAACTTGCGCTTGAACAAATCTACTCGACCAGAACGCTCTCTTCCGGCGCACACACACATCTCTCTAAGCCAGTGCTCACGCCAGTGCTCACGCCAGTAGCTCGGGCAAGCTCCCCCACCGCAAGTCACGGAAGAAAACTCTTAAACAAGGATCTAACCTAGATCGATGAGGATGTTCGCCTCAAGAAGGCTGCAGAAGGTGAGCCTGTTCTCTTGCACGTACAGTAGGGGTACATAGCTAATAGCCATACTAGGAGCTCCAGAAGGTGTGTCACCGCTCACTCTCCCCTCCACAGCCTCTAGTCACGAAGCTCCCGTTCTTCTCTCCGCACAGCTTAAACACCGAGCGCTCTCTCGCATTCCTCCTCCTGTCTCCCGCTGAAGCCCCCGCTTACACAACCAACAGATGCACGCCCACCTCCCCCCCGGCATAACCCTTGTCCAAGCCGACAACCTCGACACCTGGCTCATGGACATCCGCGTGCTCGACGACAACCCCATCTACCGCAACCAGACCTACAGGCTGAAGTTCGTCTTCAGCGGGAGCTATCCCATCGGTATGTTCCGCTTCGTTATGGGGCTGAGAGGCACGCTGCGCTCTGAGCGGGCAGCTGTGCTGAACTTGGAGCTGGACTTGCGGCTGGACCTGCGGCGGGCGGCCGGGTTGCCGGCTGGTCTGGGAGCTGGCTCTGGAACGGTGCTTAAGTTTGGGGTTGAGATAGGGTGGGAGCTGAGCGCTGAGCGCTCTTTGCGCCTCTACTCCAAGCTCCCACCCCCACTCCTTCTGCGCTCCCCCTCCGTACCCGCGGTTCACGCCTCCCACCCCCTTCAAAGCCTCCTCCAATCCCGTTTCCCAGAAGCATACAGCACAGCTAACAACCCGGACAGAAGCCCCCGAGGTAACCTTTGTCAAAACCGAGTCCCACCCCATACCCATGCACCCACACATCTATTCGAACGGCATCATATGTCTGGATCTGCTGGACCGCCAGGGCTGGAGTCCGGTCCACAATGTCGAGAGCGTGTGCATGAGCTTGCAGAGCATGCTCACTGGTAACACCAAGAACGAGCGTCCGGAGGGTGATGAGTCGTTTGTGCGGAACAACCGCCTCAGGCCGCGGGATGTCAGTTTCTACTTTCATGATAATACCGTGTGAGCGACGGCCCCCGGGGCGAACTTGGCTCGTAGCGAAGGAGCCGGGAGAGGGGCGAGCTGGAAAGCGATGAACGGGCTAGGGCTGAGCCGGGATCTCTGAGGAAAGATTGGCGAGCGGAGTTTGGGAGTGGAACTGCATATACCATTGCTGGCGAGCGGCTACCCGTGGCTTGACGGCACAGGAGCCGGCGTTGCGGTGAGCATCGGGCGCTGCATGGAGTTGGTGAGCGGGTTGAAGTTCTACCTTGTACTACCCCTTTTGCAAGCTGCGCTACGGACATAGGTCTCGGTGCTGGATCAATCTAGCTACCTTATCCAGGTATAAAGCTCGTGGCTGACAATCGGCCCGTACGTTCCTGCATCACCTAGGTAGGCGACAGTGATGCCCGCACGCCGACAAAATCCCATCACCATCAACCTGCTACAATTTCCCAAAGCCACATCAAGTATGAAGTGCCCCATTACTACAGCAACGCAGTAGACCGTCTTTTGTGCTTAGATAGGGCATTCAGGCCTAACATGTTCCAAAGAGATTCCAAACACCTTCAGGACAACCTGGCATTCTGCGGCGTCCTACGCACTAGAGCTCAAGTTACCCTTTTGGGAAGCGGGTCTCTAAGTTCTGGAACTTCCCGACATCTCTCAGCTGAGTGGGAGAGACGCGAAGGACGGCTGTGTGCACCAACAGGCCACGAGGGCGAGACAGGCATTCCATGTATTTCTTCTCTGCCACTAGTCTATAGGCTCTACTGTGCTTCCTGGTGTGCTGCCCCCGTGCTTCCGCAGCCAAAGCGAACCCCTCAGAAGCCAAGCAAGGAAGATGAAGGGAGGGGCCCCAAACCGTCCAAGCCAATGCTGGCTCATGCCTAGAACGACTTCGATAACCGATATAAACGCGAACAGATCGCTCTATGTATCTACAACACCACTTGGATTATGCTGCTACTCTTCCCCTCCACCGGCCCGTCCACCACTCTCCTCAAACGCCTGAAGAAATGCAACCCACGCTTCCCAATGCCGCCACAAAAGATCCGTACCGGTTCCGAATGCCATGTTACCATTACTACTGAATCTCTCCGCGCTGACCTTACCGCCTCTGCTTACCGCCTCTGCCCACCCTGCCCCTGCGGGTTGGCCCGATCCCACGACGCGCCGTACGGCTGTGGCTGCGCCGGCATCGACTGTTGCGGTTGCATTTGTTGCGGCTGCGCCTGCTGTTGTGGCTGCCCCTGGCCCTGCCAAACACCTCCCGGCTGCTGTGGCGCAAATCCCTGCTGCGGCGTGAAGCCCGACTGCGGCACAAAACCCTGTGGCTGCCCCGCTTGTGGAAAGTAGGCCTGTTGCTGCTGCGGGAACCCATACGGCAGCGGCGACGGCTGTCCAAAGCCCTGCGGCACGATCCCCGGACTGCCTCCGCCGAAGTTAAGCGGCACGCCCATCGGCTGGATCGGATACTTATACGCGGACTGCATCTGCTGCATCTGCATTTGCTGCTGGATCTGGACCTGCTGTTGCTGGCGCTGCAGCTGCGCTTGCATTTGTACCTGCTGCTGCCTCTGCATGTTCGCCTGGATGGCCTGCTGCACGAGCGCGCCGCCGCGGGCGCCGCTGCGCATGTCCTGCTTCTCCTTTTCACGGGCCGCGATGGCGCCGACGAGGCCCGTGGACTGCGGGCGCTGCGGCTCTTTGTTGGTGCGGGCCATTGAGATGAGAGGCTTGCCGGTCGCACGGGCGATGTACTCTTGCTCGCGGGCTGAGAGATTCCCAGAGTCTGTTGTCATCATGTGCTGGGTGTGCATTGGTGCAAGCCGGTTCAGCGTTGCGGAGGCGCCACGCGACTGTGGGCGGCTTGGGGGGCCGGACTCGCGAGTAGGTGTGCGTGGTTGCGGGGCACCAGCCAAGTGAGACCAGTCGCCGGAGGAGCTGCGGCTGATAGGTGGCGTGTTGCTGGAGGATCGGTTGTGGGATGACGAATAAGTTGGGGAGGGTCGCGAGGCGGAGGCTGCTCGTTGCTGGACAAACTCTTCTGGAGTTAAGACAGGTCGACCTGAAGTACCCGGTACCGCCGTCATTCCTGGTTGCCAGGCCATCCTTCCCATGTTGTCACGGCCCGGTGAGCCATTGCCAGGAGCTTTGGGTTCGCCTGCAGGAGAGCGAGAGTGGGTGCGTTGGTGACCTTGATATCCAGAAGCAGTTTGTCCGCCGATGTAAGAGTCCGGCCTCGCCTCGCTGCTTCGAGAGCCGAGTGGGTCGGGAGTGTTCCTACCAGAAGTGCGCAACTGCTCATTCGAGCTTGAGGCACTGTGGTTCATCTGGGTGATCGTACCGCTTGTTCCAGGGCGGGATCGTGCGACGTCGAGAGTGGGTCCGAAGTCAACTGTGGGGGTGTCCGGACTCTCAGATCGTTGTGGAAACTCGCCTTCATATTGAGCGTCGCCTGCTTTCACATCCGGCTGTGCTGTGGGCTCAACTCTGCCTACTGTCTTGAGGACGCCATAGCGCGGTCTCTCAACGGAATGCGTGGTGTTGGAACTCTTCGTGCTAGCGTAATCGGGGGATGCGACCGAGTCGTTGTCATGGGTACTGCTGGCCATGCTTTCTGCGCGGGTGCGGGAGGGTTCTGGAGACTTCGGAGAAGCGAGAGTGTCCAGCGTGTCAAGATCGACTACATTGTCTCGTAAACTGTCAAGACTTGAGCTGGATGGCGACGATAAAATATAGGGGTCCTCTGCGGAGAAGATAGATGACCGACCTGGTACGGGTTTACGCTGTACGCTTAGCCCACTAGACAAACGCTCTGGCAAACCAGGCCGTTCAGGTGGATCGGCGTGTCTCTCTGCGCCGGCAGAGACGCCTAGCGGTGATTGCTGTAGGAAGTTTTGCGCAAGAGGCTCCCCATATTCTGGCAGTGAGGGACCGGCTGGCTGGAAGGTGGCGGTCGTAGGAGTCGGTTCGGACTGATCAATGTACGGTGACGCCGGGATCGTCGGTAGGCGATTGCCCGCATGGCCGGTTCTAGAACTGCCCCTCCCTTGATCAAAATAGTTGTCAGCGGGCCTGCCGCGGTTGTTCATCTGTAAATATGCTCCTTGTTGCTCGCTCTCACCCCATCGCCTTTCGTACTCCTCTGACTGCCTACCATTGCCTCGACTAGCATCATACCTCCACGCCGCGCCTGCTCCCGGAACAGCAACGTTGACCGGTAGTGGCACATTGCTTGCATCCGCCAACTGACGAAGCGTCGCTACGTCCATCTGAGAGTTGGCTTGTCGAAGCTCCGGCGGATGATATGGCTGAACAGGAGGCTTTTGCCGCGGACCATGTTGGAAAGCTGGAGGTGCAGCGACAGGAGCAGGCGGCGGAGCAGTGGTAACAACCGCTCCGACCTCGGGTAGATTGGCTGCCTCAGGAGTTGGACGGTCACTTCCTTCGTCGGCTGTGTCATAGTCATCTTTGTAGCCTGCATAATCTTGCCCTTCGCCGTTGAGAGTGCGATGAGCAGGCGGTGGTGGCGGCGAGTCGTAGTTGTCGTACGCGTTGTTCTGGAAAGACAGGCGTGATGGAGTTTCTGACCGGTACTGCTTGTAACCGTTGGCATCGGAGGCCGACCTTTGATGTCTTGGAGTTGGCATTGGGGCGTCCGGAGGTGCGGTCTCCGTCCGGCGAGGCGTGCCGAGGTCCATCGGTGGAGGCGACGATCTGCGCGAGCCAGGTGTAGACCTGATTGAATTGCTTTCGTCGAACCGTAGGACGCTGTTTCTGGACTGAGGAAGGCTGGTTCTGCTCACAGTGTTGCGGCGGGTAGCATTAGTCGGGCTGTCGCTGATTGTAGTCATACGCTTGGCGGTAAGCTCCTTCATCTGCTTTCTCCACTGCCGCTCATTCCAACCTTGGCTTCCTTCTGCGTGGATGAGCGTAGCCACATCGAGGATGTCCAGATAGCCGTAACGCCTGTCTTTGGGCATGGCAAACATGAGCCCCCTTGTGTCAAGTACATCCGCAATCAACCGGCTGGGACGGCCGTACAGGGCAAATGTGTCAAAGACAGGGAAGAGGAAGCGTAGCATGATCTCGAAACCTGACACGGCGGGATGGACCTCGGGCATGATAAACACGAAACCTTCGGTCGTTGACTCGGGCTTCGAGTGAATGGTGATCAGGCCTTCCAACTTCACGAGCGTAGAAGAATCGATGAGCGGCTTCGACTGTGGGTAGATGGCGTAAGCGGAGTATGCTTCGGTGATGGTAGCAATCGGCCTTGTCTTCTTCGTAATCTTCCTTGTCTCATAGAATTTTACATCTCCTCTCGGAACTGGCGCAGATCGATCGTAGATGTTCTGTTTTTTCACAACCTTCTGGGCCTTTACGAACTCCTTCTCGTCAGGCGGGGTCACTACGCACCAGCAGCGCCTCCAAGGAGTGCCTGCTCCAAAGCGCACACGCGCCCAGTCTTCGTACTTGAACTTGGACCTCTCCATAATCTGTCGGATATTGTTCAGCGACCTGCCTTTTCCTGCTATCAAGGAGCCTGTGTAGGCTTCTTGAAGGGTTGCGTGCTCAAAGATGGCAAGCCGGATGCCGGCCGTCCATTGTGTGAGCGAGTTGAAGGAGTTGAAATGGAGGAGGTAGCGATTATTGGCAGCAGTAGATATGCTAAGTATATTCTGGAGTGACTGGCCCTGTTGTCCGTTCATTGGTAGGGATTCGATCTGTGCGGAGTTCGTCAGCATGAGGCCATCAGAGCAGCAGAGTGAACCCATGCCATCTTGATGGAAGCATCTGCCAAGTTTATGAAAGTCGGTACGACTTCGCCATCCTCTCCAGCTTGGTCCAATAAAGTGGCATCCCACAGAGAAAGGACCGTGCCTACGAGCTGCGCAAAGCACTCGAGCCATGTCCTCTCGACACTGGGCCTGCCTCCTGCAAAACCGTGAGCGTTCTGTCCTGTCCTTGCAAGCAACGCAGCAGCTTACGGGAGTCAAGATCATGCAATTTGAGGAAGTAGCCCTCTTGATACAGCTTGTTGGAGTGACTGTTGAGGTATGTGAAGATTGGCTGCAGTTCCGGAAGTGTGTCCTGGGCAACCTCCATGAGCGGAGGCTGATACGTCTGGATCATGGAAACAGGGCGTGACGAAGGGCGCGAGTCAGCCCGGTTGCGCTGCTGGGTCGTGGGACTGGACGAGGCGGCGTTGTAGCGGTCGAAGTTCTGGGTGGAGGAACTGGGGGTAATGGAGACGGTATTCGCGTCAACCTGCTGTTTCGTGGGCGACTGCGCTACGGTCGGTGAAGGAGGAGCGCTGGACGGCGTCGGAGATCTTGGCGCCCCACCCCATTGGGATATGAACGAGAGCACTGCAGAGAACTCTGGTAAGCAAGGGATGGCCACATCGGGGAAACGCTGGTTGATAGTTTGTAGAGTGCCGACTTACCTCTACCCCGAGGCATGATTCCTGCGTCTCACGACTGTCACGGGAGTCAACCCTCAGCCAATAGATGGGCTCGACCAACAGTGAGCAAAGCAAGCTCAGAGGGCGCGATGTTCTCGGTCGATGTCAGCTGCCAGCTGCCAGCCGCAAAAGCCACCACCGGTATACGAGGAGGCAAGAGAACAGCTAGAGGAGGGCGGCTTTAGTTGATATCACCAGCTGCTAACGAGAGACGCCGTTGGCGAGGAGGAGCAACGGGATTGAGAAAAGATGAGGAAAGAGCGAAATACAGCAAGAGCTCTGCAGCGGATGACGGCGGATCAGAGGGAGGTTGAGGATGCAACGCAGCCCGTAGAGTTCGGTGTATTTTTCTACGATGACGAATAAGAGGCTGGCGCCGCTAAGTGACTAGCTGGCCCTGGTCTCGGGGGCTTGCCAACGATTTCTACAGCGGGACGAGGTTGTCTCGATTGTCTCGATGCGTTTCGCCAGACGGCAGGTGAATGCTGTTGCTGTTCCTTGACAGCGACCGGACAGAGTCGAAGATGGAGGCTTCGACGTAGTTTGTGTGCCTTGCAGCTTTCACACCACATTTGTAGTCTCAACCCTCTTGCTCGTGGCATCCGCCGTTTCGGCCAGCCAAGCCCGGCCGTACCTCAATACTGTATCAATTGGCGATCGATAAAGCCACGCTACACCCCAGGCTAAGTCCCGTCCAGGTACCGCCGTCGACCCTAAGGGCGATATCTTGCTCACGGGTCACGGTAAAGCTTGCAGCGTTGTTCAGCACTCCCTCTTAGCTGTGGGGTAGAATATGCTACGCGCCATTCTGTCAGAAGCTGACATCGTTCTCCAAATCCGTAACGAGAGAGCATCAACACGAGATGTACATGCAGCGCACATCATTCGCCATTCGGTGCGGCTTGGCCCGGAGGCTGACGACGATGCCGGCTGCGCCTGCGGAGGAACCAAGAGTCTCCAATCTCCACTAACGCACTTGGCCTTCTTGTCTGAGGCACAAATCCAGTTGTTGCTGCCGTCCACGTCATGGACTAAACATCGGGGCGCTTGTGGGTGACCACCAGCGTGCGGCTCGTTCTTTCTGAATGCTCAGGCACCTGTCGCTGTCCGCAAGACCAGAAGGCCATAAGGCCATAAGGCCACAATCCTGTCACATTAACTGGCTACCTCAGGTTTACATGACGGAGCCTTTGACATGCAGCAGCCGCCCGTCCTTGTCCCTGCAGCTGCATCTGCGCCCTCCGCTTTGCATGGTGCCAGAATGCTGGATGATCGTCGCCTTGCTGCTCTGGGCCCCTGAACCGACAACTACGCCCTCAGCCTTGCAGCTGGATGCGGTGAAGGAGCTCATTGCAAGCTCCTAGGGTCTGCCTATGTACTCGTGCATGCCGCGAACGCTCCACAAACAAGCTGCCCACTCGTTGTAGCATGCAAGCTCGGCGGCCAAGTGATGATGCTCAATTCGGGTATTACCAGAGTTGGCACGGCGCGGCACCGTCCCCGGCTCTTCCGGGAGAGGTGTGAGGAGAAATTCTGCCACCGCAGCCTCGACACGTCCCACGCGCGCCGACCTCATCCCAGACGCGAGCAGTGAGAACTCTCAGACGAAACATCTTCCAACGTCCTCGGGCTCCCTCAGCTCGATTCAACGAGCTAGTCAAAGCCTCACGACAACCCGACCAACCTCAAGCCGAGCTTTCCGCAACGCAATCCCCGTTTTGCCCTTCCAATCTCGACCTCGGACGCTGCTCACCATCACCGACGCATCATGGCTCCATCAGCGAAAAAACCACGGCTATCATCCGCCTCACAACGACATGCTCCCGCGGCCGCCCCCTCACCGCAATCGAGCAGCCTGTTCAGCCCGGGCGTGAACGGTACAACTCACACACCGGCCACAACCCACCCACCAGCAACAGCAGAAACACCGCCCCAAAAGACCATTGACTGGGATACTGTCGGGCCAGACTTCGAGTTCAAGATAAAAGCATACGCGCCCTCCAAAACCAAGAAGCGCAAGCGCGGCCGCAACGCCACGACCCCCCAGCCCAGCAAGGCACACTTCACGGACGCCCTCAGCGTCGTCTACTCCATCACCCCCGCCACCCATTGGGAATCCACCTCCAAGTTCCGCAAATTCACCATTGCGAACGAGTCTTTCCAGCTGGGCGACGTCGTATACATTCACAACGACTCAGCGCTCGGACAGCCGTGGCTGGCCAAGGTGCTCGAGGTGCGCGCGGGAGATGAACAACACGTCTACCTGCGCGTCTTCTGGCTATATCGCCCCGAGGAGCTGCCGAACGGCGGGCGGCGCCCCTACCACGGCCGCAACGAGCTCATCGCCTCGAACGACATGCAGATCGTCGACGCCATGACGGTCGATGGCCAGGTGGAGGTCAGACACTGGGACGAGGCGGACGAGCAGGAGGAGCTGTTCCCAGCCGACCAGCTGTTCTGGCGCCAGACGTGGGATGCGCAGCGGGGTGTCCTCAGCGCCCCGCGCGAACACTGTGTGTGCCGCAGGCCGTTTAATCCGGACAGGTTGCTGATCGCGTGCGGGAGCTGCAAACTGTGGATGCATGCCGAGTGCATCGTCGCGGATGCGGTGCAGCGCGCGCACGAGAGGGAGGGACTGCCGGCGCCGCTCATTGACAAAGATGCGTTTGCGGATGCTGGCGTGGTTGTCGATGCTGCTGCCGTTACCAGCTCGAGCGTCCTCAACGGCGCGGGGAGCTCTCCCCTGCAGGCCTCTCCCCAGAAGAAGCGAGGACGGCCCAGGAAAAGCAGCGGCGTTAGCAAGGACGCGGCGCCGATCCCTCCGGCCTTCACGGCAGAGCTGGTGACGAAGACCCCGGACACTAGCCAGGAGGACGGCGGTAAGAGGGGGATTCTGGGCGGCCTGCTTAACAACAAGGCGGGTACAGAGAAGAGGACCAAGATTGTAATTACGGATATAAGAAAAGGAGGAGGTGGTGCCTCGTATGAAGAACCGGTCAGGTGTCTTGCCTGTGGAGAGGAGGTTGTCTGAAGGCAGCGACTGAAAGTAAGAGATGGGGAGCTTAATGTTGCTGGATCTTTGGGTGAGGTGGAGTTTAGAGCATTGCATTGCGCGCTACGTGGCTACGGCGCTTGCTTCGGCGCTTGTTTTCAACGCTATCTGGGGTGTTTATTTGCTGGCGAAGCATTGGTACGTCTCGCATAGTTTCGGGGGTGCTGCGCGCCTCGGTGGTGTGGTCATCCTGCGGGAAGTCTAGCAAGCTAGTTGTTGTTAGGAGGGCCAAGAGGGCGTGCATAGCTATGGGTCACGGCATGTATGTGCACACACAGCTCGTGTTGGCAATCTACTGGCAAGAAATCAGTCTACGAGTTGTATCAATTGAGTTGATTTCAAGGCTTCCAAAGCACCATAGCGCATGCCCGCAAATGCAGCGGCGACCAGACAGACAGACGCTTTCTATCGATATTCGGTATCTAAGCTTATCATGGCGCTCCCAGTGAGGAGAAAGAGATGTTGAGGGGATCTCCTGTCCGCCTTCTCAGGGCTCCTGCGGGAGCATATATAAAGTATAGAATGCGCCACCAACACCACTGTCTAGTCAACGGTAGTTTTACCCAGAGTAGCTTCGCGATACTCTCATAACAGAATCCAACTCACCCACGTCGAGTCCCTCACGCCCCTAGAACACGGCTTGAGCCCAAACAGTTCCCTTGAACCAGGCAACCACACAGCTTTTACATAGCCAAAACAAGATACAGCAGTTCCAAGAGCCCTTCCCACAGTCTTGCAGGTGATGCGCAAGGCTCAGCAAACACGATATTCTTGGAAAGTTCCAAGCTCAACGCCGCAACCGCTCCCCAGCGACACGCTAGAACGATAGATTCGTCCTTGATGCCCCCTAAACAGTCTTTTGCCATGGTCGTCCGGCAAACTGGCAGAGTTAGACGTTGCTCGGTCCTGTCCCCATGGTTCTACCCTAAAGTTTCTTGGGCCGGACCTCCACTGCGTGAAGCGCCGGCGCGCGAAGAGTACGTGCGCTCGCGCATCGGTCGCGGACGGCTATATGCCTCGCGGCGAGTCGAGAGTACGGGAATCCATCGCTCTTCGTCCGCGTTGAGGAGCGGTAGCTGAGAAGTCGGTGGGCTGGAGCATCGGCCTTGGTGTGCTTTGCCTGACAGGCCGCGGTCAAGGCCACCACCCTTGTCTCCGGTAGCTCTCAATCACGGACTCGATCTCCTCCTTTGTGATCTGTGGATGGCGGTATCTAGGTGTATTTCGTCAGCATTACCCACCGCATAGCCTCTTTATTTGGCCTTGAAGGGGGAGGAAGCTCACTGAAACTCCGTCTCCCGCTCGAATTTGCCCCCGTCCATGCTCAAATCGGTGTCTTTCAGCAGCTCCTTCTCCATGAATGGGCTCAGCGGTGTCGTCTGCGTGATCCCGGCTTTCGCCTGCAGCTCAGCCCACGGGTCCAGGTTCTCGTCATTCACATCGTCGACCACGCCGTCGAGGTGCAGCTTCGCGAAGGCGGAGATGATGGTGCCGTAGAAGCCGGTGGGTATGTTGAAGATCTCGTGGATGAGCTGCGCCATTTTTGCTTGGGCTGTTGCGGGGGTGGGGTTGTCAGCCTTCACAGCCTCTGGTTCGTTGTGTGAAATCTCCACCGCGCATGGGGCTTGGAGACAGGGTAGGGCAAACTTACAAGTATTTCCATGATCCACAATGTTGAACACCGGCGGCGAAGGATGTGGCGTCTTCTCCACATACCACTCCGCCGCCGTCCACAACGCGCGTGCCACATCCTCCACATGCACCAGGTTCGTCCTCAGGTCCTCCTTCCACAGCCACTTCAGCTCCTTCCCCAGCTCCTGGTACACCCGTGCCATACACAGCGCCGTCCCTAAAAACTTCGCCGTATACGGCCCATACACATGCGCGAGCCTCAGCACCACGAGGTTCAACCCCTCGATCTTCGCCAAGTCCTCCTCCGCCTGCAGCTTCCACTTCGCGAGCTTTAGCCAGGGCTTCAGCTTGTCGGTTTCTTTCCGCGGGACAGAGTCGGGCTTGTACACCATGCCCGTGCTGCACTCGACGAAACATCTGATCCCGCGCTTCGCGGCTTCGCGCCCTACGGCCATGGACAGCGCGTACGAGCGCACTTTGTAGACTTCGTCTTCTTGCGAGTAGCGCGTTTCGCCGCCGCAGTTGAAGACGTAGTCGAATTGGCGGCCGGAGGCGCGGTCGAAGATGCGGGGGAGGGATTCTGCGGGATAGTCCGGTTAGCGCTGAGAAGAGTCGTAGGAAGACGCCCATATAGGGAAGGTAGCGCTGGGTGGGGTGCTCACGCTCTCGAGAGGCATCCGCCTGCATGAAATTGTCCCGCGAGAACGCGTCTTTGAACTCGGGCGCTAGCCATGAGAGCTCTGGGAGGTGCTTGTCGACGAGCCGCACTTTGGACGCGAGGTTGTGCTGGTGGATGTGGAGGGCGAGGAAGCGGCCGATGTAGCCTGGGAGTATGGAGGGATCAGTCAGGGCAACATGCTTCTGGGATTGAGGTGGTCTGAGTGGTATGATAGGCTTGCATACCGAGGCCTCCGATGATAAGGACCGCAGGCTTCTGTGCCGCTCCGTCAAGCGCTCCGTCACTCATGGCGCTCTGTGCGTGGTGATGAGTGCACGGCAGCGAGGGATGCCCTGCGGCCAGGGCTTGAAGGGACGCTTGGTGTTGACAGGGGATCGCTGCGATGTGTGTTGATATGTGGAGGGGGAGTGGGACGTGGGGGAACGGGGTATTCAAGGGAACAGGTTGATGGGGAAATCGTTCAAGATAACCAATCCAGCCGTATGGCGTGGATTTCAAGGGACAGATTCAATAGCAATAATATGCAAGAGGATGTCAACGAATGGTGACCTAACAGAGGCCTCGAGCGGGCCGAGAACGGCAGGAACGGGTGTGCGGGAAGACGCAGGCCACTGACTCCTGCATTGTCGTATGTGACATGCGACATGCGACATGCGACATGCCGCCTGCCACATGGTATCCAGAAGACGGAACAATCATCCAGGAATACCTGGGCTTTGTTTGGTGGTCCCAGAGTCAGTTACCCGCCCGGTGTTGCTCAGATCGGTGTCACACTGGGCGGTTCTCTATCTTGTGGGTCAAGTTGCACTGGTACTGGCACTTTGACATGCCGTGCGAGACATCGAGCGATCCTCCCCCAGGCTTCGTATTGAGGCGTCAACAATGTCTCCACCGTGTCTCAAAATAGAAAGTTGTGTGGATCCGTTTTACGTGCAGGAAATGCATGAAATGTCACCGCTCACAAGGGAGGGTCGGCAATGAATGTGTCTCATGCAGTGAGGCGCAATCTGCATAAGCCATCAGACGCAGCAAGCGCAACAAGCGCTGTGGGAGCACTGAAGAAGCAATAAGTTCCCGCCGTGGCTGCAGAGAGCCGTCATGAGCGGTTCCATTCGGAAGGAACCATTCCGGCGATTGCAAATGTTGACGATAGGCGCAAACCAGTTCATGCACCTCCGCCGTTAAGTTATTGCCAATTTGCCTGGTGACTCTCGTATCTGCATGGCTAGAACACGGCCTATGGGTTGACTGTCTTACTTAGGAGCAAGATTGAAGCTTAGATCAGGGACCAATCTGAAATGTAAATGAAGCACGGCAAGGCTCGTCCCGCCCTTGCCAACGGGAGGGACAGACATCAAAGCGCCAAGGGAAGATGCAAGCCACGAATGTCGAACCATTTTCTAATGACAAAACCTGCCAAAGACTACCATGCCGCTAAGACCGACTAATCAATGCTGTACGCCTTCAACTCTCGCCTCCCAGGCATGGGGTACGCCGGATGCATGCACTTAATAACTTTCGGACCTCTTGGACCTTCCGGTCGGAGGTCTCAACCAGATCCTCGGAATAGTTGCAGCGAAAGTGGGGACAAGATCGGCTCAGAACTTCCAGTTCTCATCGACAGACTTGATGGCCCAGTCGAACTTCTCACGGAGAGTCTTCGAGAAGAAGCGCTCGATGGGAACGTTGAACTTCTTCGAGAACACGACCGTCAGGCGAGGATCGATGTAATTCTGTGTGGCGGTTAGCGGGTATCTCTACGTGGAGCGAACAGCAACTTACGATCTTGGAAGTCCCAAGAGCTACTTCCTTGTTGTTGTCCTTGTCCTCAAGCTGCAGCTTCTGAGCCTCAATGCGTTCAGTAAGCTTCTCGATGTTCGCCTCGAGCTTCTCGATCGTGATGCCCTTGCCCTCGGCCTCCACCTTGCCCGTCTTGTTCTCCTTCTTGAACTTCTTCTCCAGCTCGTCCGCTACTTCCATGCGCTCTTCGAGCTCCTTGGACTTCATCTCCTTCTCGCTATCAGCGACACGCTTCTCGTTCTCCTTCTCAAACTTCTTCCGAATTTTTTCGCGCTCTTGCGTGACCAATGACTCCTGGTGCTGCTTCACCCATTCGTCATCGAGGTCCTCCGGCCGTTCGAAGAACTCTGCTCCCTTCTTCTTCTTGATCTTTGGGTCAAGGTCAATCATCATCTGCCTCATGCGCCATTGCTGGTAGCGGATGCCGTTAATCTGGGTTATGTCAGCCGTGCCCTTTCGAATTATACGTTTTTCCATACCTTCTCCTGCATCTTCTCTATTTGACCTGCGTGGCCAGCGGCAACAGTCCTCTTGTGGTTGCAAAGAATAGCGACCTTTCGGTTGGCGTCGTTGTAGTCCTTGACCTTTTCAGGTATGGTGCCTTTAGAGTGCATCTCCTGGAGCAATTGCGACATCGTGAAAGAAGCGTTGTAGGTACGGAAGACCTTGGCTGTTAAGCCAGGCATGTAGCTGCTCAGATGCTTGTTAAGCGTAGCCGTCTGCCTTGGCGTTAGCTATGCATTGTGGAATCTGATGTCGGAAACCTACCGTGAGTCGGTCAAAGATCTCATCTCCATCCTTCTTGGGCTCTTTCTTGAAGATCTTGAGGTTCTTGAACACCTGGGGGTCGACCTCGAACTCGTTGTAGAAGCGAATGCTGTCCTTGCCCAAGAAGTCAAAGATCACGGTGTTAGGAGGTTTGAGCGTAACATGCTCGAACTTGAGCGAGCAGCAGCCGACAGTGTCTGCTTCGTCCTCACCCTTCTCATTACCTGCACGCAGAGCAAATCGGTCAATGAGATAAACAGCCGTAGCCCGTTGCCGGTCCGCCATAACCCCGGACCTTAAGTCTTTGTTGTAGTCCTTACGAATGCGGTCGATATGCTTCTTGAGCTCCCTTGCTTTCTCAAATTTCTTGTAATCGCTCTGGCCTTTAATGTCGGAGTTCGCGGCAAGCATAACATATTTGTATGCGCCGTTGATGTTCTCTTGCCACATAGCCAGCCATGTGCCTTCTTGGTCATGCTTAACCTCTTTCCAGCGGTGGCCTTCCGGTGGCTGCGGGACGGTTGCTTCTTTGCCGATGTTGATGGTGATCTGCTCAGGCGGTACCCTCTTTTTCACCTTGCCTGTCTTTGGATGCTCTCCCCGGCCTCTGAACAGTCCAGGGGGCTCGACGCGAAAGTTCCCGACCTTCTGCTTACGGCCGTCCCACATGCAGTACATGTAAGGCGCCTCAGCTTCGTCCTTGGCAGCTTTGATCCCCTTCTTCTCAGCTGCAGGCAAGGCTTTCTTCGCTTCACGCTGGGCGTCATAGTACTCGAAGATTGGTTTGAAGTCGCACTTCTCGAACGAGGTGATCTTGACAGTCTTGCCGTCCTTGTCTTTGGCGTGGCCGGTTTTATCCAGAATCTCCTTAAAATCGCCAAAGAAGTTTTTGTTGAAGGTTGGGTTTTCAACATTGTGGGTTGAGTTAAGCATGGACCCGTAGAACCCGGCAACTTCTTCGGCGTCCGGATGGAGACTTACAGGAACGCCGTTGTAGCGCATCTTGACATGCTTCGGAAGAGGCTCGTACGGAGGTGGGAACACAACACCGCTATGCTGAAGAGTGGTCCACTTTTTGGTTCCGTCGCCCTTAGATGGATCCTCCCACCATCTGTACTCCTCTTCTTCCGCCTCGGCATCCTCGTCTTGCTCAGTTTCCGCCTTCACGGCCTTGCCTTTGCCCTTCTTCGCGGGTGCTGACGGTTCGGCCTTGCCCTTGGCCTTTTTTGCAGGAGGCGCCTTGCGGCTCAACGGGACATCGTCGTCGGACTCGTCTTTCACTCCGTTGCTGGCCTTTTTCGCAGATGCTGCCGGCTTCTTCTTCTTGACGAGAGGGGCGTCGTCGTCACTATCAGCGTCCTCTTTCTTGGGCTTCTTCTTAGTGGCGACTGACTTCTTCTCTTCCGCACGGATCGCCTTGGCCGTTTTCTCAGCAGCCTTCTCAATCTGCTTCTTCTCCTTGGCAAGTTTGGCGGTTAACGGAGTATCCGAATCCGATGACTCGCCAATCTGCGCAGCTGTGACCTTTGGAGGCTTCTTGGCATGGGTCTTGCGGGCCATGGGTTTGTCGTCGCTGAGCTCTGAGTCGGAAGCTGGCTTAGGCTTCGATGTCTTGCGCCGTTTGCTCTGGTAATCGGTCAGCCAGGGCATGAGTGAAGGGATAAAAGCGTGCTGGATGGCCCACCAAGGGTATGTCGTCCTCTTCCTCCGAGGCGCTGGCCTCCTTGTAGCTCTTGCCATTTGAGAGACTGGCGCGAGCCTTGCGCTTCCCGTTTGTGTGAGCGCCAGAGTGTGGCTCGTCAACTTCCATTTCCTCCTCCACAGGTCCCATGCGGACGGACACGCCGGGATTTATATCGCTGTTCGAAGGCATCTCTCTGTCTAACGCTCGGTCGACGTTGTTAGGTATGTGGTCTTGAGACTTGACTGTGAGGTGGTTAGCTCAGGGACCACGTCTGAACAGCACCTGACCTAACGGTGTGATTGCCACATGAAAAGAAGCAAGTGGAGAAAGCCGAATCGCAAGGACAGGCACAGGAATGACAAGCACAGCTGAACTAGCGCGCGCCGATTGGTTTGGGTGACCCACCTCCGTTCATCCTGCCTTTCCGAATCGGCATATCGTCGTCTGAAGAAGACATGGCGAAATGGACACGGTCGCGATCGTCCGGGTAGAGATGCAAAGCGTGGGAGCTGGCTGCCAGCGGCGCGTTCTGTCGTTCAGCAACAAGTCTGGTGGTGAGGCGCAAAGCTGAAATGACCAAGTCCGCGTGGCGCGTGAGGCGGCGACGAACAACGATGATGGAAGATGAAGAAAGTAGGCAGATGTGTAGCCAGTGACGTGGGCAGCGAGGGAGAGGAAGAGGTTTAACGAGAAAAGAAGCGCAGGGTCGGGCAATAGCATTAATAGCCTCCTGAACGGCTCTCGCAGTGCAAGGTCACGAGAAAATGTGGAGCTAGCCGCTTTCGGACGGATTTCGTTTTGCCGAGCGACGCTGGAACGGTGGAGGGTTGCGCTGCTCGAGGGCTTCACTGGCTCCCATCCACTGAAGCATCAGCCAGCTGTCGATTGAACCACTCGGCGCTGCCACCCACTCTCCTCTCCACTCCAGTTGCCTTCACACCGCGAGCATGCTTTCGAGAGCTGCACATCCGGCATTGAGGGCTGGTGTCGCGGCCGCCGCCCGGTACGCTGCCTGGGAGCTGGGGAGCTTCATCACCTCCGCCAGGTGCTGCATCATCTGCTGACAGGCTATGATTATAGGCCCGCGACCCTCAATGTCATCCATCCTGCTGGCTATGCCACCCTTCGCGAAATTGAAGGCCGTCTCAAGTCAATCCGCAACATCGAGAAGATCACCAAGACGATGAAGATTGTGGCCTCCACCAAGCTCACCCGCGCGCAAAGGGCCATGACCGAGTCCCGGACCTACGGCCAGACCTCAAACACTGTCTTCGAGCAGGCAGAGACCAAGGCGGCGGATGTGGAGGGCAAGAAGACCCTGGTGGTTGTCTGCAGCTCGGATAAGGGTCTTTGCGGCGGTATCCACTCTGGCTTGTCGAGGAAGACGAGGAAGATGTCTGCGGAGAACTCAGATTTCGACCTCGCCATCCTGGGTGAGAAGTGCAAGGCGCAGTTGGGCAGATCCAATTCGAAGCAGATCGTTCTCAGCTTCGCCGGTATTGGAAAGGACGTGCCCACCTTCGCGGATGCGCAGGCTATCGCCGATCAAATCTCTCTCCTCCCTACGGATTACACATCCATTCAGATCATGTACAACAAGTTCGTCAACGCTCAGACCTATGAGCCAGTCATAGTCGAGGCGTTTTCGGAGGAGGCAATCGCCAACTCACGTTAGTACCGTCTGGGTCACTTCAAGGTCGGCGTTTCAGCTCACAGATCTTTAGCAAACTTCGCGGCTTTCGAGATCGACGACGAGGTTCTCACCAACCTCCGGGAGTATGCTCTTGCCAACGCCCTATACTGGGTACGCACGCATCTATCTTCTCTCTAATGTGTGCTAACGAAGACTAGGCCCTAGCTGAAGGCCACGCGTGCGAGCAGTCTGCTCGACGAAACGCCATGGATGTAAGTTTGATCGCAGAGTACCGTCTCTCACGCACCATCTAACATTTCACAGAACGCTTCCAAGAACGCTGGTGACATGATCAACAAATTCCAGATTCTTTTCAACCGCACTCGCCAGGCCGTCATTACTGGCGAGTTGGTGGAAATCATCACTGGTGCTGCTGCTTCGGAGGAGGGTTAAGCGAGCGATATCTACTACCGGTTTGTCATCTACGGAATGCGCACCTCAGAATCGGCCCGCACGGTCTTGCGTATGTAGAATAAGTACTGCTCTGTTCATACTGTATCGACTCAGGCTGTTACGCTCCCTCGCTAAAGCAGATGTGACGACTAACAACATGACTGAAAAATAGTCCAGTACGGACCCTAAGGCGGAAGATGGATGCCGTGAAGTGAGGAATCTTAGATTTACGAGCGGGCTAAGTTGACTTGAAGTTCTTTCGTTGCTTTCAGAATAGAGGTAATCAGCTTTCCCTCTTGTACCTACTCTTTCAGAGTTGCGAGGTCGTAGAACTCCGAGGGTGAAGCAAGAGCATCTGCACTCCTCGGCTGCTCCTCGGACCAGCGTCGACGAACCGACGAACGACAACAGCAACTTTAGTAAAGAACTCGACCTCGACTGACCCGTAGCGCCGCCGCTGTTTGGTTCCTCACGCTCCTTTGCACTCGTGTCCTGTATCAAGTCCTCTGAGAATGCACTCAATCATCTTCCGATGGCCCTCGTTCTCCTGACACGCTCCTTCACCTGATTAGCTTCATGCGTACAATGTTTTGCTGCCGACACTAGGAACCATACAACACCGCTGAATCAGTCTGAGAAGCATGTTGTCTTCTACCGTACCCCAAAGGTCTTTCCTGTCGAACACATACGTCAGCAGAAACTTCGGCACAGACAACATGTCGACGGGTGGGATACGCGTAGCGTACTTCGTGCTGCGAGATCAGCTGCCCCAGATCAAGCGCCTCTACTTTCAGCGCCAGTACAAGCTATGCGCTGCACGTTGCATCGAGATGCTGCAAAGCGCGCCGACGGATGTGAGTCCGCACATGTGTTCGGAATCCCACAGTGATATTCGGCGGACTAGATGCTGCTCTATCCCGTCGCTCTACAGCAGGAACGGGCACTTTCTTACGTATGGCTTACAGATCGAGCCTGTTCATGCAACCTACCTCAGCTTCTACGCCGCCCTGTCCTACGACGCCCTCGCCCGAGACATGCACCACAGCTCGTCCGCCCGGTTGCGCACGCTTCAGCTTGCCGAGGAGCACTACACAGCGGCAATATCTAAGCTAGGAGGCGCTGCACTCACCGCGAAAGATCCATATGCTCGAGCTTTTGGCGAGCTCCACTCCACCAACGAAAGTACCATCATCCCAGATGCGTGCCGCCATCGCTCTTCATTCGATTCTGGTTACTCTACCGCGGCATCCAGACCCACGACCGCGCAAGCTACATCTCTGAGTCACGAGCCGAGCGGATCGGATGTGCTTGATGATCCCTTCATTACCTACGAACCATCTCCGCTGCGCGTCCACAAAGCACCGCCACGCCCAACACCCGAGGCCCTACGATTCAACAACCGCCTAGCAGAGCGCGACCTCTCTGCCGAGCTTGCCGCGCTCCTAACTTCACCCGTACGACCACGCGATCCTGCAAGCAATTACCTCTCATCTCCTGGCAACGACGACGAGGATACTTTCATCTTGTCAACAAGTCGCCACATCCGCCGCTATAAAACACACCTGGCTAGCCTCACCAGCATGTTACAAGCACACCTCGACAGCGTCCGCTCGCGTATTGTTTCCGCACAACCACTGCGGGTGCCAACCCACAAATCTAGACCGGTATCTCGGGCTTCCTCCTACCACTCCTCGGCTGGATATAGCCCACATGATGTGTCGTTTAACGCTCAGCGCCAGGAGCGCAGAAGGCATATGAGTGATGAGGAGAAGGCTGAGCGCATTAGGCGTGGGAGAGAAGTGCGTTGGGCTAGGGAGAGGTTTTGTGCGGAGAAGTATGAAGTGCTCTGCAGGAGAGCATTGGCGGAGCTGTGATGTGGCAACATTGTTGGATGCTGCGTTTGAATCCTTTTGCTGTTGCGGAGCTGTGTTAGAGGCGATGTCCCGAGGTTCTCGATGGTGATACGACGATGGGCGTTGGACATACTGGATGGATGATTGAGAAGTTGGGTAGCTGCACTGCCTTCTGACTCTGTTTGCGGATACTAAGGGGCTACTTGCTTGCGTTTCTTTCGAATTCAATCACTGGCGTGAGCCACGCTTGACACGTTTTTACAGCGATGCATGGAACTACAACTCGGACTGTTCGCTCAACGCGATGAGCGTTTCTCAACCAACGAGTGCGAAGCCTCCAAGCATCTCCTTTCCGGGAGGGAGCAAAGCATGTCTTCGCGAGTACATACGAGGAGCCTCTACTGACCCTGTTCTAGTACGGCCCAGCATGTACCCAGCAGAACACCTTCCACAGTGCGCCAAAGCCATAGATGACAACTTTCAGTCCCAGAACGCCACGGCTATGCAAAGACACAATTCGTCCATCTCAGCAACATCTACCGCCGCCTTTCACTTTGCCCTCACCGCTTCCGCTACCTCATGATCTCATCCAGTCCTCTCCTCATCCTCTGGCATTTCAGCTTCAGCACCTTGACACTCTCCAGGAACAGCTCATCGCTATCCCACTGTCCTGTACTCTCAATCCTGAAGATGAAGTGATCCCTTACTCGTCCCAGCTTGACTTTGTTCTTGAACTCCTCGTGTCTGAGGCACTCTCGCGAGACTGTGTCCTTCATAGGATCCTTCACTACCGCTTTGACCTCTCCCTCATGGCCTTCGTATCCGCTGTTGGCTGTGCTCGCTTCCTCAGCTGTGACAGGCTCAAGCCCGATCACACCCTTCGGAAAGCAGCGCGCGAACTTCCTCGCGTCAGCCCCAACTATCGGCGAGGTGATATTGATGGTAGGCAACAGCCGATACGACGCCGTCGCCACAGGCGAGAACTTCGCATGATCACCTCCCAATCCCTTAACGCAATGCATCTCGATCTTGATCTCCTGGCCCGGCCGCATCTTCGCGAGCAAGATATCCGGGTTCACCGGCACAATCGGCTCGTCCTTGAAATACTGCACCTGCTGGCCCGTAGGCTGGAACTCCAGTTGGTGCGCATAGACGCTCGAGTTGACATACAGCCGCTTCGGATCCGTCTCGCCGCGCTTGGCGCGCTCCTTGCCTTTCTCATGCCAGGTGCACTCGACATCTAGGCCTAGCACGACGGTGTTGTAGTCACTGGGTACGGACGCCTCAGGCTCATCTTCCGTCGGCTTCTTGTACCAGCGCAGCCAGTTCAGCCCGGCTTTGCTGCCTTTCAGCGGGACGAGCCCCAGCCGCGCGGCGAGGACCTCGTCTTGGATCACGGAGGTGTTGTTGAAGACGTAGGCGGTTTCGATGGCGAGGGTGGGGATCTCGGCGATCAGGATGCGGCGGAAGGCGTTGGCGATGGAGGCGTCGACACCGATGAGGGAGAATGATGCATCATGTTGCGCGTTGGTGTGGAATTGGATTTTCAGGTTGTCGGCGAATTTGGAGAGGTTCCAGGAGTGGTCTTCGTAGGGGTAGTGGTGCGGGAAGTCGGTCGAGGTTACGGCGGTGACGGTTTCGGCGTTGATGCCGACCATCTGAGTAGCGGATGTTAGTGTTTGGAGATTCTGAAGTTAAGACTGTGTACCCACTCTCCGCCTCTCCAGCTCCTCCGCGGACGGAGGCACAACATTAACAGGCTGATTTGCGTTGAAGCCCGGCATCTTTGTGAGCTTTACATGCTTTGGCGGGGGAGAAGTTCGCGCACCAAAAAAGTTCACGATGCGCCGGAGCATCGGCGTTTGTGTTCCTCCATCTCGAGCCGCCTCCCGCATCGACGACCTCATCAGCTTAGCGGAGAACAGCGCAGCCGCCACACCTCTCCGCCCCGTTTCCTACTACTTCTCTTTATTAGGACAGCAATTGAGACTTTAGCATTGGAAGCCTATCGACAATGCCCGTCTCCTTTGCCCGAATAGCCTGCCGCTCGGCGAAGCGGGTCTGTCTTCGCCCCAGGACGCCTCACGCCAGCATTCCCGCATACCGCAGCATCGCGACCTCGCTGCCCCGGCACTTCGCTCAGGCATCAGAACCCTCGACAGAACATGGAGCCGCCGGCGTGGGCGGCACACGCTTGATCAATGTCGACGCAGACTTTTCCCGGCCGATCGACCCGAACGACGAGAAGGGCATGGACAACGCAAACGACAACGACACCAGCAAGAGGAAGATCAGACACTACACCGTCAACTTCGGCCCGCAGCATCCAGCAGCCCACGGCGTGCTACGGCTGATCCTCGAGCTCAACGGCGAGGAAATCGTGCGCGCGGATCCGCACGTCGGCCTGCTGCACCGCGGCACAGAGAAGCTGATCGAGTACCGGACGTACCTCCAGGCGCTGCCCTACTTCGACCGCTTCGACTATGTCAGCATGATGACCAACGAGCAGTGCTACTCGCTCGCGGTGGAGAAGCTGCTGAACGTCGAGATTCCGGAACGGGCGAAGTGGATCCGGACGCTGTTCGCGGAGATAACGCGGGTCCTCAACCATCTCATGTCTGTGCTGTCGCACGCCATGGATGTTGGTGCCCTGACGCCGTTCTTGTGGGGGTTCGAGGAGCGTGAGAAGCTTATGGTGAGCATCAGCCTAGCATTATAGCAGTAAAGAGACAGCGTCGCTGAACGGTGCCAGGAATTCTACGAACGCGTCTCCGGCGCCCGCCTCCACGCCGCCTACGTCCGCCCCGGCGGCGTCTCGCAAGATTTGCCCCTCGGCCTCCTTGACGACATCTACCAATGGGCCACGCAATTCGGCGACCGCATCGACGAGACCGAGGAGCTGCTAACCGACAACCGCATCTGGAAGGGCCGCACACAGGGCATCGGCGTCGTGTCCGCCGCAGACGCAATCAACTACTCCTTCTCCGGCGTGATGCTCCGCGGGTCCGGCGTGCCCTTCGACGTGCGCAAGAGCCAGCCATACGACGCATACGACCAGGTCGAGTTCGACGTGCCCGTGGGCGTCAACGGCGACTGCTACGACCGCTACCTGTGCCGCATGGAGGAATTCAGGCAGAGCCTCCGCATCATCCACCAGTGCCTCAACAAGATGCCGACTGGCCCTGTGAAAGTCGAGGACTATAAGATCGCGCCCCCGCCGCGGGCTGCCATGAAGGAGAACATGGAGGCGCTGATTCACCACTTCTTGCTGTTTAGCAAGGGATACAGCGTACCGCCAGGTGAGACCTATTCTGCGATCGAGGCCCCGAAGGGAGAGATGGGCGTGTTCTTGGTCAGTGATGGCAGCGAGAGGCCATATAGGTGTAAGGTGCGTGCGCCAGGGTTCGCGCATCTCAGCTGCTTCGATCAGATCTCGAGGGGGCATTTGTTGCCGGATGCGGTGGCTATCATTGGGACGATGGATCTAGTGTTTGGAGAGGTCGACAGGTAGATTGAGAGTGGAGTGAACGGGAGCTGGGAGGATGGCCGAAAACGCTTCCCTTGGCCTGCCGAGACATTGCTGTCATATGTGCATTGAACTGTGTATATTCTTGTAGCGAACTGCTTGATTCATGAACTATCAGAGTATCAATCTCAACACAGCTCATGTGGAATCCGTTGTTTACAGGGGCAATGGTTAATCAATGGTGAATCGATGGCAAAGAGCACCTACGCCTAACCATGGTACTCACGATGACTCGCTGCTAGCTTTCGCGTTTTGTTAAGCAGACGGCCATCGCAACGGCTGCGGAAGGGCTTCAATCCCAGCGGGCGCCGCACGTTTTTGACATACGGGGTGAAAATGTCGGAAATGCTTGGAACAAGCTGAGGCTAGCTTCATAGACATATGAGGCTGCAGAGAAAAAGCTTGAGACTACTTGGGCACTAGGGACATTACATCCCTAGCAACGAACTCCAACAAGAGTGCTTGACCTTAAGTAAGAAGAATGTTCCTTGGTGGACGGAGAACTTAGTGGAGTGGCCTGGTTCTGGTTAGCGTTAAGCTCACCTGATGGTAAGCATCATTGGAGCCATCGCAGTTTTTAGCATCATTCAGTGATGCAGAACATAGTGATTAGTCAAACGTGAAGATCTTCTTTGCTTCGGCTTCCAAGTGTTCATCACACGCGTGTAGGCCGCCGTAAAGGGTTCAAAGTTGTTTCAGGCTTCGATGTCCGCAGTGTACTGCCTTGACGCGTCGACATATCGAACTGACCATGGGAATTTTCCTGCATCCTAGAGGCGCTCCTTCAAGTGAGACGAACATAGATGGAATGGCCCGCCTTGCTCGGATTGTCTATGGACATCTCCTTGTTGTATTTGTGCTCGGTGGTCAGGTCGTAGGTTCCAGCGAATGCCTTCTTCGGTTGTGGACTTTCGCCGCACCCCTAGCGGGTCGAACAGGTACGGCCGAAGTCGCAGGGTCGGTGACGCTGTGCAGTTTCTCGCGAGTTTACCGACTGAGACGAGTGTGAAGTCCTCGCGCCTGATCAGACCGTATACCTGGCGACAGCAGAGGAGAGGGGGGTAGTCAGTAGTCATGTGCTCGACCGTTCAGCGTGAACCCGAGTGCACAAAAACTGTGACTCCAGCCAGTGCGACGTTGGATTTCAACATGACACTGGCTGCCTCTAAAGACTTGTAGCGTCCCGGAAGCTGTTTACATTTGGCGTCCGAGAGCTGGTGGGTCATCCATCCTAACTTTGCACCTCTGCCAGAATGTTCTGCCAGGCTGTCCTCTGCTGTATTGGAGCGCTTGGTTCTTCCTTGCGCCCTTCGCGGTATGTGACGTATTGGCTGGTGTTCCCCACAGTATTCCACATCTATAGTCGCCGAACCCGTTGTCCTGTAGCAACTTTCTCGCCCAGTGCAACCTGACCAGGTATTTAATCACTGGCCTCCTGTGTTGGTAAGTTATACGGCGTTTGAGGAGCCGTTCAATCTTGTAAGCGGGGTCCTCTATATCTGCCGCTGAGGCCAGTCCAGGCCCGGAGTCGGCGTGGGGTCTTATGCATTCTTCCCAGGTGCAGCAGGTTTAGGTGAGCGGTCAAAATAACTGGATATATCTTTGTTCTTGCTGAGAGCTCAAATTCGTATGCGAGATTCCCGATCTTCTTGACATTAAAATCATCTGCTCTCGTCCCTCCTAGCCTTGAACTTGGGCTTCCATCTACAAGTTTGGATCCAAAACCGATACTGCATAGCTCAGGACTATGAGTATGCGTTCTATTGCAAGGTGTTCTGCTTTACCACTTGAGCGAGGCGTCGAGAAGTCTAATTTCGATGTTGTACTCAGTACGCCGTCTGATTGCTAGCCTCCCTCGGAATCTTTGGTCGCAATTGGTTAGAAGTTGTACTCGGCTGCACGGCTCAGTGCAAAATTCAGCCTCAGAGCATCGGCGATGAAGGCTATGCCTTGAGGCTTATCAGCATCGGCGCATATAAAGTTGACTAGTATTACTGGTTTTTCGTCGCCCTGGAAGCCATCGACGGTCGACAACTTAAGCCGCTTCACCCCGGCGGCGGCAACGGTTGAAAGGGCAGCGCGGAGCTTCGCCTTCGAGTCTTTGTAGAAGGTGATGATGCCAATGTCGTCAACCCGAATGGCCCTGCCGTTGGGTTCGCCGCAGTACAGGATTGGAAAGATGTCCTTCCAGACCTTCGTATCATTCTTTCGCTTTGACCCGAGTGATTCATTCGTCTTGGAGTAACGAACTTGGAAGGTCGAATGCGGTTTTTCTTCCGTTGTGTCTCCTCGCCAAAGCCGTGCGGCTTGTTGTATCTGTTTCAGCAAGCACACTGGAGCTCGGGATTTCCGGAGGTAGGAGCCAGCTGTTTAGCCGGTCCTTGGATCCCGATCAAGCCGCGGCCGCGGCGCTTGCGCTATGTTCTTATAATGCAATGGCTTTAAAGCATCTGGAAGGTGTCAATGTCTTAGCTTCTTCGACATGCTGTGTGATCGCGTGCTGTTGACATACCAGAGGAAGTTGATGCTACCAGTCAACGTCACAATTCTTGTAGACTTGTGTATTTCTTTAGGGACTGCATTAAATCGTTACTCTTAGACCACAGGACGTCGACTGATAAGAGGTATCCGCCTAGGCAACTGTTGTTGCTGTTATTGTTATTGTTACTGCTGCTGTTACTGTTGTTACTGGTGGTTTCTATGGTTGGTGGTGCTGGTTGCCACGGTGGCAGTGGGGTTTCTCGTCATTCTGGCGCTTGGTGCCAACGGCGAGGTGCTCCGAGTTCATGCACCACTTGTACCCGCACAGGTGGAGAATGGTGGTCGGGTCGCTCGACTGCTTGCTCTGCGAAACGGCGGCCAGCAACTGGGGGTTGCAGGACAATGGTGCCGAGAGATGGGCGCGATGCGTGGCGATGATGTGATAGATGTAGATGTTGGCAGAGACTCCTTGAGGCAGGCTCGTCTGCTTGCTGTTGCTTGTTACTGCTGTTAATTTTGTTGCTATCTTTCAGGACGCAGTTGGACGACCGTCCATTTGAATCATGCTTGGTAGTTGGATCATCGACCAGTTGACCGTACGGAAAGCGAGGATCCGCCGACGAAGTCGTTCGTGCAACGGTTATTATACGGCGAAGATAGCGTCAGGAAGCATACAGGTCCCAGGCGGGCGCCAATCAACAAGTTAGGCTGTGATACGTCTTCCTGTGCTTAGTTGTGGTGCGATAAGATAGCAATGGCAGTCAATGTCTGGAGACAATCCTTCCTCGGTAAGAGCTTTGTACGTTTGTTGTATCTGCTCTTGGATGTTGTAACCTTCGGCGTCACGCGTTAGATGCATCAAGAGTTGGTGTAAATTAGTAAGAAATTATGGACGAGGAGGCCAGGACTAGAATCTACAGGAAAGGCTGGCAACGGTGTGAGCGAGAGCTAGAAGCCGTGGAGGATGATATCCGTGCCAGGTCCGTGTCTAAGCGGGCGGCTTCCCGATGGTGATGAATTTGCTGCTAAGGCATTCCTGGAATATGTCGTTTAAGGTGCTAAGATGGTTCTCTGCTCCTCGTGCAGATTAGATTGAAAGGCGTCTAGGCTGCAAGTGCTTTTCAGCGAATGTGTTAGAGTCTCTTAAACGCCCTTGCTCGATTATGAGGAAACAGAAGTTCGGCAGAACTGGTGTTGGCGCGATGAGAGGCTAGATTATGATAGGATTGAGAGCTCCGTGGGATGCCCCTGACGAAGGATGCTTCTGCTGCGATGGCCAACAACAGGTGAGTTATTAGTATTGGACTGGAGCAGAAGCGATTTGAAGGAGGAAAGGATATGAACGAGAAGTGGCTCCATAAAGCGCAGGCTCGCAATAAAATGCCAGAATCAACAATCGTGAAAACAGGGTAATATCAGATGAACCAGGGAAATTACGCCACGCGAGTGCTAACGCCCCCAATGCTACTAACGCAACGGGCATTTCAGCTGTCCTGTAGAACGATCCTCTCCGCTCTGTGCTCGCTCCAAACAAGCCCTATGCCACAAATGTCTGCAGGCAAAGACCACCAAGGGCCCAGATTCGTTTACTGTGCCTCCACTCTGGAGGTCAGCTCCTTCACCATCACCTGCAGAATCTCTGCTTCGGTCTGTAGTCCTAGCCGGACCAGACTCTGCTCGTCCCTTGCCTCTCTCAAGCCGCCTGGCTGCCTCTCCGCCCCCTCTTTCCAGTCTCCTCTCCTGCCTGGATTTCTCCTCTAACTCCCGACTCCGTTCCCAAGACTGCCATATGTCACCGCCAGCTCCGGGACCCCAGACCCTCCGTCTACATCCTTCACAAACCTGACCGCGAGGCCTCCATCCTCGCTGGCGCAGTGCGTGTGCCTCAGAGACCTGGCCGAAGAGGTCTTTGTCCAGGAACTGGTTGGCGAGGGAGAGGATGGTTTCTTCGAAAGTGTAGGCGGAGAAGATTGAGGCTAAGACGCTGCGTAGGTCGGACAAGGAAGGCGAGGAGCGCGAAGCGCGAGTCAGGAAAGCACGCAGGATGCGTAGAAAGGTCGGATGGCGTGCAGACGATTTGAGAGTTGGTATTGAAGGAGATGTTTTTGCTTTGCTTTCCGCTGAGGTAGCAGCGAGGAGAGCGGTGAAGGTCTGCTGAACGGAGCCGCGGAGGGAGTTGATAACTTTGCGGATGTCGACGGGCGATTGTGCTGATCGAGTATCGATATCTCCGGCGGCAGTGGACACGTTCTTGGTGACAGTCACTACAGTGTCGATGAGATCGAGCCAGAGTAGCTCATCAAGAGTCAAATCACTCTCTGACTTGTCAACTGGACGGAGAGGTTCAGTTTCTGGTGCTTTGAATTGGCCCACTGAATTTGTTTGACCTTGACACAACCAGACGCCAACTCGTACGTATTTTTGTACGGCGTCGAGCAAGTCTTCAGCTGCTTCCTCAGTGTTCGCCGTATCTGGGCTCTCCGCTGCGGCATTGAGCAGGCCGGTCAAAGCCGTTTCCAGCGTACGAAGGTGCTTCACGAGACGATCCATAGCATCCTGGACTAACCCGTCTCGAGCCATCAAAATGACTGCTGCGTCAACGACGCCACTGGTTTCCATGGCCGGTAGCACTTGACTGAGGTTCAAGTCGCCCGACCGAAGCAAGCTAACGTAGTCAGCCACATGAGTGGGATCATAACGGCACATCAGCAAAACATAACGGTCCCGGAAGCCAAGTTCAAGACGTTCAATAGCTTGTCCATCGGCTGCTGGGTCCTGAATGCTGGGTTCTAGAAGCGTTCTTAGGATCATAAACTGCGCCTGTGAGCCGTCTTCAAGGCCATTCAAAACGGGTTCCAGCAGATCCGGCGCGTAAGTCACCAGGATCTGAGCGGTCCGAACGCTATTGACGGCCGCTAGATCCTTAGCATGGCGAACGATTACACTTTGAACATCGGCGATTTGTCGTTTGTTAAGGCCTCGATTCGGCCTCAGAATGTCCCCGATACAGTCAAAAACAGCATCTCGATCGCTCAGGTCGTTGAAGTAGGCCTCTAGGAGCTTTGCGTACTCCTTGGCGCCTCGGAAGACGGATTTAAGAACACGATGAAATCCGGCTTTCTGAAATAACGGAATGAGTGAGCCCAGGTCAGATGGATGGTATACTGAAAGCAGATACTCCACGCTCAGCTGGCAGTCCTCCGCGAGCTCTTCTAGAGGATAGTTGCATAAACCCTCCAGCACCCTGTGAAGTACCGATCCCGGCAAGATGATGTATTGAGGATATTTGGGCAAGCTACGCGCAACGAACATGTAGATGTAAATGACATCTTCGGGCTCCAAGGTGTCGGAGGAAGCCAACCCGATCAATATGTTGAGGATGTACTGTCGCGTCGGCGACAAGCGCAGGCCGTCTCTATGCTCCTTCGGAGCTACCCCATTAGTGGACGCATCTTGATTGCCGTTGAGAAAGCTGTCTTCGAACGCTTCGTTGAACATGCTCATTAGGCTGCCTGTGTCGAAGTTCAAAATCAGGCGTAGATAAGGGAGCGATGGTTCTGGGCCTTTGTCTAGCCGTGTTCTGAAGATGTGCCCGCTCCCTTGCGGCCATTCCACAACCTTGCCTGACAGGAGGAATCCGTACAGCTCGGCCTTCGCATCAGTGGCATCTCGCTCAGGAAGGGAAGCACCACTGGGATAGATCCTCCCCGTAAGCGCGTAAGCAAGATAAGTGAAAAGCTTCATCGCAGAAGGTAGGTGTTGTGATTCGAGAGCATCGCCATCCTCCTCATCCTGGTTTATAGTCTTGACGAGTGAAAGGAGCTCAATGAGAGGGGTGATGTAGTCTTTTATGGCCTGCTGCCAAACGTAGATCAGAGCGTCGTAGAGGTTATAGCGTTTGCACAAAGTCGTAACTTGATCAATGTCCATGGTCTGCGTGTCCAATCGGCACACCATCTCTTCCAGTAAGCTGGTCCGACCCTTGGCGGCATAGTACGTAATCAGGTCTTTTAGAACATTAGGCGGCACAGCAGTGACCTCTCCACCTGTGATGTAGGGCTCCAACGCCCCTAGAAAGAGTCCCTCGGAGGAGGCCTCTTTGTATGCTTCATATACATCGTCGAACAAGAAGTCTGTCTCTTCCATGCTCAGACACGCAGTGAACGTAACGGCGGTTAGTTCCACAAGTTGCTTGGTCGTCAAATCACCATGACTTGCACCCTGGGTCCTTCGAAACGTGTATCTCAGCGAGGCTGATATCATGTCCATTAGCTTCTCGTGCACAAGAGCATGTCTTGCATTGTGGTCGTCCGGCAGACCTACTGTCAGCTTATCGGCGTCGCCATTGTAGTACGAAGTCGCAAGCCCGATTGCGGCAATGTAATCGCCCTCTTCCATGAGGGCTAACAACCGGTCGGCCCAATTGGAGAGCGTTCCGACGGAAACTTCGTTGAATCCAAGGAGGAACAGCCGCCCTTTGTAGGCTCTAAAGCTCATGTGAAAGGCATCGGCGACAACGCCATGCATGGATACATCTTCTTCATCCAGTTGTTCAACTACCGGTTGGAGTTGACGGGAAAACAGGTCCTGGTGGAATATGTGCTTGTGAAGGAGATCAAAGGAGTCGGTCATCCGCAAGGAAGTGTCTTCAAGGATCATTAGCCGTTGGCTGATAGTCAAGACACCAAGGACAGATCGACTAAGCCACTGGATGGCAACGATGGCTTCCTCGCAGCGCCATCGACTCCGGGGGCGGAAGTGCAGGTTAGGCGGTGTCTCCTTCTCCTCCTTCTCCTCCGCATCCACGTCGAGTATGGTCAGAACATTGGACCAGCAATATACCAGCTTCGTCCTGGAGGTCGACTGTTGAGCATTGCCGGCCGCGTTCTTCAGCTTCACCGCAGGAAACCAGGCAAGGCAGCCGCTCAAAGTACTGTGTGGTGCGATCTCCTTCGGCCTCGATGCCTTGTGCTGTGTCTGTGCGATAGGCGTAGTAGAAACAACGACGAGGAGGTATGGCGTCAATAGCGCAGTCAGGCCCATGCTGTCGGTAGGCTGTTCTACATTGCCAAGGGGCAGCGGTGCAAAGGCTAGCACAGAGCTAGGTTTACGGGGACGTTCGTCGGAGATCGCAGAGGGCGGGTATCGTCCCAGTATGCGCGTCGTGTTCACACTTCGAGCTACGGCGCCGAGACCCCTTGTTGCGAGGTGAGAAAATGCCATTCCGCCATCATCAGCGGAAACCAATGCGGTATGGCGGGTGCCTAAGAAGCCCACGTGCAATATGGCAGCATCCGTGACATGACCGTCCGCCTTGCGATTACTCAGTTGCTCTCTGTCAAGAGGCAAGATGTGCAGGAAGGGCTTCGCTGGCCTGGAAAGCTCCCACGTGAATATGTGGCCATTCGCATGCCCACCAGCTACAGTAGAATGGTCGGCAGATAAAGCCAGAGAGGTTATGCTACCGCATTCGACGGCTGACAAAGTTAGCAGCGCTCCCGAGTATGGAAATATAAGTGTACCGCAATTGCTTCCGATGGCAAAACGTAAATTTTCAACGACATCGGTATTAAGCGGCGGCCCAGGGGCATGGCCGTAGAGAATCCACAAAATGCGATTCAATCTTACAGTTTATACTTGTGAAGAGGATGTCGCTTATGGCAATACAGGGAGCGGTCTGCGGAGAACGACGAAGCAACGAACTAGCTTACCTTTAGTCCCAGGTCCAATGATCGATTTGAGAGTCTGCTGGTAGTCAAAGACCAGAATAAATCCCTTCGAGGTGCCGATTGCAATAGACGCAGCCACCACAAGACAAGTCGGTCGACCGAAATTCCGCTTGCCCGCCTCAGAGAGAGCCTGACCAGTGATCTTCTTCAGCTTAGTCCACCTGACGACCTCCCACGGCGGCTGCGGAGTATCGGCCTCATCCGGAGCAGGTAGCAGTTGACTTGATATCGAGGATGTGCGGGAATGCGGCGTTAGAAAAGCTGGCGAGAGAGCACGAGGTGACTGGAGAGGTGAAGGCGATAGCCTCGAGGAGAATCTCCTTTCAAACGGTTGCAGCGAAGCTGGATGACGAGGTCGATGAAAATAGGACACTTGCGAAGCCGGTACACTACTGCCTGGTGAAGAGAGTACAGATCCCTATATATCCTCAGAAGACATTCCACATAGAAGCGGAGAGCGGATCCTCTACCTGAATTGAGGGTGAATCATCAGGCGTCGATATCGACTCTCCTGGGCTTGCCGGCAATTTCAATAACGACGTAGTGTCGCTATCTTCCTCTGCCCTGTCGATATTCTTCACTTTGCCGTACCCATCGAAAGTCCTGCCGTCCGCACGAATCGCTGCCTCCTCTGCGACATGCTGCTGCTCTTCTGCGACGATATCCTCGATTGACGGTGTGTTCGTAGCTTCGTTGCTTTGGCGCTCGACATCCAGTACCGATCCATCTCTTGGAGGCTCAGGCGATCCTCTAACAGTCTGGTTTGCGCTGGCATCGCTCTCTCCGGATGTGGAGCTCATGGGTTCCGCCTACTGGTGGGCATCGCTTCGATTGCACGCAGATGGAACGGGCTGGCTCTCAAACAGCACGAGAGATACCCTGGCGGTCGAGACTGTAGCGCTGGTATCTCCGGCGCATTCGTGGGTTACGGGAAGCTTGATACGCGGCACTGGGGGGCCTTGAGTGAGGACAGTTGGTACGTGAGAGCTGATCTAAGAGGTTATTCGGGTCTAGTGTCACACTCCCTACTTATCGTAAACACGTACGAGTACTTCAAGTCGTTCTCGAGAGTTGGAAAGGGTTCACGCAGGTTGCTGGCCGCCTGGCGTCGAGGCTCTATCTCGGGTTGCCAAGCTCAGGTATCTGGAGCATCACCACCGAACCTTTTCCCCACATTCAAGATTCTGGCACGTCAACCTCAATCAAGTCGCGCAAACATGTCCAGTATAGGCCCCGAAATACCACCGCATCTCCTTGCCAAGCGCAAGCGGCAAGCAGAAGAAGAAGAAGACTCCGCTACTGCTCCTGCGCCTAAAGATGGCAGTTCACGATCAAGCAGCCCGGACAGCGGAGAGAAGCGGCGGCGGGTCATCGGACCAGCAGCACCACCAGCGCCTCTAGATGAGTTACCTCCTAACAGCACTCACAGTGATGAGGACAGTAGCAGTGATGACGACGGCTACGGCCCAGCCCTGCCTTCAGGTGATGCTTCAAAAGTATATCAGTAACCCGCTCTTCTAGCTCTCAGTACTGACTTGCGCAGAATGACCATACTACTTCCGTATTTGATGAACCGCCCAGCAGCGCGCCCGAGAAGAAACAAGCACAGCGCGACGAGTGGATGATGGTACCGCCCAAGCAGGATGACCTCGCAGCGCGTATGGATCCTACGAAGACACGAGCACGCAAATTTAATACCGGCAGAAGCGCGAGAGCGCCTGGTCAGAGTGGTGGCGGCATTGACGGTGTCTGGACCGAGACTCCAGAGCAAAAGAGAAAGAGGTTGGAGAACGAAGTGATGGGTGTTACAGCACCTGCCGCAGCCGGCGAACCGGACAGCGGTCGTGATCGCAGAAAGGACGCAGAGGCTGAGGAGACTGCGCGCCGGATCAGGGAACACAATGTAGGCGATGGACAGAGCAGACTTTTCAGGCTCCAGCTGACATATCTCCAGAAATCCCGAGGCGGGTCACTATATGAACAGCACAAAGCACAAACGCCAAAGGACAAGGAGGATGACCCAAGCAAACGGGCGTTCGACAGAGAAAAGGATATAGCCGGGGGCATGAAGATTGGCCATGCACAGCGTAAAGAGATGCTCAACCGCGCTGCTGATTTCGGATCCCGGTTCGCTGGCGGAAAGTACCTCTGAGTTAGATAGTCGCCATTACCCCAATGGATGGATCAATGAAGCCCGTTTAATCACGGATTCCAACGCTGAGCCTGGACGATCGCTAATGATTTTATTGTCATGTTGTATAGTTTGTGCGTCCTACTATGACTACCCGGATCTCACCTCCTTTGCAACAGCATTGCACAGCTCCACCCGTACGCCAGCGCCGGTGAGCACATGTATCCACAGCCGCTGCGTATCGCTCAGCCTGTCGTTCTCGCTCTTGACCTCAGCAAACATGACTCTCTTCCTTTCCGGGTGCCATAGGAAGAGGTCTGGAACTCCCCCACCACGCTGACCGTACTCTTGCGCCATGACCTTGCAAATCGCGCCTAATGCTTCCCCGTCAAAGCACCCGACAATCTCTAATAAGTCGCTGAGTTCGAAAGCCCAGTCGAGTCCAACGACACAAGTCTTCTTCTCATAGTGCTCGTCCCATACTCGTTGAATTAGGTTGCCCGCCTCGCCGTTTCCAATCTGCGCCAGGCGGCGGTTGATCTCGCTGATTCGACTAGGATAGAAAGCATCCGTGTGAAGATCCAGCGGGCATGTCTGATACAGTGTTTGGAAAACATTCGGAATGTAAGTGAACAATACATCATAGAATAGATAAGCAAAAAGCGTGCGGACGATGCCGCCCTCGCTGTGATAGCCCTTCCAGCCTCTCGACCGGTAGTCACTCAGGCACATAGCCTCGACGGAACACTCGCCGTTGTCTTCCGCCGAATCAAGCCAGATGGTCTTGGCCCCTCTCCTGTCAGGAAACGGCGAGCTGTTTCGTCTACTGCTGGTGCCATTCGAGGTCTGCGGGCGTGGCAGCTCTCTCGCGATGCGGATGCCTTCGACCGTAACTTCGACAGCTGCAGCGAGTCGAACGTGGGTAAAGTCATGCTGAGCGCGTTTAGCAACTTTGAGAACCTTCTCGAGTTTGGTGACACGTTTTTGAAGGTCGTAATGGTGGATGACATGCACAAGATTGTCCTGAAGCCCCTCTTCACAAGTTCGGAGCGCGATGCGCTTCCAGTGCTTCTTCTGTGCCTCTTCGCTGCGGCTAGCTGAGGGACTCAGGGCCCACATGTAGTGCTCCTCGAGAAGCGCTTTCCGTTGATACCATGCGCCGCGGCGAGACGCGTGGAACAACCGCTGATCAAGCAGCTCTGTAAGCAACTCATGCTCGCGCTTGTGCTCTTTCAATTTTCCAAAGACATACACTGCTTTGTGGGCGATGCGGGTGTATACCCAAGCAGGCGAGAGTCGCCGCAGGTAGGCGCCTTCGCCGCTCAGGTAAATATTGTCTTCCTTTTCCTGTTCGTCCTGCAGCAAGGCTCTCCAACGTGGATATACTTCCTCAAAAACTTCGAGGATGGCGTGCAGGTCTTCGTGACTCGGTCGGCCGCTGAATTCTAGAACGTTATCAACTCGAAACTGTGTCCGTAGAGATGCTTCAAATTCGAGTAGCAAAGCGCGCGACGCAAAGACGTTAGCTGACCGGCAGACAATGTATTGTGGAAAGTTACGTCTGGCGATTTTCGCAAGTATTATTGTCGTAAGAGATTTCTCTGTCCATTCGGTAGACCTGTAGAATACCAAATGCACCCGTTCGAAAAGCTTCAGTGTGGCTGAGGATAGCCTAATATATGGTCCAGTTTCGCTCATGATCTTACGGACAAAATGAGCATCTCGATTCATCGCGGAGAGTTCGTCTTCATCTTGTGGCGTAGCCGTTCCACCATCCTCATCATCATCCATTACCGAAGCAGATCTGATGGATGTTTCTGTATCTGAACGCTTCAGACTTCTCCATCCTATTCCTGTCTGCTTTTGGCTGGTGCGCCGCAGGGCTCTCAACAATTCTGTTTTGTTCCTTCCATTCACTTTTGCGTCTTTAGCCAGTGTCTTGAGCTCGTCCAATCTTAGCAGCGACGACGCTTCTTCTAAAGTTGTGATCTCATCTTCCGACCTGTCTGCAAATGTAAATAAGGGTCCGAGTTTTGTGCCTGGAGGAGGCTCAAGTTCGCCAGGGCTTATCAATGGTTCCGCCGAGGACGCTGGGAGCGTACGCGACTCCTGCAATGATTTGATAGCTGCACTGATATCTGCGACGTCACTATGGTAGCCCAATCGGTTTATACGGTGCCAAGCAGAAGTTTTACGGAGGAATAGGCGGACATATCTTAACAGTGTCAGTCTGGACATCTCTGTATGTCATAGTATTGGACAATGCTACCTACAAATACTGCGCCTCGTAACTCAATGCTTGCCAATAGCTGAAGACAGCTGTCTCCGCCTCGTCGAAAAGATGGCTTTCATCCAAAAGCACAGTCTCCAATGCCATGTTGAATGCATCAACATAAATCGAGCTCTTCCCTCGAGTCCGTTTGCGGTCTCTCAACCGCCCTTCGGCATCCGCAGCCTCGGCCCCCTCTGCCGCCCGCTGCGCTTCATATTCCTCGACTGCTTCCTTGTCTGTCCTTATAGGCGGCAAAGCGCTCTCCAGATCTGTCTGTCGTCCCGACGAGAGCACCTCCGTACCCTTCTCATCAACATCAGCATCTGGGTCGGGTATGTCTCGCGGAGTGGGCTTCGGCGAGGAAGGTCTGCTTTCATAATCGGACGTGTCGTCGGTTTCGGACTGCTTGGAGCGCTTTACTGGCCGTGGAGAGCTGCTGGCGCCATCGTCGTCGAAATTGGTGGACTTGGGATGTTTGATGCGGCGACCAAGCATCTGGTTGTGCTTAGAGGGACTGACAATCTGCAGGACCATGTTTGCTTGTTAGGTAGGTACGCTGTCTTGCATGGTTCCCTAACTGAGCATGCAAGAACATCGAGTGCGCGTCGCGAGTGGTGCGCCTTCACGAGGTCACAAGACTTCTGAAGCACTCAGAACCCGTTGCATAGCAGTACTTCGTTGCAGAGTTAATCCTCCTCAAAGTGTCCATAATAAATGTTAATGGTTGGTGATATCTAGTAAAACAACATGTATATCCATCCAGATTGAAAGCGACAACGTCTATCCGCTCCGTCATCAAGCGATAGCAACGCCGGCGGCGGGCCCTCACATCGGAGAGACTTGTGCTCTATGCGAGGCGTTTGCTCCTTGATGAATAGGCGGACCGATTGACAACAAGTGGGAGCGCTCTGTTGACGAAGTAGAACTTGAAGTCAGCGCCCAAAACGACGCATGTGGCGAATGCGCACTGCTTTGGGCTGGCTTCAGGCACTTCAAGCCTTGTAGGTCCATATCAGACTATGGCGGGTTCGCGCGACACTCGAGGGGCTTGGGATATGTCTACGTCAACGATGAAGACCTAGACGATGGATCTGATGGATGGGAACAGGAAATCGACCCACTTAACGCTCTTCCAAGCTGTCTCTTTCTACAATACTACGTCAAGCTTGATATCACTCCCTCTACCCTGTTCGCGCTGAAAGCTGACGCTAGGATACTCAGGACAGTGGAGTTCCTATCCTGACCTCATTCTTGCTTTGAACTATCCACCGGGAAAGACATTGCCTAACCAGAGCTACCACCAAATCACACTGTGGTTGCAAAGCTGTCAGGGGACTCACGAATCGTGCTGGTCGGACCCGAAGACGTCCCTTTCACGCAGACGGAGACGTCTCTTCCACGCCGGATAATCGAGATTGCTGACAGTGCTCATTCCGCTCGGCTGGTTGAGATCGATGGGAGAAGGGCCCGTTACATGTGCCTCAGCCACTGCTGGGGAGTCTTCCAGGCGGTCTTGCGTAACAACGCGCGCTACTTTGGTATCTAACAGACGATGGATTTCGTGCGCCGCACTTCCACAAACGTTTCGAGATGCTATGCAGATCACCCAGAGCTTAGGCATTGGACACCTCTGGGTCGACTCGTGTGTATCATCCAAGGCAATGAGGAGGACTGGCGGAGAGAATATGAAATTATGACATCTATATATCAGAATTCCTTCCTCACGTTAACAGCTACGAAGTAAAAAGATAGTAAGGATGATTATTCGGCAACACTGATGAAGCGAAGTGCATCAAGGGACATAGCGCCAGAAACTCCCAAGAGACATTATTTGAAGTACTCGTCCCGACTCAGTCCGCCCGTATAGGACGATGGGGACGCCTATCCTCTACTGACGCAAGCCTGGATTTTTCAAGAGCGCCTGTTGTCACCCCGTGTCGTGCACTTTGCATCGGACGAGTTGTTATGGGAGTGCATGGCGGAGCACACCTGTAAATGCAAAACCTCGTCCCACTTTTCTGGCCATCTGTCAGATCCATTTCCGGTGAAGTCTACATACATGAAGAGGCTCATAAGCAGGCACCCCCTAGCACTTCAGAGGAAGTGGTACGCCTCGTCTCAGTCTACAGCCAGCTGCTGCTTTCCTTTGAGAAGGATAGACTGCCCGCCATTGCTGGAGCTGCGAGCAGATTGGAATATGCCGGGGAATTGACCGCGGCTACCTTGCTGGGCTTTGGCGAAGTACCTGGCCGAGGACCTCTTTTGGTAACGGAGAGGTCCTGCATATTCCCACAAGAAACTCCGGATATACCATTCGCGCGGGTTGAACCTCGCACAGGCCCTGCATGGTCGTGGACTTTTATCAAAGCAATCATCGACTGGGAACATCTTCGTATGCGCGAGCTGCTAAGACCCGCAAAGCTCAAGGACATCACACTGCACGCCTGCGGGAACATATATGATTGCCCCGATCAAGTTGTTCGAGAAGAACGAACATTTTTGACACTCTCAGGTCGCTTGCGGTCCGCAACCATCAAGTCAGAATATCCTCGAAATGAATACGGTGGCGATTCCGCTCCATCCTCTCGGTGAAGAAAAAGAGGTTCGAGTTATACGAGGATAGCCCCCTTTGCAGCGGCGCCGTTAGGAATCCTCAATACTCCCATGATGAGACGGTGTTCCTGTTAAGGATCGCTACTCTCGACACCATCTCCCACGAAACCCACGAGGGTGTCGCCGTGGGACCGGGTGGCACCGCCGATTACAGTAATTGGGAAAGAATGTTCTTCCTCGTGCTTAGATCTGTGGATTTGGCACCTCATGCTTTCGTACGCATAGGCGTGGCCTTGCATCGGTTCCGCGAGGTCGAGATGCCTTGGTATAAAGCCCGTGAAATTGAAGGCATAGTCAAGCTAATCTAAGGACTTCACAACGTGGTGATGGGCTCATTGCTCGGAAGTGTCTCGTCTTCTGCGGCGCTCGGCTCATTCACATCGGATCCAGACCTTGGAGACACTTTAATGCAGCAGAGAGACCGTAAGGATATAACATGCAGAACGAGGAAAATCTCTAGCATTGGCTGTAAAGGCACTAGCGGTTCTTGATACGCTGGTACAGAACCCGTGATAACAAGCTCAAGCACATACACAGAGGACTGTCCGCATCCTTGGGACGAGCATGGCACTGGAACAACTTGTCACAGTACTCTATATTCATTCCGTTTGCAATGCGGTCTTGCTCACGCCAGAAACAGTCATTCGCTAGCAACGAACGACAGGATGTTCGCCATACACAATGCAATCTCAGTCTACTCAAAACTCGTCTAACTGCGAGGTGCAACCATAGCAAGCGGGCCGTGTCGGCCTGGCAGCACAATGCGAGACATGTCAAATGAGGTAGTGTACGAGTATAGCACACCATTTCTTCATCACAGCATCTCTGGAGAGCACCTGAAGCATGGGATTTTGCGGTCTGAGTAAAGTTTTCCTGTTCTCTTGCGTACCAGGATCTGGAGCTGTTTTCCTCTCATTTTCTATTCGTCAGTCAAGGCTAGTCTAGCCAGTCACTGGAACTTCCACAGTTCCACTGCCATGGCTTTCACTCCCCGGCTGCTCCCTCACTCCTACTCAAACGGCATCACCTACCGCTCAATCACTCGTCTCTCAGTTCTCACCTCGTCTCGCCGCTAGAGCTCTGCCTACTTTCCTACCTAGCAGACAAAGTCGCTGAGTCACATTGAGCCTCCTATCGACACCGCAGTTTGGGCAATTTTGGCAATTGTGTTCGCACGTCGAGCATACTGCACCGGTCCAGCCGGTCGAGCAGTTGCAGCAGAGCGATAAAGATGGAGAGGTTGGCATTTCTAAAGCGATAGGCTCAGGGGTTGACAAGGATTGGATCTGTCGGGCCGGTAAGCGAAATGGGTGGTTTAGAGCCGGGCTTGAGGGAATCTGCGTAAGCGACAGAGTAACTGGGATATATAAGTCGTCTTCGCGGCGTAAAATCGGCACAATAAGGACAATGCTAGCGGTGTCCGTAAGGATAAACAATGGCTTTGTTCTGCGACAAGACCCAGGGAACATTGCATTCGAGTGACTTGGCGATTGAGTTTCATACAAGATTCCTCACAACAGCAACATAATCGAAAGTCTGGAAACGGTAGAGTAGCAATTGGTGATGGAGACGCGGGTCCAAAGTGCCTACGATGATCGCCCCCCCAAATACAGCCCTTCAGTATCATGAACAGCTCACTCAAATCAAGCTCTTTCGCCTTGAATGACTGAGAGAAGATACATCTAAAGCGCCTTTCCATGCAGCCAACCTGTAAATGCAGATTTGAGCGCCAGTGTATATGCAAGCCTCACAATGCCGTCCGTATCAATCGCAAACGAGTATGAACCAGTCGAGCCGGATATAGCACCGCTGACTCATGAATCCATCAGATACAACTCGCCAGCTTTCCTTCCGTTGTCTGTCAACTAAATACTCAGCGCCGTTCCTGGTGCAACTTCAGCAGCGGCATCTGGCACCACTATGGACTCAAGCGGCTTGTTTAGCGCTGCCGGCGGCACCCTGATCTTCTTGGTTTGACTGTCCTCTCCCGCCTCCTCCATCTGCTTGCGCTTGTTCTCCTCTCTTGCATTCGCCCTCTTCGTAGGCTTGTCGACCCGGTTGTTGAGGCCTAGCCTATCATCCACGTCCTTCGCCAGATCCCTTAGATCTTCAAAGCCCAGTGCCTCGATGAGCTGTTCATATCCCTTGCTTTGGTTCATCCGCATGTAGCTCGCTTCCTTGCCAGGTATCATCTGGCTGAGCAGGAATTTCGTATTGCCCCATCTATTCTCCACCTCCAGCGCGAACTGCATGTACTCCCTGACAAGCTCCTTCCAGCCTGCACGGCCGCCATCTTCTTTCGCCCTGAAGACACTGGAGTTGCGCTCAGCGGCCGTGGCAATCATGGCGCCGTCGCAACCGTACTCCTGCATAAGCTGAACCGCCTGTTCCCGATTCTCCACATCCCCATTCATAACGCACGCCACGCCTGCCTCGCGACACACTCCAGCGATCATCTTCAGCTGCTCCCTAATCGCGCGCTCTCTGGGCCGCATAGGTGTAGTCCGACAATGCACAGTCAATCCCGTAATGCCCGTCTTGACGAGCCTCCTAACCAGCGCCTCCGTCTTCTCAGGCGTCTCTAACAGCCGTATCTTAACCGAAATACCGATCTCATGCGGCTCGCCCACCTCCTTAACCAGCGCCTCCAGAATTCTGCACAGCGTATCCGGCGTCCGCAACAACGCCGCGCCCATGCCTCCGCTTGTGGAAAATGGCTTTGGACACCCACTGTTGACGTCGATGCCCGCAACATCTGCGGCGACGAGCTTGGCGGCCTGGACAGCGGTCTCGGGATTCGCGGTGCCGATCTGGAAGATCAGCTTCTTGTGCTCTTGAGTGGGGTGGAGGCGGTATATGACGCTTTCGCGCTGATCGGGGTTGTGTGCGGAATTCTTGAGGCCGTTGGAGGAGGGGCGCGTGAAGTCGATGGTGTTGGTCATGGGGTTTTCGCGCCGTGTTGTGCCTATTAGGGCGCGGTCGATGGTTTCTGGACCTGGGGAGGGAAAAGAAGACATTAGTTCTCTGCGCCTTCATAGGTACATGACACGCCTTGTAAGCAATGAGCATACCCCACACAAGGTCTGCGCCATACTTGAGCGCAAGCAGTCGCGATGGCAGCTCTCCGGAGCGGACCATCGGCGCAAGGACGACCTTGCCCCGGTAATCGACGCCATTCTTAGGGATTGGGATGCGCGGCGGAGACGATGTCATGATGCGTGTAAGTGCTCGAAGCATCCCATAACCGACAAGCTTCTGAGGACTGCGTGTGGTGACAGTGGTGGGTGCGAGTCGATCATTGAAAAGTTAAGGGTGTACTTGGCACGTGATTGCCGATAAGACCACTAGGTACCTAAGTACCGGCTCCAGCGCCGTTGTCAAATCCAAGGGACTCTACCGGGGTCTCTGTTTCAAATAGCATACCTAGCCAACACAGTCTAGAAAGGGGCTGGTATGATTCTGTTGTAGGCTTTGTGTCGAAACGATGTTTGTCTTCGGAGAGCGCAATGAAGTAGTGAAGGGCTAACTTTGAGACACGAATATTATTCGCAGCGCCTAGCGGCGTGCGTTGGGTATATCTACTCCTCCATGGACTCCCATCCATCATGGCCAGCTCCTGCGTCTGCATCGCCCTCCTCATCTTCGTCATCGTCCGATTCACTCTCGTCTTCTTCAACACCCACTAGCCGCTCCTTGACCTCTCCCTCCACAGGCGCAACACGAGTAGCGAAAGCTCTTCTAACAGCCGGATTGGTGGACGTATCCCAAATCTGCACTGAGCCTTTGCTCCCAGCAACTGCAAGCCTGAAGCCTACTTCTTGGTCCGGCGCGAAAGTAGTCGAGAAGACTTTTCCCACCTCCAAGTTGCGCGAGACTACCATGCTTGGTCCGGTAGGCTGGACGTTCCATAGCTTCACTTCCCTGTCCGTTGAACCGGTCACGAGGAAACCGGGAATGACAGGATTCACATCGAACGATGAGATAGATTCGTCATGTGCCTGAAGCGTCCATAGCGGCTTAGTCTGCGAAGGATCTTTGGGGGCATGACGAGCGTCGTGACAGTGCAGTACTCCGTTCTCCGTCGATACCTATCCACCATTAGCGCGGAGGAGGTGCAGGGAAAGGAGTTTGCTCACATAGAAGAGATTGCAATCGTGAGGATCCCATCGCACTTGCTCAACATCGCTCTCAACTCCCCATATCGGCACTTTAGCATCAGGCGCACGCATATCTGCGGCCACTACTGTTCGGTCGTAGCTACCGCTAAGAAGCACGGTTGATTCTTTCGGATGCCATGCTAAGGAGCATACTTTGTCGGTGTGATACGAGTACGACTTGGCGCATTTTGTGGTGTTGAGATCCCACAGCTTGACAGTTTTGTCTGCTGACGAAGAAGCGAGGAGGTTCCGGTGATGGCGATTTGCAGCGAGGGAAAGAACAGCATCTACGTGGTAGTTGTCGTTGGCTTTCCTCGATTTCTTCTTCTTCTTTTTCTTCGGCTTCTCGGACTTTGCTGCGTCTGCATCTTCACCACCTTCGCCCAGTATAGCGTTCGGATACATGCAATCGATCATGTCTAGATCCCACAGCTCGATATCTGGATCCATGGTGCCGATTGCCACGAAATTGCCTCTCTCATCTGCGGCCGCTTCAGCTTTTCCCACAGGCAGATTTATCCACTCCACTGAAAGCGGTATTGCTGGGAGCATTATATCGTGATGTACGTAAAGGTTGTCCGCTTCATCCTCGTAAACGTAGACCTCCAGATGTGCTACTTCATCTTCGATCCTTGCTGCCAACACCAGGTTATCGTTTGCTAATATCTGCAGCTCTTCCCTCTCATCGTCATCTTCCTCGTTCTCTTCCAGTGTAATATATGGATCATCCGCGTTCGACTCATGGTAGGCTAAGGATTTGACGTTGCCGAACATGCCCATAGTATCGCCTTCGTCCTCCTCTTCCGCGCCATCGTCGTCGTAATGCTCCAAGTCATATTCTTTGAGATCATCGTCTTCGTCACTACGGCGGACGATCTGTCAGTCTCTCGCCAGTGTCAAGAGCAGCGACTAGCCGACTGACCCGTTGGTTTTGGCATCAGCAGCGTTCTCCTGCTTGGAGCCCTCCAGCAAGACGCCTCCGTCGTCGGAGTTGTTCCCGGCCTGGGCATCTGCTAGATCCTCTCTTGCGTCGTCCAGTTGCAGTCGCGCAAGCTTCTGTATTCGTTCGAATTCTTGGTCGGTGAAAGCGTACTTGGTCGGAAAAGGTGCCGCAAATCCTCGGGGCACCCAGGCTGTGGCTGTTATCATAGACATGGTGAGCGGCTACTTAGAGAGTATAAGGAGAAATGGATGTAGTGGGGTTGTTGTGAAAGCTCGTCCTTCCCGTCCATCCCATCCATCCCACCTCCAAAAAAATTCAAGATGACGTCGGCTGAACTCCGGCTCGCGTGTCCGCGCTTCCACTTGGCGTTCGTCCACGGCGATGCGGTACCCAAGATGCCAAGGTAACCACGCTGGAGAACAACACTTGCAACACTTGACTCTGCTGGACCGGGCTGCGTGCGGTTCTCCTACACATCGGTTCTCCTATACATCTTCGAAGCAGCACGCCAGTACAGCCCTCCAAGGTCCGCAAGATGGCCTACCAGGACAGCCCGAAGCGGCGCAAACTCGACTCCGACAACTTCTCCGTCCCATCGCGGCCGTTTACCCCCAAGCCCTCCAACTCACGCGCGCAAACCCCTAGACCTTCCAGACCTGCTTTGCTATCGAGACCGAACGGAACCGAAAAGCCCGAGGCCGAGGTGACAGAGGAGGATGCTCTAGCTTTGGATCGAGACTGGTATGGCGGCGAGGAGTACGGACACACATTCGGCGACGAGACGCACAATCCCTTTGGCGATGGTGATAGTACATGGCAAGAGCAGCAGAGGGAAGCAGCCCTGGTGGAGAAGAAGCTTGGGAAGCGTATAAACGCAAGAGCGGCGCAACGGCAGAAGGACAACGACGCCTGGGAAACCAACCGCATGCTTACATCTGGAGTCGCGCAACGACGGGATCTCGATACGGGCTTCGACGATGACGATGAGAGCACTAGGGTCCACCTCCTCGTCCATGAGCTCAGGCCGCCTTTCCTGGACGGACGGCAAATATTTACGAAGCAGCTCGATCCCGTTCCAGCCGTGAGAGATCCGCAGAGTGACATGGCCGTGTTCGCCCGGAAGGGTAGTAAGCTTGTCAAGGAGCGCAGGCAACAAAGGGAGAGGCAAAAGCAAGCACATGAGGCAACGAACATTGCTGGCACGGCCCTCGGCAACCTGATGGGGGTGAAGGACAGCGACGCCGACAGTGCAGCACCGCTCCCAGGCGAAGAAGAGCAACAGCTACGGAAAAGAGGGAACAGGTTTGCCGGGAGCTTGAAGCAGAGCGAAGGGCAAAGTGCTTTCAGCCGAAGCAAGACACTCGAAGAGCAGCGCAAATATCTTCCTGCGTTTGCGGTGCGGGAAAAACTCCTGGAGGTCATCCGTAACAACCAAGTCACGATCGTGGTGGGTCAGACAGGTTCCGGCAAGACAACACAGTTGACACAGTTCCTGTACGAAGACGGCTTTGCAAAAGCAGGGATGATCGGTTGCACGCAACCCAGACGTATCGCTGCCATGAGTGTGGCCAAGCGAGTCAGCGAGGAGATGAGCACTAAGCTTGGAGGCCTTGTCGGGTATGCCATCCGTTTCGAAGACTGTACAAGCGAGGAAACTGCCATCAAGTACATGACTGACGGAGTTCTTCTGCGAGAGTCGCTAGTTGAGCCCGACTTGGACAAGTATTCCTGCATCATCATGGACGAAGCGCACGAGCGCGGCCTGAATACCGATATTCTTATGGGATTGTTCAAAAAGCTGCTCCCTCGACGGCGAGATCTTCGGCTGATTGTAACCTCCGCGACCATGAACGCTGAGCGATTTTCCCGCTTCTACGGTGGCGCGCCGGAATTCTTCATACCTGGCCGGACCTTTCCTGTGGATATCCAATTCTCGCGATCTCCGTGCGAAGACTATGTCGACAGCGCCGTCAGGCAAGTTTTGGCCATCCATGTCTCCCAATCGGCGGGCGATATCCTTGTTTTCATGACTGGCCAGGAAGATATAGATGTTACATGCGAGGTTATCGAGGAACGCTTGAAACTGCTGAACGATCCACCTAAACTCCTCATACTGCCCGTCTACAGTCAACTGCCGGCTGACCTCCAAGCTAAGGTGTTCGAGTCCGCACCGCCTGGGGTCAGAAAAGTCATCGTTGCAACAAACATTGCCGAAACCAGCTTGACGGTTGACGGTATTATGTACGTCGTCGACGCTGGGTTCTCAAAGCTCAACGTATACAACCCGCGAATGAAGATCGACACCCTTCAAGTAACGCCGATATCTCAAGCCAATGCGTCGCAAAGAGCTGGTCGTGCCGGGCGGACTGGACCTGGCAAGTGCTTCCATCTTTACACCGAACGAGCATTCAGAGACGAGTTCTACATTCAAACTATTCCGGAGATACAGCGAGCCAACTTGGCAAACATCGTGCTTCTGCTCAAGTCGCTCGGGGTGAAGGACCTCCTAGATTTCGACTTTATGGATCCACCTCCGCAGGATAGCATTGTCACGTCGCTGTTCGATCTGTGGGCTCTTGGTGCGATCGACAACATTGGCGGTCTCACAGCGCTTGGAAGAGCAATGACGGCCTTTCCTATGGATCCGTCTCTTGGGAAAATCATCATCACTTCAGTAGATTACGGTTGTAGCGAGGAGATCCTCACGATTGCAGCTGTACTCTCCGCCCCACCAGTCTTCTATCGTCCTATGGAACGGCAAGAAGAAGCCGATACTGCTAAAGAGAAATTCTCTGTATCCGAGTCGGATCATCTCACGCTTCTAAACGTGTACAACATGTGGAAGATGTATGGATATTCCGATGCCTGGTGTACGACTCATTTCCTGCATGCCAAAGCGCTCCACAGAGCAAGAGATGTCCGGGATCAGCTAGTGGACATCATGAAGAAGCATAAGATGGCGCTGACAAGCTGCGGTACGGACTGGGACATCATTCGCAAGTGTATCTGCTCAGGCTACTACCATCAAGCGGCGAAAAGGAAGGGCCTCGGTGAATACATCAACCTCAGAACCAGCGTTACAGTTCAGCTGCATCCAACCAGCGCGCTCTACGGGTCTCCGGATATACCCGACTACGTCATCTACCACGAACTGGTGCAGACGTCGAAGGAGTTCATGCGCAACGTGACCGCCGTTGACCCCCACTGGCTTGCTGAACTGGGTGGAGTCTTCTACTCGGTCAAAGAGAAGGGCTACTCGGCCCGCGACAAGCGGGTTACCGAGACGGAGTTTAATCGGAAGGCAGAGCTTGAGGCGAAGATGGCGGAGGACAAGGAGCGCGAAGCCCAGCGTGTAGCCAGGGAGCAAGAAGGCCCCAAGTCTGCTGTGAAGAGGCCTTTGACGTCTGCAGTGCACAAGGTAGCTTCTAAGGGTGCTGTGAGACGACCGACAATGCCCAAAATAAGGGGCAGAGGGTTTTAGATTAGACCCTTAAATGTATCAGCAGTTATTGATACCGCAGACGTGCAAATCGAAGGAACCATTCGTAAAATACAGTGTAGAACCCTCGACTATGGTACGAAGGAGGGGGTATTAACTGAGGAAGCGGCAGCCGCTTAACCACCCTCCAATGTTATTAAGAAACATCAACAACCAGCTCATGTAATTTAAATCTGCATCTTCTATTCACCGAAGATATATCTAATATGCCAGCCCACCTCGGCAAACGCCTCAATACTGTGTTAAGAAGCCTTGTGGTCGCGCGCCATCAAGCGACCCGTCCTTTCATAAACACCAATTAAGTATATTGATACGGTAAATATTATTAGTCAGCAAGCTCGGGGGGTCCTTCCTCCATTCCCCAACTCCATGTCACAGCATGTACCCGCACCAAAATCATCGCCTGAGCATCAGTTGTTCTTGACAAATCCATAGTCAAGATGCCCTATCCTCCAAACCCCTTGGGCGAGCTACGAAAACGGTGTTATCAGTTCTGGCTCCTTGCTCGATACTCAACGAGTGGCCTGCCATGCGACCTTGCCGACCGCATATCCATCAAAGCAATCTCCGCACTCCAATCAACCATCGTCCTCAATGAGAACGAGAAATCCTGGCTCGCATCCACATTCTCCGATTCCGACCGTTCGGATTCATATCTCAGGCAGCGGATGGCGAATGGTACAAGCAGATGGAGGATGCAGAGCGATCATGATACGGATAGCTGGTCGAGGACGTCTGCGGTGGTATCAGTACAATGGGGCCACGACTCCCGGAGCCAGCATCAAGTATCCTCTCTAGCTAGGAACAATGCGCCAACAAACCCCAGAGCATTACCACCCGCCCTTCGGGACTTGTCATCCATTGCCGAATCGGGAATATTTGCAAACAACTTGCGAAGCTCGTAGAGATGAGGAATGAGGCGCTCCGGCTCTGCTTAGCGGATAGGAGTATAGGAGAGCTTGCCAGCCCGTCGGTGCGATGGAAAAACACTAGTATAGCTGCATGCTCCATGCCAATAGACGGATCAGAAGGCATCAATATCTTGTAGGTTAACAGGTCTACTATTCTTAAGCGATACTCGAGGTAAGTCTTCAGGGGCTACAACAGTCAGTTGTTCCACCAGATTCTAAAAAGGGTGCGACAAGAAACTCTAAGCTTAAGCGCGCATCTACATATTTACTGTATCTGTGTTTCATCATTTGTCCTTTCCACACATTCGAAGTCTATCTCTCTAGATGTGAGATATCATCTTCCACAATGAAAAAATGGTCCTTGTGTTATGTAGGGTCCCATCAACAGCCTCGATCCGCTTTCTCTCGGCGGTTTCTTTGCACAACGCCAGAATTAGTAAGGTTCAACAGCTGTTGTCAGAGGGAAGAGTCAGTCGATACCTTAAATTACGGCCTTACTCGTTTTGGTCTCCCACAGTGTTTGTGGACTACGGGTTATCATACTGTGCGGCAGCATTTCCTTTGTTATTAGCCGTAATCGCGTGGCTTTAGACCAATCGGCATTTGAGCCCATCCTCAGTTGCCGCAAGCCCTGAGTAGTAAGCACTACGGTGTTGCTGTTCTGAAGTGAGTTAGGCGTGTTCGAGGCTGAGCAGACTGGTTTCAGGATGGGGCAGCGAGGTGAGTATCTGCGGCCCGGCTTTCGGAGCTGTTAAACTGACCTTTAAGCAGTCAGGAGCTCTACCGCTGAGCCGATACACCTCTGGGTGTGATCCGCACCACACTGCTGTTAATTTGAGCATCTCGTGCGGTCCTCCCACGCACCATAAACACGACTCATCCTTCGCAGCATCGCAGCATTACGAAGGACCGGGTTTGTATTGGGAAGTCGACGCTTGGTCACCCTTCTTCTTAGCAGCAAAGAACCATTAAGTGAGTAATCTGATGGAGATTCAAGGCTTCTGTTGACCACAAAGGCCTCTAGAGGCTCAGTTCTCTTCCCACAAGCACCGAAACACTGTGTCTCCAAACCCCGTGATCGTACGCCGCCAAGCGTCTGTTCCTCAATACAACCCCGTCCTTCGTAACGAGAATATCGGCTCGCGCAGTTTTGGCTTCGCCATGACTGTGGGGCGGAACACGGTCTGAGTCCACCTGGAGAATGCTGTGTGGGCAAATTAACTTGTACGTGTCCATTCATGGGAGGGCCAGATGGCCTCATGCTACTGTTTGGCAGTTTCCTGTACATACTACAACAGTTCCTAACGAGAGAAGAATCCGAAACTGCAAATGCCGACGAAACCATCCAATTCGGCGCCTATGCTAAGACGAAATCTCTGTCGCATGGTCCCCATTTCAGCTTAACGTGGCACGCGAGCGACAGAAATCGCCGGACTCATAAACTACCGGACTTACAACTCACTCCCAAATCACCGAATTCTGTTAGATTTACCACATCTCCAAAGATCTTTACTCTAGCCATCCTACCTCTAGGTATAGCTTGCACATGTTTATAGGGTAGCATACCATGAAGGATCACCCCTATTCATGACCTCTCTAAGCTGACCGAAGACCTATCTATTTTCCCGAGTCCGGCAATTTCTGTCACCCAGGTGCGTGGACAAGGCCTCCGGGACAAGCACCCATCGTGTTATCGCGAGTTCCACATCAGGCATAGTTCTCGTCGCATGCACTGCACACCCCCGCGAGCGGCCCGACCAACCGCTACGAAGCGCAAAAGGCTGCTGGAGTCGCGCACGCTCGAGCTTAGGTGTGGTTGCGACATCAGAGAGCCGCTCATGTTGCGCGCTTCTGCATATCATTCGGAACGTCGTCGAAGCGTCGTCGAAGCTTCGTAGCCGATGTGGGCTTGTGTTGCTCATGCCAGGATCACCAGGCTGCTGATGCGGTCATCGCGCTAGCGACCCGATCGGTGAAGGGTTTGGTGGGAACAGAACCTCAGCGCGAGAACGAGCGTCGTCCATCGCACCTTCTCGCAGCTGGTCACAGGCAATCAAACGAGCACTTCACGAATGCGCTTTGTCGCTTCGGTCGCTTTCTGGGCTTTTCTCGTGGGTGAGACGCCATTTCAGCTCTTTGGCGGGAAATCCTTAGTAAGCATCCGGCTTTTTCATTTGGACGTCCGGTCCAAGCTCTCTTTCCTTCTCCTCTCCACACAAGTCGCGCCCGCATCTTCCTCCATTGCTTCCAACCATCAATCTCATCACATCACACTCACCAGCATCATCTGCCTACTAGCTCAGCCACTTACCTGTTGCGCGCTTAGCTTCGACACTCATCTTTCGCGCTTCTTCAACCCGGTTACGCGTCGCCGTCGAGTCAGCGCACACAGCCACCAACGCGACACCGCTTACAGCCGCCACAGAATGGCAGAAGACGCCCCAGTTCAGTCAACCGAAGCGTCCGTGGAGACCGAAGAGCAATCGACGCGTCCTGCGGACGACAAACCCGCCGCCGCACGAGACAGCACCGAGCCAGCCACCTCGGGCGCCAACGGTGTCGCCGCTGCTGAGGACACTGAAGGTGAGCAACGGGTAGCCGCTTCCATAAAGTCGAGCTCTTTGCTGACATATTTGTCTTTCAGCCGACGAATCCGCCGCCCCCGCAGCTGACGACGAGCCTGCCTCTGAAGATATAAAGGCCACAGCTGGAGATGCGGCTGCTGAGACTGCCCCAGGTAAGGCCTGGACACAAGCGCCCCAATGTGTTGAAGTTTAGGTCGTACTGACTGGGTTGTAATAGGTGCTGCGGCCGGTGATGAAGCCACTACCGCTGAGGCGGGCGGCGCTACTGCAGGCTCCAAGAAGAAAGAGAAGAGGAAGTCCGGAGCCGGTGTCCCAGAGCACAAGACCAAGAAGCTTAACAAGAAAAAATCGATGGTAAACCTTCACCTTGACGTCGAACCTGGAGAATACTGGTGGGCGCGGATGAAGGGACACCCGACATGGCCATCTATTGTGTGCGACGAGGAGATGCTGCCGGAAAGCCTTCTCAGCAAGCGACCAGTCAGTGCTGCCCGCGTCGACGGCTCATACCGCCCCGATTTCGAGGAAGGTGGCAAAAATGCTCGTGATCGGAGGTACCCGATCATGTTCCTGGGCACCAACGAATTGTAGGTTGACCGCGATTGCAGCGCGGTTACTTATGCTGACTGAGCCGCCCATAGCAACTGGCAGCCTAACACTGACATGGACAAGATCGACATGGACGAGCTGAAGCAGACTGTCAAGGATGGCGATCAGGGCAAGCGTTCGAAGGCTCTTTGGGAGGCATACAAAGTTGCTGCCGAAGAACATGACCTTGCTTATTTCAAGAAGCTCCTTGTTAGCCACGAAGAAGCGATGAAAAAGGACGCTGAGGAGAAGGCAGAAGCTGATGCCAAGAAGAAGGCGAAGAAAGATAAGAAGAGCAAGGATCGGGTTGACGATGACGGAGACGTTGACATGGATGAAGCTGATGTGCCCGCCGATGAAGCGGAAAAGAAGAAGCAGCCGAGCAAGAAGCGGAAAAAGGGAGCTGAGAGCGACGGTGAAACCGAGAAGGTAAGCGCACTGGGTTCCATCGCTGTAGGCACTGTTCTAACTACGATGAACAGCCGGCGAAGACCCCAAAGACTCTCAAAGTCAAGGGTCCCAAAACCCCGGCCGAGGATTCTGCTACGAAAACCCAAAAAACTCCCAAATCCAAGACCAAGGCCCCGAAGAAGTCCAAGAATGACAGCGAGGAAGCAGCCGATCCGCCTAAGGTCGAGGAGGCACCGGTTTCTGACAAAGACCGTAGAGCCAGGCAGGAGAAGACTGGTAAGTTTCTTGTCCCACTGTTAGGTACTCTGGAAGCCAACTCAAGTCATCTAGTGCTGTACCTGCGCCATCGCCTTCAGAAGGGCTTCTTGACTCGTGACCAAGCGCCGAAAGAGGATGAGATGCATACAATGGATGACTACTTCAATCAATTAGAGGCAATCCAGGACCTGAACGGTAACATCATCAAATTGACGAAGATCCACAAGGTGCTCAAGGGCATTGACAAGCTCCATGAGATCCCCAAGGAGGAGCAGTTTAAGTTCAAAGAGCGCTCCAGGAAGCTGCTTGCGGACTGGAACTCGGCCATTGCAAGCGCAGAGAATGCGGGCGAGAGCACTGCTAAGCCGGCGACAAACGGTGTTCATGAAGCAGAGAAGACCGGCGACAAGACTCCAGAGACCGCAGCTGCAGCAGCCGAGGAGGCCAATCCCGCCGAGACAGCAAAGGATGCCGACACGGCAGAGCCAGCGGAGGCGCCAGTCGAGACCGAGACTCTCGGCAATGACGCAAAGGATGAAGCTGACGTAGCTATGGAGGACGCAAAGCCTACAGAGCCTGAGACCGAGGATCCAAAGGAGACAGAAACAGAAAAGACTACCGGGACCGGTGCGGAGACCGCGGCTGCTGAGACCACCGCTACTGCATAACTGAGTCTCCTTCCATCGTACGTCCACCGGACGGTGGACACGTATCTGCGAGATCACGGCTGGATATCCTCTGCCGTTCGGCGAGACTTCGTAAATTTTCAACTTTTCCTTCTTTTGGGTATCCGGGTTATGAGCGGAACGGGTCATTAGCTCTTTCTATCGATTGGTCTTGCTGCAGGTCTCCTTCATTTCTGTCAGCCTTTCGCGCTAGGGATCCGTCGGTGTGGGGGATCTGTTCTGGGCTCAACTGGGCTTGCGGGTACTGTGCATAGCTAGAGCGTGGAATCAAAACCGAGCGTTGCGAATCACAAAAGGTGCGCAGAACTCTGTTCTCTGGTATCCGGAAAGCTAGATGTTGTCTTATGTGCACATCTCATTCAATAACCGTTGCCCGCCGCTGCTGCGTACTGCAGACGTCTGTTGCTTCTCGAAACAGCCGTTTTGATAGTTGCGAGCTGCCAAGTCTGCGTCAACATCCACAATGAAGCTCCTCAGTAGGTACAGCAAACTTAATATCACATGATCCAGGGAAGGCGAGGTATTACGCATTGCACAGATTTGAGCACCCTCCATTTCAAGGCGCCACCGGCCTTCCTCAGTCATGAAGCATCCCTCCGTGAGGAGTAGAGATGATTAAGGGACAGCGTGCCTGACCAGGCCAAATTTTGCCTGTTTGCTAGGTCCATGGCAGACCAAGCTTCTTCATCTCGACCGCGAGCTGGAAGATGTAGTCAAGGCTAAGGGATGGTCAGCTGCGATGGAAGTTTAGGTGAGGCGGCCTCTCTACGTCAGACGTACCTTTCGCACTGCGTCTTCGCTCTTTGCACGTTGTCTCCCCACACATATCTGCTCGGCCGTCAGCGTCTGTCACGGTTTGAATGTGTTTATGCACGTCAGCTAGAGGAGTACTCACATTCCATGCCGCCGGACCAGTACCGCAAAAGTATCCGGGTATTTCTCCATCGCCGCTTCCAAGCTCTCCGTCAAGTCCTCTTCCCTACAAAAGCAATGCATCGTCAGCACGTGTGTCACCGTCCTCTCTTCTTCCTCGCCATTGCGCCATTATGGCCTCCACGCAAAACCGACCTCGCAGTATTCTCAATGATCGGCACCCTCAGCCTCTCAAAATATCCCAGCATTCCTCCCACCTTCCCATCGTCTCCCCTCCCCTTCGGTATCCCCTTGATCTGCTCAATCCGCTCAATCTCGAAGCAAGCACTGGAACCGAACTCGCGCTCCACCAGCAGCGTAACCAACACGGCCCATTGCGAGTGCGTATGGATGCAGCAGCCGGCGCCGCGCCTTGAGAAAGCCGCATAGAACAGGGGTGTGCAGGCGGAGGGTTTGAGGTTCTGCAGGCAGACACGGGTGTCAGCTAGCGGCACAGGGCGGAGTTGATGTGTAGGGGCGGTGGGATCTACCATACGGGAGGTCTGCGCAGGTACTCGCGGCTGTGGAAGTCCATCACGAACATATCAGTCGGCTGCATGAGCTCTTTCTGGACGCCGGAGGGCGCGATGAAGAGATGGTCATTGTGCCGGATGCTGGTGCCGCCCCCTGTACCGGTGACCTGGGGGCTTGGTTAGCTGTGCAGCTTCGTTATACTGAGGGTTGCTGGTCGGGAAAGAGACGGGCTTACCCAGCCTAGAGTGTAGAATTTGCGGCAGAGCTCGCAGATCAGGTTCGCTGGATGCTGGGAATCAGGCGAATGGACCAGGTGGTCATTTGACTGGTCTGAGGAAGCCATTGGGGCTGACACTTTGCGCCGGTTTGTGGAATGGCTCGACAGGCTCTCACAGCTCGAAAGAAATCCGACATGGTTATCGATAAGCGCAACCTGGCGTCATCACGCGATTGAAAGTTGTATACAAGTCGGGCAGGTTCACCAATGTATCGAGGTTCGCGTAAAGAATGCTGGCGTAAGGACTTAAAGACTGCAACGGCTTGTCTCAACACATCGTACCGCGTCAACAACCTCATGTGAACGCGACTGGGTATAGACTACGAACTAAACTCGTGGGTATAGAAACACAATCAAGACTGGTATCATCGGATGTGATATCCTCGCTGCCGTCATCTGAAAGGACCGTTCCTATCCGTCTGAACGCGGAAAAGGGCACACACACTCGACTCCTTGCTATTAAGCCTTTTCATCCTTGCTATCCCTGCCTAGGAGCTGCTTGATCTTGTCGCCGAAGGACTCGCCAGCTTTGTGGCTGTGGCCGCCATATTTCTCCTTGTAGACATTGCCGGAGCCTCCGCGCTGGAATGACCATATGTCAGCCGGCGATGCAATTGTCGTGCTTGAGAAGAGTGGCTCAACGTACACCAGTGTGGAAGTTTTCATATCCTTCAGTCGTGCGCAAGTCCGTCTCCGGGATAACATCCTCTGAAAGCCGTGTCACGCCCTCCGTCTGGGGCTTTATTCGTGGGCTCACCGCGATGTTGCCCGCGCCGCCACGCTATTATCGAGTCAGCAGCCTACGTGTCTGCGGTGATTACTGCGTAGTGAACCTACGCCGGTGGAGTAGTCGCCATCGCCTGCTCCGAGGTAGCCTTCACGAACGATGCCGCCGTCGGTGTAACTGCGTGTCTGGTCAGATGCTGAAGCTGCGCTCTAGATGTTATAACTGCGGCATTCTCGCAGTATTCGGGGTGGCCGAAGTCGTTTGTTCGAGTTTGCCGCGCGCTGAAACGGCACTTACACAGTCGGATCCTGACCGATGTTTCCAGCACCTGGACGATGTCAGTGTCGTCCTGAGGCATTGCGGCAACAGCCCCAGGTAGCTAGGGTTTACCTCCACGGCCGGTTGAAACGATGGGATCTTGGGGCATTTCGTCGGATTTTGATTAGACAGTCAAGTATGCTACGATGCTGTTGGATTCCAGTATGGCAGTCGTCTCTGTGAGTAGCAAACGGGGGGTTTACAAAGGACCGGGCATGGGCAACCATGGAACTCTATATGTATGCAAGGCCGCCCAAATTTGCATGTGACGCAACCGCAACGTGGGATGGCTCAATGGCTCGAGCAGTCTGGCGGGGTCTACACGACGGAGAGCATGGCTTGGCCTGTTCGAGCAGCAATTCGTCCTGGACTGCTCTTCTGGGCCGCAGCAGCAACAGATCGCAATCCCGACCGCCGGCGACCCAGAAGCCCCATGACGGCACCGTCCTAAGGGTCCATAACCCGCCCGATAGTTATGACGCAGGGCCAAGTTAGAAGGCACAGAGGATGGTGGCCGAGCAACGGTTTGGATTTGTCGAATGCGTGAGGTGATGTTGTGGAACGGCGATAAAGCCGTTGATAGGGCCCGCGACGCTGATTCGCGTCTGGCGCGCCGGGCGCGAGCAAGCGTCTGCGGGATAAATGCTGGCCTTGGTGCCTTTGTGCCTTGGTGCCTTGCTCAGTCACTCCACTACCCTGCGCTTCACTCGACATCTATCTAGCAACAGGTATCCCACGCGCCATGTTGAACTCGGTAACAGCCTCTGTTTGTGTTAGATGGAAGCTGATGCTCAATGCGGTATACAGTGACCTTCAGAATTAAGACGCTCGGTTTCATTACAGAGTCACAGGATTTGCCGCTTTTCTTCGTCTCTGGCGGCATCTGTCCGCCTCACAGCCGCCTTACCTGTCCTGCGGAATCCAAACCTGCGCCTAGAGTAGACACGGCCCGGAGATTGATAGCCTGTTCAACTCAGCATTACGGCACAATGCTGATGAAGCATGCCAGTTGATGAAGATGGTCTTCAAGTTTGATAGAGATTGATACACGACAACTGTATATATGGCGAACGAACAGGGGGGACAAGAATCCAAAACGTTCAGCTAGCTCTTCAGGATGCTTTCCCATGACGGTTTCTCGGGGAGTTAGTCAGGAGTGTGCTCGGTAGAGGAAGCATCGTACACGCCACCTGCCACAGCATCTTCTTCGGTTCTTCAGTCGCCGGCTGCTTCTTCATCAGATTGCTGGATTGGCTTTAGTTCTTCCTCTATCCAATCGGGTTCATCGATAGACGCGATCCTTCGGCGTTATTGTAGGTGAGATACCACGACCGGATGATCATTCGTAGCTCCTGGCAGTTGAACTGCCTTCTGATCATGTCCGCCACCACGGCCCCGCCGTCGTACAGCCTAGCCATGTACTTTCGTCAGGGCACAGGATCTTTCACTCTCGCGTACGGGTAAAATATTACGTCCCCACGTTGGGTTTCCGCCGCTATTCTTTGACGTGTCAATCCGCCGCCATGTCTCTAACACAGCTTGTTCTTCGTCCAGTTGGCCGACTGCCCAGTCTGGTGGTGGGCCCGTACTAAACCTGTAAAGTAGCGCACCATACAAGCGAATGGCCTCTGGTCTAAGTAATTTCCCTAGGCCGACCGACTCTTTCAGCGATATCCGCTCGTAGACATCTCTACCCTCGTTCCTCTTTACTAAATTTGTGATAGGCTCTGTGCGGATCGCCTGGTGAATACTATGATGGTTAAAGTTGTTATGCAGTCAACTGATACCAAGTCTGTAGCTCGCGGTATCGAGTGGTCTATCGTCTCGCAGATCTCATATCAAGTCCGCTTCTCGAGTTGCTGATCGACGAGACACTAAGATTCGATGCAGACGCCCTCATCGGTAATCTGAGCTGAGTCATTTGATAGGTCGGTCGGGTCGCCTGGCACTTTGGCTGCAGTGTTCCAGCAGTCGAAGTGCTCAGGATGGCGTCCGCTGCAGGCCGTACAGCGGTACAGATCAAAACATCGATCCCGAGTGTGGCCACACTGGCGGTAATGCTCACATGGAGAGACGCTCTGTCGGCGGCCTGTGCGGCGTCACGACTAAGAACTCCACCTAGCCTGTGTTGAAGTTTCGTCAAAACTTCGTTGTCTTTTACTACTCTCCAGTCTCTAGCCTCCTCTTTCTTATCTCTGACACGGGCACAGGTGGACGATTCCGATGATTAGTCAGAAGAATGGCTCAGCCGCTCAGCATCGTCACTTCTTGACTCTCTTGAAGGCCTGCCGACCTGACGTCATCCATTCCCATCCTGTTGAAATGCGCCCCTTGTGTGCTTGCTGTCTTGCTCATTAATAGTCCCATTGTTTGAAATAGCGGAAGGCTGAGTTTGACGCCTGTGAGAACCTTCAGGCGTATAGAAGCGTGTTGGTTAGAACAATTGCGGCCCTAGGAATTTGTAGGGCAACTGGAGTCGTGAGCATGGATTATTCTTTCTTTTGCTATGTGGTAAAGACGATCGCAGGAAACCCTGACTGGACTTGTTCGTAGGTTATTTGGACCGAGGGAGATCGGTAGGCTGTGGGTGATGTTCACGTTAGGAATGTTACAAAGAGTGTGTTGTACAGTGGTATGTTGTGATGATTGACTGACAATCGGTGCAACCAGCTGCGTACCAAAGCGAAAGTGTTGTGCTAGTTTGTTCATAGTAGGTTAATTCGAGAGTCCGACAGTGTTGGGTTTCAGAAGAACTCCGAGAGAGCAAATATATTTTACCGGCTTCGAGGCGATATTTGTCTAGTATCTAATGTTCAGTCAGGTGGTTAGTCATGTGATCCTCGGCTCACTCTCATACCGTGAACTGTTGCAATGTCCATTGTTGGCTGTCAGATATGCTGTGCAGTTGTTTGAAGAGCAATCACTGATTGCTCGGGATAACCCAAGAACGGAACAGAACGCAATGTGGTGTGACGAGGTACCAGACCTTGACCTTGCATCAGGTCCAGCGGGGGCATCTGTTGTTTAGCGCCGTCTCACGGGACTGGGGGAAACAGATCAATGAACTGTAGTATTGGTCGTAGGTAATCAATTTGCGTAGAATACAGAGGAGCAAACCGGAAGTAAATAGCAACAAGCAGAAAATCTGTCCAACCGGCCGTCTGATCAATATCTATGCTACTCCTACCGTCTCTGGAATTCACAAGTTCCTTCAGGGGGGGCCTGTAGGCTTCTTCTCTGGGGGTGGTGCGCCACCTCCGGTCTGCAGGAACAGTTAGTGAGGCGATCAAAGGATAGCATGAATCAAAACGTACCGTGGGCAGTCCCATGACTGAAACGAGTAACTATAGTCAGCAAGACATTACCAAGGATGAGAAGGAGAAGGAACAGACAAATCTTGAAGTAGTCTGTAACATTGTTAGTAAAGTGAGTCATACACAACAAGACAGTGGCAAGGAACTGACCGTATATCATCCATTGCAAGCCAGTCAAGGTTCCTGCATCACGCCGTTAGCGTTAATTTGTCCTTCAACATGTTCCACACTGCACTAACCGATCATGACGATTCTGACAGGGAGACCGTTCCACAGGCCACTGAAGCCGATATCCTTGTAGATGCGGCTCATAGCGGCACCGAAGGCTTCTCCGGGTTGACGGTTGGCATTGAGCTTCGAGACCATGACATCAGCCGGGTGCGAGACGATAGCGCAGAGAATACCAGCGATGTAACCACCGGTGAACGAAACTGCAGTCTGAGCGCCCTTGCCGTAGTCGTTCTTGTTGCCGGGTAGGTAGTTGTATATCATCTCAACAACGGTTTCGAAGGAGGCAAATTTCATCATGGTGTATGGAATTTGACGGCCCCAGAGAGGGTAAAGGCCCTTGTACAGACTAAAAACAGTCAGCATGCACGTCGCTATATTTCGGAATGTTTGTGAACATACCCAGCAACACCCTCCTTTCCTGTGATGTGCGATAGACCGTTCATAGTACCAGTTGCGAAAGGCGGGATAGTCGTCTGCATGCGGACCTTGACAGCTTCGAACGGGCAAAGAGCAATGTCGGCAATGAATTCGGCGGAAGCACTAGCGGCAAGATAGAGCCCCGTCTTGTACCTGTGGGCGTTGTGTTCGCCGACAAGATCGGAGTAGAACTTCTTGAAGAATTCGTATCCGCCGTATTTGAAGGCACCTTGAGCCTGTGATCGAATCAGCAATGCGACTCGATGTTGCTATGCGCGTAATACATACAGAGTAACCCCAGAAAGTCGGTCCCCAGCCGGTGTAGATACCGCGGAATCCCTCAGCGCGGCTGATCTTTCCCCAAGCCTCGAAGTTGCCCTTGTACATCTTCGAATCGACCTGGCGACGGCATTTGACGAGATCCAGCGGCGTCACCGCGGTGTGAGTAAGACCCTATGCCCGTGAGCTCCCAATTCGGACAGGATGCTGCGGTTGGTGCTTACGCAGGCCATGAGACCGCCGAAGGTACAAGCCGCATAGTACTTGGGCGAATAAAGCTCAATCTTGCCGGCTTTGGCTTGCGCCTTGTTGCTCGCTTTCTCAAATTCTTTCACGGCAGCGTCGCTGAGCTGGGCAGTCTTGTGCTTTGCGTCGTCGATGGCGCTCCAGGCGCCGTAGAGCTCGGAGCGAGCCTGATATTTTGACCTCTGCGAAACAGTCGTTTCAGGCTTGCGGAAGCTCAAGGGTGAGGACCGGGCGAAGGTGTCCGCCAACAGGCCCTGCGACGGGAAGAGGATGGGCATGGTGATAGCTAGCAGGGTCAGTCAAGCTCCTAAACGGCCCAGAGTAGCTCTTGAATGGACGTACTCGTCACTCTATCAATGCTCTCGAATGCGTATCTCTGATTGCAGACCCGAGCGTCCCACTCTTCGGATGAGGACTTAGGACAATTGATGCCAGTGGTGTTGACAGCGGCTGGAGCTCCAAAGGTGGAGACGGCCAAGCTAGAGATATGGCGGCTGGGGACAGGGCTTCAGCCAACGTCATTTGCTTGGCCTCGGCATTGGGAAAAACGGCTCGCTAGCTCACCACCACTCTTCTTTATTATCAAGAATAAACATCTACATGTCCCATACCTGTTTGGTAGTATGATGTAAGAGAGGGACTGGCATGGTAGGGAATGGAGGGGGTGTTTTCTTCTGAAGAAAATTTGCGGTGGGTACTTCAACCGCCTTCGATATAGAATCCAAGCGGTGCCAAAAGCAAATGTAGATACGTGATCATCTAGGTAGCTCTCCTATGCAGTATCTGTTTTGGACATGCCGTTCCTGTTCAACCTCCTTTCCAACATTTCCAGAGTCAAAACTGTGACCCACACCGTGGCACTTGACCCAAAGCCAGAACCCAACATCAGCAACAAGACCCAGGTAAGAGCACACACTCCAGGGAGCCATCGACATCTTTTGCCACTGATCCATCTTACAACGTCCGCTTCCCAGCCGTCTCGATCTTTCGCATCTTGTTCCCTTCCCCCTGAGGCCTCGCTCAAGTTCCAATCACCCACAACCACCCCTCCGCCTCTTCACCAACCAAGCTAGTCCACAAGCTTCCGCGCTCGATGCCCAGAGCAACCCTCTCGTATTCTTCGGGCGTCTCGAGATACCGCGTCATGATGTAGTCGAAGTCCAGAGTCTCTCGATCTTGTGTGTTTGGCATTCCAACCGGGTTTGCAAGATCAGATAGCATATCTAGGGATGAGACGACGCTATTCAAAGCAGTGGTCATGTCAGCTAGCACCTCATGAGCGATAACAGTGAGGCACATGGAAGCTTGCCTTGGGTTGACGCACAGGGAGTCACCCAAGCTGGACGCTTCCTCGGAGCGGCGCAGTCGAGAGTAGGCTTTTCCCATGCTGACGGCTGGAGGGTTTAGTAGAGGTAAGGTTAATTGGGAAAAGTAGAGAATTCAGAAGATAGTTGGGATATTTGGAAAGACAGTTGACGATTGATAGAAGGCAAAGCTTGATAAGAATATATGGTTACGCTGTAGAGGCTCAGCGTAAAGTGCAACTGGGCATCACGACACACATGTACTGTTCAGCGGAATATGTCGCCCGGTTCAGTGGAACCGTTACAATAGGAACGTCTTCCGCATGCCGCAGGTACGTGGCTACGGGATTCATTGTTCAGGGTGCCGTGCAAGAGTCAAACTGAAATGCTGTGAACCCGACATCACCTGGAGAACCACCCGCTAGGTGCAGGTAGATTTCATGACAAGGCTCGGTATTGCTCACAGCCTCTTCCGCATCCGGCAGGAGCGACCATGTCGGTAACTGCGGATGGATTGGCAAAACTTCCGGCATTCCTCATAGGAAGCCTCACTCACGGCATGAGCAGATCAGTAGCACAGCTCCTTGCAAGGCCAGTCCCTGCGGCGGTGTGGGGTTTGGGATGGACAATCTGCCGCTTAAGGAAGTCCCAGAAATATGTAATGGGTGCAAATATGATCAAGCGAAGCGAATAGGATTCGCTCCCTGGTACGCGGCGGCCTCAAGCAGCGGAGGCTGAAGCCGATGATGCAGGTAGCCGCTTGGGCTGCGGTTGGCGCGCAGAAGGGCGAGGCGAAGTTGAGGTCGCACATGGTTGGGGGCGGTCAGCCTTGCAGTCCCGGACGCACGCTACTGCATCCGCGGCGCGAACGCCTGTTCACAGCCTGAGCCTGAGCTCAGCTCGTCGTTGATACGCATTCGGATGTCCTCTACGCAAGCTGGATATGGTACATCTAAGCGAAGTTTTGGGGAATCCCTTTACGTATCCTGAACCTCGAACGGTAGCCTTTCCACACGCGCCGCAAACGCTCAAGATTGCACACACCTCTATTGCTCCGCGAGCTTCAGCTGCTCGAACTGCTCAATGCTCTGCTCATAATTCCGCTGCTCAGCCAAGAAATCCGCCAGCTTCTTCTCCTCCGCCTCTTGCACGGCTTCGCTGACTTTCTCCTTGAAGTCAGGTGCATTGATGAGCTTCCGCTGCTTAACCGCTCCATCGGCCGCCTTCTTCAGCTTCACCTCGGTCTTCTTGATCTCCTCTTCGATATTTCCGACACGGTCCTTGACTTCAAGGAACACGGCAGCGCTGGAAGACACAGCGAATACGGCACAGCCTGTTGGCGTGGACTCGTCCTTGGACAGGATCTCCAGTGAGGCTACACCTTTGCCTACTAAGGACTTGATGCTTTGGATGTTCTCCTTGGCCGTCTTGTAGCTGTCCTCGTCGAAGGTCTGCACAAAGGTCTTGCCCTCGTCTTTTATCGAGTACTCAGACATGAGCGACCTGACTCCCTTTGCACAGCCAAGCAGAAGCTCATAGGCAGCCGCTGAGGCAGGGTCATCATACTCCTTAATGTACTCCGGATAAGCCGCAATACAGATTGACTTCGTGTTGTCACCTGGTCTCCGAGGTAGTCGTTGCCATAGTTCTTCAGTCAAGAAGGGCATCTTCATCTGTTAGCCTTGCAATCTTCTCAAATTGGGCAAGATAAAACTCACGAAAGGATGAATCAGCCTAAGACCACTGTCTAGCGCGGTGTACAGCGTATCGAGCGCGGATCTCGCCTCCTCTGGAGTACCTTCCTGAATGATAGCCTTGGAGTTCTCGATGTAGACGTCGCACAGGCAGTCGTACCAATATTGGTACGTAATCGATGTGGCCTTTGAGAACTCTCGGTTGGCCAGCGCTTCGTTGACGTCTCTCGACGCGATCGTGAGCTTGTGCAAGATCCATCTCTCTGCTAGCGAAACACGTGACGTATCGCCGAGCGTGAAGTCCTCCCCAATCTTGCCAAGCACGTACTTTGTAGCCTGGTATATCTTATTGCAAAACCGTCGGTAACCTGCCATGACATCCACCGAAAAGGCGATGTCCCCTCCGCCAGTAGTGTACTGGACCAAGGAGAACCGGAGCGCGTCAGCACCGCATTCCGGTATGCCCTTCGGAAAGGCGGTCTTTTGGTATTTCGTCGCCATCGCCACCTCCTTCGGATCGAGATTTCCGACCTTGAGCTTATCGTGGAGTGTCTGGAGCTCGACACCATCCATGATATCCACGGGGTCAATGACGTTGCCAAGTGATTTGCTCATTTTCCGGCCTTCGGAGTCTCTCACGAGACTGTGGCAGTAGACCTCGGTGAACGGAACCTTCCCGGTAAGCTTGACTCCCAGCATTATCATGCGTGCAACCCAGAAGAACAGAATGTCCCATCCAGTCTCCAGCAGGGAGGTCGGATACAGCTCGGCCATATCAGTCGTCTCGTCGGGCCATCCCAGCGTCGAGAAGGGCCAGAGACCCGAGGAGAACCAAGTATCCAGGACGTCAGGATCCCGAGTGAGCGTGAACTTTTTGCCTGGGTACTTCTTTGCAGCCTTCTCTTCAGCCTCTTTCTCGGTGCGGCCAGTGATCCAGAGGTCGTTATCCGACTGGTCTCCATCTTCGCCCTCGATCTTGATGAAGTATGCCGGACACTGGTGGCCCCACCAAAGCTGTCTTGAAAGGCACCAGTCGTTGATATTTTTGAGCCAATTGAAGTAGTTCTTCTCTGCCGACTCCGGTCTTATCTTTATGGAGCCGTCCTCAACTGCTGTGATCGCTGCCTTGGCTAGCTCGTCCATCTTCATCCACCACTGTGGCTTCATGATGGGCTCGATGACGTCTTTAGACTTGGCGCAGAGGGGTACTTTCATGGGATTACTATAAGTGATTAGTCTGAAGCTGGTGGAAGTATGGCTGGAGCGGAAGTTTTACTTCTCCTTCTTGACGAAGAGGCCGAGTTTCGTCAGCTCCTCAGTGACAGTGTACCGAGCATCGAAGCGCTAACCAGCTGTCAACATGCCATCCATACATCAAGTTTGCGATAGATGAAGACTCGCCTTCTGTCCTTGAAAGTTGCCGCCGTTGCTGTTTATTGTGCCGTCGTCCTGGACTGAGTCAGCGCTGTGACACTACTTTCTGTGTACTGACTTACATTGAGGATGTTCACGAACTCCAGATTATGCCGTTGCCCAAGCGCAAAATCGCTGCAAAGATGTCAGGAAACTCCCAGACCAAGACGGCCACGTGATAGAAGCTTACTTGGCGTCATGAGCAGGAGTCATCTTCACAGCTCCAGTACCGAAGTCCTTGTCAACATAGTCGTCGGCGAAGATAGGCAATAACCGATCGACGAATGGGTGCTTGGCGAACTTGCCGATGAGGTGCTTGTAACGCTCGTCCTGTGGGTGCACGGCGACGCCGGTATCACCGAGCATCGTCTCCGGACGCGTTGTCGCCACCTCTATTGTCTCCTCTGAGCCGTCAATGGGATACTTGAAGTGCGTCAAAACACCGAACTCAACCTTCCTTTCGTATCCAGGAACGTCGAGCAGTGTCCTGCCCTCGAGGTCTTTGTTGTCCACCTCGAGGTTAGAAAGCGCGGTGTTTAGCTTCGTACACCAGTTGACAAGGCGATTCGATCGGTAAATATAACCCTCTTCATGCAACCGCACGAAGGTCTCCGTGACAGCCTTCGAACGCTGCTCATCCATCGTAAAGGCTTCCCTTGTCCAGTCGAACGAGCCACCCATCCGCTTCAAGACGTAGTTGATCTTCGCATGATACTCTTCTTTCCATTCAAAGACCCTCTTGACGAACGCCTCGCGTGTAAAATCATGCCTTGTTTTCTTTTCTCGTCTCCAAAGCATGTTCTCCACAACGGATTGTGTCGAGATACCAGCATGGTCGCAACCTGGCAGCCATAGGGTTGTGAGACCTCTCATCCGGTTCCAGCGTATTAGCGTGTCCTGTAGGCTGTTTGCTAACGCATGCCTTGGCAAGGTCTTAGCAAGGATTTGGAGGGAACGGCAGACACTATATCTTGCCGAGATGCAGAGTACTCACCCGCAATGCAGAGCACCTAAAAGGAGATACGGTCAGTTATCCATCGGTTTTCCAAGTGAGTAGCTCGTCGAGAGCCAAGCGTCGCGGTCTCTTGACTAGGGAGAGGAAGGCATCCTACACACCAGTAACGTTTGGAGGCGGCTCCACGATGACGAAGGACCCTGTATCCTTGACTTTTCCATCCGGACCGAACTCAGGCTTGAAAAAGCCTTCCGCTTCCCACCAGTCATACCATGCCGACTCCACCACTTTCGGGATGTATGCCTTGACGTACGGATCGTCCAAAGGTCTCAGAATCTTCTTCTGCCCCTTTGGCGTCTCCTCAACGTACTCCGGCAGCCGGTCCTCCTTCGCGGCCTCCCTCTTCTTCTCTTTTATGGCTTTGGATGGGGCGCTGGCCGTAGCGGCGGATTGTTTGTCCTGTTTCGCTTTGAACTTGGCGTCTTTCTCGGCTTTCTTGCGCTCTCTCTCAACTGCAACACGAAGATCGTCAATGTTATATTCATTAAGATCTAATGTACACGCGCACATGCGCGCTTCATGTGTTCTCAGAGGATGAATCCGTACGCTCTTTCTCCGACTTGATCTTCTTGCCAGCCTCCGGATCTCCACCGTCCCGTCCTGGCGCACTTTGTCCCACGGGGTCCTTCTCCGATGATCCGAGGAGGTCGCTGGCAATGTCTTTGTCTACGGGGGGCGGTTGGCCGGTGATTGGGCCTGTCTTCTCGCCCGCTGATAAGGATTATAAGCTACTGTGATATCGGAGCGAACTGAGCATGGAAAACATACGGATGTTGTGTGAAGCTGCGTTAAGCGCCATCTTTGCGAATCCTGCGTGGTGTTGTGCGGCGCGGAATGTACAAAATCTTGAGCGCCGCAGTAGTGCTCGCGCGAGTATTTTGAGGTCGTGCCCCTCGGTGGGGCCTTGTGGCTGATGAGTACAGCGGCTGAACTACGGCAGCAATGCTCGCTGGTCTTCTCAGTAGTTGATGCTGGACTCCTCTATGACAAGATATTGATCCTCGGGCAAACAAAGTCACGACACAAAACGGGAGTCACAGCTCGACTCACTTTCTGGAGCTCAATTTCAGGCTATGACTCTTCTGGGTTGGTGCCGGGTATTACTAAGCCGCGGCTTTTGAGATTAGATTAGATACGGGGACCCAATACCGTAAACAGCATGGAAGGTTGATATACCTGGGTAGGTACTAGGTACCTAGGTAGGCGTGCTTGAAATGGAGACCGGCGGCTGCCGCAAGTGCTGATAAGGCAGCGCGTTTGCCAAAACAGATGGGCCGGTAAACGATGGCGATGCCGTGCATTACTGCATGCCTAGCTATGTACGCCGGAAAACAAAAACTACTCTCTACGCGTCCTCGAAGAGCACTATTCTACCCAATCATTCCTCGATGGTTCCCGGAAACGACACGGAGCCGTTCTCTCGTCATGGCACTAAAGTTCCCTGTTCTACGATGGCCCGATCTCGCCCTGATACTACCACGATGCACAGCAAGGCCCAGTCAAGTTGGCTAGAAGTGATAGGAGACTAGTCCTGTTCGGAAGAAGAGATGTATTCAAGGGATGCGAAAGCGTACAGCTTCCTCCAGCTATCTACGAGCTGCGCTAGAACTCTCCAGGGGTATCTTGTTGCGGTCACGAATGGGATGAACCGGCGGTGTTGTTTTGTATTGCTGCTTGCCGTACAGGGCTGAAGTACGGATGAGCCATGGCTTCTTTCGCGGTCAGACGTTCCTATGCGCTGTTAGCACACTTCTTATATCGGCGAAGCGCTGGTCCCATTACCTGGTGGTCGTATCGCAACAGCTTATCGAGAAAATCGATGGCGTCGTTGCTGACAAATCTCTGGTTCTCAGCGTTGATGAAGCTGGCCCAAGCCTTCTTTGGGAACCTTCCCAGGATGTCGTCGTACTGAGCATCGAGCTCGATGTCATACTTGTCCAGATAGTCGAACAGGTCCTCGGTTCCCAACACCTTTGCAATCTTCACAAGCTGATCTGAGTTGCTGTTGCCGTGGAAGAATGGCTCCTTTCGAAAGATCATTGATGCGAACATTGCCCCTAGTGACCACATGTCTAACGAGTAGTCGTATTCCTGGAAGTCAACAAGTAGCTCTGGACCCTTGAAGTACCGCGAAGCCACTCGTACGTTGTAGTCTGTGCCTGCGTGGTAGAACTCGGCAAGACCCCAGTCAATCAGCCTGAGCTGTAGAAGCGTGTCAGCGGCAGATAGACATGAACAGTCGAGAGCTCAACCAACCTTTCGTTTTTCGTGGTCAATCATAACATTGTGCGGCTTCACGTCTCGATGCATGATTCCCTTACTGTGACAGTAGTCTAGCGCCTGTAGCGTGTTTGTCAGACCATTAAGTCACGTGACCAGACCTACATATCAACCGTACCTTAAGCAGCTCAAAGATGTAGTATCGCACGTCATAGTCCACGAACTTGGGGTATAGGCTCCGGAAGTCGGTGTTATTGACATACTCGAATATGAGGGACGGTGTCTTGCTCTAGCACAGCCGCACAGGCGGACGTCAACAAGGCTCTTGAGAGGAGGAAGCGCCATGGGTTCTTTTGCGGAGTAAACCGACCTGGTTATCCCTCACTACGTCTAGCAGCGCAACGATGTTCGGGCCTCCCGAAAGGTTCTGCAGGATCTTGATCTCTCGTTTTATCTTCTTCTTCTTGACCGGCTTGAGGACCTTGATGACGCATTTCTGATAGTTGACGATGTTGATGCCTTCGAACACCTCTGAGTATTTGCCTCGTCCTGTAGGTGGTAGGTCAGTTGTCTGCCCCTCATGTGCGCAAACACGGCAGGCCACAAACCAATCTTCCGCACCACCTCATAGTTCTCCAGCACACCCCACGATATGTTGACGCTGTCATAGTCCCAGTACGACCTGGGCATGTTCTGGTTGACATCTGCGTACACCCGCGCCATCCTGTACCCTTCAGAGCCCAACCGGGTCGAAACGAGGGTTTTGGATGCGGTTTCGAGAAGGATCGGGGTGTCGGTAAAAGCGAAGAGGGCAGAGAAGGCGGCTAAAACTACTGCTGCTGTTGTGCTGGAGACTGGTATCATACGCGCAAGCCTTCTTCTGTTTGGCGGGGGTATTCGATTGAGGTTTGTCGCCGGGCAGGTGGGCTTGGACTGCGGCAAGGCTCTTGTGAGGCTTCGTGCTTGGTGCTTGGTGCTTGGGGCTTGTTCGTGCTCTCTCATTCCCGGTTAGCAGATGCCAAGCTCCAAGATCCCGCTGCCGCATGTCAGCGCCGGCCAGCCTGAGGGCTGTCAGAAGCTTCCACTTCACTCGCAGTGGTGCTCACCTATCTCACTCCCTCGTTCGAAAACTCAGATACCAAAGGTGCCACCACTCAGGGCGCTGCGAAGCTGTCGGCGGCGTAGCTCTGCGAAAAGAAAAGGGAAGGGAACGCAGCTTCATCACGACTGACAGCCTCCGCTCCCTCGCCGCTTCCCGCTCGCATAGTACGACGGATTCATCCAGCATTGCAGTCGCAACCATGTTCTACGACCTGAACGTGCCTTGGGCTCCCAATGATCCGGAATTACAGAGGACGCTCGCTTTTCTGGACGAACGTGAGCCATGACTGTTGTACCTGCAGTGGACGTACCTGACGTCTCGCAGTGGGATACAACGTCGTTGCGCTCACCCATACAATTTCTGGCAAGCTGCCTTCAGATATTGTGAGCTTTCACATATCACCAAAACGCTGTAACTTCCGCTAACAGCGCCAGAAATGTCCCATACCCTCACCCCTCCCGTTCCCCACGCCAGGAAAACTGCGCCTCCTCCGCCGCTGCACGCTCGCCCTCTCCGACAGCAACCAGAACTACCGCCTCTCAGCCCTTTCCGCCGCCTACGACATCCTCGCCATCCGTCCAACGGACGAGAAGACGCTCCAGCAAGCCTGTCAGACGCTCGACTGCGACATCATCTCCCTCGACCTCACCGTCCGCCTTGGCTACCACTTCAAATTCAAGACCCTCTCCCAAGCGATCGAGCGGGGCGTCAGGTTCGAGATATGCTACGCGCCCGGCGTCTTAGCCTCCGATAACATGGCGAGGCGGAACTTGATTAGCAATGCTACGCAGCTCATTCGTGCGACACGAGGACGAGGGCTTATAATCAGTAGCGAAGCGAGACGGGCGGTTGGTTGCAGAGGCCCGTGGGATGTCGTCAATCTGGCCGCGGTCTGGGGACTGGGTCAGGAAAGAGGCAAGGAGGCGATCTCGAAAGCAGCGCGGTTCGTCACGGTCAGTGCGCAGCTGAAGCGTTCCAGCTACAGAGGCGTTGTGGACGTTATCTACGGCGGCGAGAAGCCCGAGGTGCCGAAGGAAGAAGACAAGGGCAAAAATTATGGGTCCAAGAAGCGGAAGGCGGGAGTGGGCGACGGTAAAGAAGCACCTCTTTCGAAGCGCGAACTTAAGAGGCGAGAGAAGAAGGCACGCATGGAGGCTAGTGCCCCGTCCTGTTGCAATGACTCGGCGTCAACGCCAGGTCAAGCTACTTCGACCGCTCCATGAAGACCTTCGAAGCACTATCAATTCAGGAAAATGAGATCGATCAACAATGCTTGATTCTGCAGCCCCAGGCCGAGATTACCCAATTCGATAACAACCGTCTACGTACGTGGCTCGTCGAAGAGAAGAAGAAGAAGAGGTTAAAGGAACACCGCATCAGCTTGGGTATCATTGCTGCTCCTTCAACGAGCTGTCTAAGCCCGTAAGAAACCCTCAGGTCTTACTGCGCTCCAAGTCGAAACGTCAGTGTAGGTTGCAACTTCATCGTATCGAGATTGAAAGGTAGACGGTTTTGCTGCGCAGCCGATGGTGCAGAAGAAACACTGATTGTGCCAGGCGAAGCGGGTGGTGTTTTGTCTGTTGCTTTCTGTGGCGCATTTGTAGCCAACGGGCTGCTTGCGCTTACGGTATCTGCCGTGGCTTCGCTAGTTCCACCTGTTGTGAGGGTCGTAGAGGAAATTGACAAGGAGACGAGCGGCGCTGCGGATGCTGTAGACGTGGAGGAAATACTGGACACGTCAGTAGACAAAGATGAAACTACTGAGGTATCTGTTCGCCCTGCTATTGCATCCATACGACTTGATGAAATGACCACAGCCAACGTCGTCGGAAGTGACGGTGCGGCTGTACTGCCTGATCCTGTACAAAGCAGAGGACTCATGGAAACCGTTTGTGACAGCGTGCTTGGTAAAGCTCCCACGGGACAGAGGCAATGACAATTGCATGCATCCCCTGATGCGGCCGCCGCGGTTGCTGACGATGTATGCGAGATCGGGGCCGAAGGCAATGCTGGGGATGGCATTGATGCACGTGGAGGAGACGTGGTTGCCGAGGTTGTTGCCGGTGCTGGCTCGCTCTTGACTTCCGGCAGTGAAGTTACTATAGTGATGAGACCGCCGGATGATGCAAGGGAGAAGACTGGCAACGAGCTCGCTGTAGTCTGAGCAACCAAGTCAGCTTCTGCTGTTGTTCTGTGCGCAGGAAGGTTCGCTCACGCTTCCCGGTACAGTCAGGGAGTCCTCCACTGCCGTCTCAGTGACTGTCAAAATTACTGTAGGCGTTGTTGTTCTCGAGCTCATTCTAACGTTCTCTAAAGTAGTAAGAACGTAGTGTGTAGTTGTCTCCGCAACGGTTATCTATCGGCGTTAGTCATCTTTATGACAGGTAGACGTTCGTGACTTACGGTCGTAGTGGGCTCCGGGCCGACATGCTCCAACGAGATCAGAGGCTCCTTTAAGGACAAATGTGAGGCAGATGCTATGCCAGATGCACATGCTTGGTCTTCGGCAAACCAACATCCATCGACGTAAATTGTAGCCACCGCCTCTGCCGATGTCGTGTTTGCGTAGTTCGGAGGAGCATGGATGTGGCGCCTTGAGTGAATTTGCGCTGATGTCTTCTTATGTGTGAAGTCAGTATACTGCTGTTCAGCTGAAGATGATTATACGGACCACCGGTGTACAGAAGAGGCACACCGCAGCTGCAAGTTCAAATGCATTGCGTAATCGTATCATACTACTCGATCAATCGAGGCGCGCTTCACGTTCAAGTGGATAGTTCCTGTGTAGCCGGCAAACAGCGATAAACACTTGGCATAAGGCAGACCAGCTGTGGTATAGAGAGAACGACTGCGTAAACAAAGTGCACAGAAGATGCTTTGCGAAGCTAATGAGTGGAGTCAAGATGAAGGTCAAGAAATGAGAGGAGGCTCCGAGCAGAAGCAGGCAAAGAAAAGAAGAGAAAGGAGCACACATCGAGATAGTAATGAAGACTCCCTCGTCAGTCTTCTGCCTTCGTATGAAGCGTCCTGTGTCGTTCTCCACTCATTTTCGCCAATCCGAGGAGAAGCGCAGGGCCATATATTTAATTTACCTTCTCGCCTTCGTTTTGATTTCTTGTTCTTGAGCCTGATACTGTCAGGGAAGACGAAGTCGGACTCGAAAAGTCTCATCCTGGTCTCAGGAACCGCTCGACAGAGTAGCAGCATGATGGGGGCTGTTGCAGACCAGCAGCTCGAGACGGGTAGCGTTTCGGAACGCTTCCGCTCGAGAGCCTGTACCCACCTCACCAAACTCTGGTATTGTTGCTCACTCAAGAGAAGACCTTCTCCACGTCTAGTCCGGAAGATGTGGTACTTTATGCTCTACTGTGTACGAGCTTGGCCTTGCGGTAGAAAGCTCGATCCTGAACAAGGCGATACTTACCACACCACTCTTAACAGGCCGTGCTTTGGTAATCGTTTGTTAGAAGCTTGCGAATATGTCTACATTGTGTCGGCTTTCAATCCTGCACTATTCGAGCACCTTTGTCAGCTGTGGAAGCACCACAGATTAGAGAACGACTACTCGCTGGAGGAATGTAGGTTGTTGTGTACAGGTTCGCTGCACGCTCCGATCTACGCGCTAAATGGTCCCCTGTGGATCTCTGCGGGAGTGGCTTTCCAGGGTACAAATCGCGATCAACAACGTCATGTGCCAACCTGAAGGACGTGTTGTTAAAGGCCGTAAACAGCTCCGCCGCGGGGCTGAGCCGAACTGAGAGGCATATATCAGTAAGCAAGATCGCCTACCTAGAGAGGGACAACCTAAGGTGATCTTCTCAGCACTTGCATTCGTGAGCCCTTTTCTCGGGCGTGATCAGCTATGGCAGTACACGTGCTAGACAACTACTACCTATCCATAACCTTCCTCATTACCGTCGCCTACCAGCTGTTCTTCTTCGCTATAGCATTCACTTACAAGTTCGACAAGCTCACCGATTTCGCTGGCGGCACCAACTTCGTGGTCCTTGCCATCATCACTCTTGCCCTCAGCGATAACCGCGACCATGCCCGCAACATTGTCGTCTCCCTCTTCATCATGGTCTGGGGCCTCCGCCTCTCCGGGTTTCTGCTTTTCCGCATTTTAAAGACAGGGAAGGACGACCGCTTCGATGACAAGCGAGACAACTTCTTCAAGTTTCTGGGATTCTGGATCTTTCAAATGTTATGGTAAAGACATCCCGAAATCAGAGCGTCTGGTACACCTCAACAAACCCTCAGAAAGGCTGACATCTACTGCCCAGGGTATGGACCGTCTCGCTCCCCGTCACGATCCTCAATTCGCCTGAGGTCGCGGAGTCCAACTATCGCGAGACCCCTTTTGGAACCGGCCAGGACATCACAGGCATCGTGCTCTATGTCGTCGGCCTGATCATGGAGACCGTCTCTGATACGCAAAAGTACCGCTTCAGGAGCGCGCACGGCAACGACGGCTCCATTTGCGACAAGGGGTTGTTCTCCTGGTCCCGACATCCGAACTACTTCGGCGAGATGATCATCCATTTCGGTAAGTGTCAGCAGTACGTCTGGCTTGCTCTAGAAGTCCAGATGCTTACGATAGTTCTAGGCATCTGGGTCATAAGCATCTCCCCAGCACTCCGGGGCGACGTCAATAGGGGTGCCAGAAACGCCCTCATCGCCTCCGTCGTCGGCCCTCTCTTCCTGACTTTCCTGCTAATGTTCGTATCGGGTCTACCGCTGCAGGAGCGCCCTGGGGCCAAGAAGCGTTACGAGAAAGGCAGCCGCGGCAGATGGGAGGCCTACTCGAGATACCTCAACCGTACGAGCATCCTGATCCCGTTCCCTCCACAACTCTACACGAGAACACCCATTTGGCTGAAGAGGACGCTGTTTCTGGAGTTTCCGATATACGTGTTTGATCCGGTTAAGCACTCAGACCAGAGTAAGCCTCAGATTGACGCCGGGCAGAGCCGCGTAAGCCAGCATGGTGGCAGGCCGAGCGATGAAGAGGCGCTGCAGAGATGAAGGTTCCATCATGACCCAGAAGACTATGTTTGGGCGAACAGATACCCTGATTCCAGCGCCCCGCGTGTGCGATAGATTCCTATACGATGTTTAATAATGCCTACAGTCACGCAAGTCCAGTCGTTTCAACCCAGTCGTACCGACCTTGATATTCTAACGACAACATTACCACTGTTGGCCTGACCTGCTGAGATAGGGAGTATGGCTCAATGCATGTTCTACTGCCATCAACCGTTGAACTGTCTGAATCGATTGGCTGTGATGCGTCGTACAGGCTCCCAAATCAACTGGCACACACACAAACTATGAAAGTCATCAACTTGTGGTCTTCATGTGCGCGGGTACGCTCCAGAAGAAGCGGATATCTCCAGATGATTGAGTCTGACAGTGAACCGGTTGCGTTATGTGTGAAGGGCTGTCTGAACGTAGCCATATCCAGGAATACTTGATCAGATTTTCTTGAGCTTGGTCTAGTCTTTTGAGAACCTGATTTCCACAAAACCGCATCCCCACCATGCCACGCTACGCTGAGATGATGGTAGAAGTTATCATCGCTAGCCTCAACAGCCATCCATACGCCACGCCAATGCAAACAACTACGCCAGCTTAGAGCAATATGTGCACGATGCAGGGACATCTAAAGAGATAGCCCAACCCATACAGAAACAGCCCACCTACTTCTTCCCACCCTTCCCATTCCCACTCTCACTCGCCTGCCCCTCCGACTCCGCAGGCGCACAGCACTGCTTCGCATTCCCGCACGCATCCCCGCAATCAAGGAGACACTCCTCCGGCATATCCCTCAGACTACCCGTCTTGCTCGCCTGCTTGCTGACAGTTTTCCGCTTGCCGTTCTTCGGCGCACCGTTCTCGCTACAACTATCTTCACTGTTGTCGTACGCCACCGAGTGGTCATGGCTCTCATCCAGACAGAATTCCGGCTGGATGGTCGAGGAGTGGATGCCGTACTCGTGCAGGCACTGCCTAATGTTCCGCACGAGCTCCATGTAGCGCGCCGACCCTTGGCCCTTGAAGTCGAACGCGACCTGCACGTGCAGCGATGCCACGAGCTTCGTGTCGCTGAGCTGCCAAACGTGCAGGTGGTGGCAGCTGGCGATGCCGGGCAGCTCCATAATGTCCTCCTTGATGTCGTCGACGCTTAGACCAGCGGGAACGGCTTGCAGCAGGATCCGAGACGCGGCTTTGCAGAGCGGGATGGCTGAGCACAGGATTATGACTGTGATGATGAGGGAGATGAGCGGGTCGGAATAGAAGCGCCACCAGTAGGGCGTCAGCCAGATCACCAGCGCGGACGCTATGACGCCAATGTTGCCGAGCGCATCGCCCATGACGTGAAGGAAGACGCCGCGCATGTTTAGGTCGCCGTGGGAGTGGCCGTGGCCTCCCTTGCCTGATTCCTTGGGTTGGTTGTGATTGTGCTCGGGGTGGGAGATGGCCTTGCCGTTGCTTGTCTTGCCGTCTTTACCAGAACTCTTACTGGTCGAGGCCCTCCTCTTCGTCCCATTCAGGAGTGGTGAATTCTCGGTAGGATCATTGTTCTCGTCGGCCACTGCGTTCTCATTCTCGGTATCGGTTTCGGACTCGGTGTTTTCGATGCGCGCGGCTGCTATGATCGAGTTCCTGAAAGACGCGGGATGCACGTCGATCTCGTCGAGGTTAGAGTAGGCCCGTGACCTTGAACGGCTGTGCCTCCGCTCACGACGGCCGCCGGGTGCAGTCTTGTAAGTCGGCTTGCCATCAACGTCCCACGAGATACCGGACGGCTGGCCCGACCCTCGCTTCTGTGTTGTTGGCCAATTACCAAAGCGGCTCTCCGGGAGCACATCAGCGACATTGCCTCCCTCGTCGGCCACCGCCTCGACGTCGTCCTGGACAGCTCCGATAGGCGCATGGCTGTGCCCTTCTTCGGCCGCAGACAGGTCATCTGTAGCACCCTCCCCATGTGCATGTCCATGCTCTCCTCCACCACCGTGGCTGTGACCGTGTTCATGGAAGAGGAAGAGACCGATGATGTTCGATGCTAGGCCGAGGCAACCGACAATCAAGACCAACTTGGGGTTGGACACCTCCTGTGGTTCGACGAGCCGTTGGATGGCCTCGAGGAAGATGGAGAGGCACAGGGCGACGAGGAAGACGCCGTTGACGAGCGCACCGAGAGTTTCTGCTCGTTGCCACTAGCACATCGTTAGCGACTGAACGTGTAGGCATACTTTCTTTGGAAACTCACTCCATAGGTATACATCTTCGACTTGGTCTTCTGGTTCGCGACCTTGACGGCCCACAGTCCAACGCATAGCGAGAGAACATCGTTGAGCATGTGGAAGGAGTCGGCCACGAGGGCCAGGGAGTGGACGGCATAGCCTGTTTGCAGAGCGTCAGTATGCGCTGGGACAGAGTTCTAGGAGGCTTCCGTACCAACAACCAATTCGAGGAGAAAGAAGGCGCTGTCAATGGCGAGCAGGATGAGGATCCGGTTCGACTTTGACAGACCCATGGCGGAGGCTGGCAGGGTGTTGCGGTCGTGTGTCCGGCTGGGTTTGGCCACGTTGCAGATTCTAAAGACGGGGTAGAAAAGAAAGGAAAGATGAAGCTTTACAGCTTCTCGTCAAGGTGCTCTACAGCGCGGATTTGTGGGTTGAGGAGGCGTGACAGCTGCGGCGACCACCCGTCGGAACATTCCGTCGGAACATCACGTCAGCGGGCTTGGAGAAGGAGAAACGGCAGGGCCCGCGCTTGAACGGTTGCCAACTTGAAGCGTCTTGTTCCGTCTTGTTCCTCCAACGTCTCCACGTCACAATGCTATTCTACCTAGAGATGTGTAGCGATATAGTCAATCTCGCTGCAATACATTCGCCTCTAGACTGCATTTTCGAGCTCTCTCCTTGATCTCAATCCAGCCGACAAGCCCCGAGCGCTTTACAGCGGCTCCGCTAGGTACAGTAGCGCTAACCGCGAGCCGCCGGTTCCCTTCACCACCAGCAACGACAACCATGGAGCGTTTCGCACAACCGACGTGCGCATCCGGCATGCCTTTGCCATCCCTCACAACTACGAGCAATGGCCGCGCCGACATCGACGTCCGCAGAGCTCACGCCCCCTCCGCCGGCGCACTTACCCGGCAATGCGTACCAGGATCCTACTGCAATCCAGGAGGAGGCACCTAATTCTTCCGACGATGAGCGCGAAGCCACGCAGCTTCGTTCGTACTCTACTGCCTCTGATGGCACACGACGCCGAAGACGGGGAACATTAGAGGCACGGGCAACGCACAGCACCGGGAGCGGTATCCAGAGCCAGACTTCCAGGAATCAAAGAGGAGGCCTTTGGGGATCAATCCAGACGTGGTGGCGGCGCCAGATCAGCGTCACAGTCCCCGCCGCAGCCATGAGGGACCACCTGGGTACGGCCTCTCCTTCTCCGCCTACCTTGCGGTCTCGCCCACCTTGAAAGGCAAGACTGACTCACGCATCCCCATCTCACCACAGCCCTTGAACGTACCTTCCTAGGCTACCTCCGCACCTCCATTGCGCTGTCCATGGTCGGCGCCTTGATCGCGCAGCTCTTCCGCCTGCAGCCAAGCCCGAATCCGGATCCGGTGCTCGGCTACTTTGTGCTTGGCATTCCGCTCGCTGCGGTCTTCATCTGTGCTGCGATTGTGGTGACTGTGCTGGGCGCGTGGAGGTTCTGGCGGCAGCAGAATGCCATGGTGAGAGGCAGGATTCATGCGGGCGGGTGGGAGATTTTGGTTATTATGGTTGGATCTCTGCTGGTGAGTTCAGTTTCTGTCTATGAGGAGACTTGGGGGTGTGTTTGTGGATGGAGAATTACGATAGGCTAGAAAAAATCGGCTGATCGTTCCACAGATCTGTTTCGCACTGTTTGCGTTGTCGGTAGTCATTGATATCAGAAAATCGTATTAGAGATACTCAGTGACTTTTGCGAAGTTAGCTCGGTCATTGATGTTGAGGCGAATAGATGATTTGAGGATTGAGAGCTACTAGCGAGGTTAGGCTTATGCTTGATCAGTCGGATCGCTTTACAGGGCGGCGATGTTCCATCCTCGGACAAGGACTCGAAAGCACCTCCGCTATAATGCCTAGCCTACAGGACGAGACGAGCATTCATCGTATGTGGAAGTTTTTCCATTCACCTCATTATGCGTATTTTAGACACCACTACAACTCATCATGCACCTCCTCAACCTCGATCTCGACCGGCCAATCCCCCATACCACTCTTCAAGTCCTCGATATTGACCTTGACCGGCTCCGCCTCCTCACTCGACAGCTCCTCCGCCACCTCCTCCACAATAACACCCTCCGGCAGCACCCCCTTCTTCCCTTCGCCCATGCGGATAGCATCCACCCACGCCTCCACAGCATCCATCCCGTAATCGCTCCCCTCGAACCGCTTAAACCATCCCCTCTTCGCATTCGTCGCCACCAGCTCCACGTCTGCATCTCCCTTGAGCCCCAGCGCGTTGCGCAGCTTCTCTGCGCCCTCGTTCGCGGCCGGCACGGCATAGAACGGGAACAGCCCGCCCTTTTGACCCTTGGTGTGATGCTTACTGCTCACGTGTCCCAGACTCGCTAGCGCGGTCCGTGCGGTTAGCGGTAGCAGCGGATCTTCCTCCGGATTCGGCCTGGTGGGCAGCAGGGCGAGGATGCAGGTGTGGGATTTCTTGGCCAGACACGCCTTGTTGAGCGCAGCCTCGGTCTCGAGCATCTCGAGCATGGGGGGACCCTGGGGAATGGCAACGGGTTTTTGCGTGTCGTCGGTCACGATGTTCGGGTCGGGGGATTCGGTGGGGGGAGTGGCGTCTTCGAGGGTCTCAGATGTAGCGGTTGCTTTGTTGGCGTCGCTTTCGGCGGAGGCGTGGGAGGCGGATGCTTTGGAGAAGGCGCTGGAGGCGCTGGAGGCAGATTCCTTGTCTGTGGAGGAAGATTTGGGTTTGGAGGAGGTTGCGGCGGCGGCGGGGGAATCGGGATTCGGCGGCGCGACTTGTGAGAGGAAGGTGAGCATGGCCTCTTTCTTCATTTCGCCGTCGTAGACGAGGGCGTCCTTGGTGCCGCCGGGCAGGACGAGGAGAGTAGGGAATTTGGAGACGCCGAAGAGCTCCACGGCATTCTTCTCTTTGTCCCTAATCTGCGCGACGCTGATGCTGCCGAGGAAGTCGATGGCGAGCGAGCGCAGCAGCGCGCTGATGGTGCCCTTGTCGGTGAACAGGACTGCCTTCGCCGTGTCGTTACCCTCGGCCAACCACTCTTCCAACCCCTTGTCCGAGACCCATTTCACGTGGTTCGGTATCTTGTCTACCATTGTGTCTACGATTGCCTGCGCGCTCCGCTGGCCTTGATATTCCTCCATGGAGGGCTTTCCGGGCTTGTTGCCGGGTTTGACGATCTTGAGTGTGGGGAAGCCTTGTACGCCCATGGAACCGCAGAAGGCCTTGTTGGACTCATCGTCGCAATTCACGGCGGCGACCTTTGCAAGACCGGAGAGCGACTTGGCCGCCCTCTCGTACGCGGGCTTGAGGTTCTTGCAGTGGCCGCACCAAGGTGCGTAGAACCTGCGCTGTTCAGCATGCGAGGCGGTCGAGGCGGAGGTTCGGGCGGGCTTACTCTACAATCTAACGAAGGCTTAGCTAGGAAGATATTCAGAGAAGGCTGTTGGCTTACCGATGGATAATTCGACTTGGCTATCAGCTTGTCGTAGTTCTTTGCATCTACTTGGAGGACGGGCGAGTTCTTGGAGTACATGCCTTCAGCATATGCGGGTTGAGCTAGCAGAGAAGCTGCAGCAGCAGCCAATACTATGGCCTTCATGGTGGCTAGTAAGGGACTGTTTCGGATTGAGTATGATTGAGAGAGTGAGCTGCTTCGAAAGGTTGTTGTTGCTGACGATACAAAACGATGACGCCTGGAAGGAAGTAGACAAGCTGTCCTCAAGCTTGTGCGTCGGAGTTAGGACTTAGCCTCATTGCGGGGGGATCTAATCTTATCTTTTCGCTGTCGCATGGAGCGCTCTCGTTGCCACGTGATTGCCAACCAGGCGTCCTTTTTATATCAAGCTTCCTCTTGTACATAATATTCGAGAGCGGATAAGCCAAGCGTCTCCTGCCTTCTGCTGTTAATTCAGCTCTTCAATCCTTGCACGCGTGAGGCGCCTAGGACAGCATGGCCGCCAATATACCAGGCCCGCTCAAGACCGCCGACATTGCACGCTTTGCCATGCGGTCGGCGCAACTGGCCAATGTAGACGCCGTAATGACCTACTGGTGTAGGTGTGATTGTGTATGACTGTCGCTGCCGCACAACGGATGCTAAGAGTTCCAACAGGCGACTACTATATTGTCAATCAGATACTATCAAAAGGCCTGCACACGGCGGATGACGAATCCATGGCCTATACCACCGCTCTCATGGACAAGCTTGAGCAGATCAAAGCCCAACACCCCAGCAACGACGCAATACTGGATGATGTAGCGGCGAAGGCGTATGTGGAGCAGTTCGCTCTCAAGACCTTTGACCGCGCCGATAACGCTGTGCGGGCAAATAAGGCTTCAGCGTCAGTACCATATACGCTCCATAAACTGTCATACTATACCTGACCCACCACACCTAGACAAACCGCAGATACTTTCCGAGCAGCAGCGACTTTCCTCGACCTCCTCGGCACATGGGGGCCGCTCGACCCCGAGATCAGCGCAAAGTCCAAATTCGCAAAATACCACGCCCTGCGCATCGCCAAAGCGATTAAAGCCGGCGAGGACCCCAACCTCTCGAACCCCGTGCAGGAACCGCCCCCTCAAGAGGCCGTGGCACCGGCCCTGGACCCAAACGACCCGGAAGTCCAGCGCATAAACGGTGCCACCTCCGCTCAACGCCCGTTAGAAGACTCAGCTCCGCCTCTCTCCCTACCATCGCCACCTCTTCCCGACGCTCCAGCAACCGTGCCATCGCCAGCAACTCACCAACCCCCCAATGGCCCACTCTCCCAAGCCGGCGACGTTTCCCCACTAGCGCCCACCCCAGATAGCAGAAAGGGCTCCGTAGGCGGCGGCTACTTCCCCCGCCTACCGGCGACCTTCGCATCCGAGACCGCGCCACCTGCACTCCCGACCGCTCCCGCCGACGATGTATCCATGACCGAGGATCCTCCCCAATTCATAGACCCAGATCCGTCGAGCTTCTACAGCCAGCAGAATCAGCAACATCCGCCGCCGCCGCCGCCGCCGCCTCAAACACAGCCACCACAAGTCCACGCTCCCGCAGCAGCGGCATGGCCGCCCGCACGACAACAACAACCACCTGCGCCGGAGCCGATGGTGAGCCACGATGTAGGCACGGCAGGGGCATACAGGACCGACGACGAGGCGATCGCGAGCGCGGCCAAGCATGCTAAATGGGCTGTTTCGGCGCTCAATTTCGAGGACGTGGATACGGCGGTCAAGGAGCTGAGGATCGCGTTGAGGAGTTTGGGCGCGAGCTGAGGGCTGTAGTTCAGCGGGGCAGTTGACAATCTAAACGGGTGCAACACGTGGGATACGATAGCGTTGGATGTTCGAGCTGTGACAACGTGGCCCACATGGTTGAGGTGCTCTGTGCACAAGGATGGGATGGCAGAAGGAACGACCGCGCACTGTCTGCGCGCACGAGCTGGCGGGGTTGTAGCTGGCAAGGGAAGGCAGAGTAGACAGAGATGCGGGGGTAATGATGCCGATCATTGAGGAGGGAATTTTCATGTCCATATTGATAGGCCCCTGACGGGCGCTCTTAGGTATCATACCAAACATACCAACGCAATACATGTTTCATCGCCAATACACAAACTTCCCAAGCTTACCTCTCTCTGTGCTTTGCATCAGGCCACCCTCCCCCTCCACCGGTCTTGTACGATCGTAACTTCTCATTCTCGGCCACCTTCAATGAAGCTTGACAACTACCACTGCGTATCTCTGCCCGTGCCGTCCGCCCCACCTTCCGCCGCCGCCGCCGCAGCCTCACCAGCGCGTTCGCCGTTCGTCTGGGCCCCGGTCCCATCCACCGTCCCGTAGCGAGCCGCACCAGTGTTCTTTGAACGGCCCGTGATGTCCTGCCATGTGGCATTGAACCTGCGGCCTGTGCTCGCCAGCAGACCTTCCTCCTCCTCCTCTTCGAGATCAGCGTCCATGTCTTCGGTATCCATTCTCGGAGTCCGGAAGAGGGTTAACAGGAAGACGATGAGGTAGACGCCTATAACAGGTCAGCTTACGGAAGCGAAGACACGATGGGTGGATCGCCGGCACAAGGGGAGGTCAGGGGGTAGTTGTGTATATGCGGGGACTTACCAAGGAAAGCGAACTGCGCCCAGAAGCACACAACGCCGAAGAAGGGGAAGTTGACAGTTATGCGGTTGATAAACGTGCTCACGACACTCGGCGTGCACACCTCCTTCGCGATCGGGTTCTCTGCCAGCTCCGAGCAGTGTCTGATCGCGCTGCGGTGCTGCGAGCAATCCGGCATCTCGTTGGGATGACGTGGCAGGCGGTCGCAGTAGGTCTGCGGGCCGAAGGTCGCGTACTGGGGGGCGACGATCATGGCGATGGAGTAGTTCATCGCGAGGACGATGAGCGTGAGCAGGACGGTGGCGAGGAGCAGCGCCTGAGGGCTGGTGCGGCCTTTGCGGATGCGGAAGATCATGAGCCAGAGGAAGCGGATGCCGACGGTTGCGATGCCGACGATGCTGGCGGAGAAGAAGAGCAGCACGAGGAGGAGGAAGAGGACGTAGTCGATGGGGAACACCTTGCTCGACGTGACGAAGATCCAGTTCAGCGGCTGGAAGATGTTCGTGTGGCCCAGGACGTAGCCGCAGCCGGCTTTGCAGACAGAGTACTTGGCTTTGTCGATGCCAGTGATGAGCATGCTGACGAAAACGACGAGGGAGACGAGGGCGAGGAGGAGACCGCCTATGAGCTTGACGGGTCGGAAGACAGCCTCAATCTTGGTCCACGTCTTCATCAGCCAGCCTTGTCCCTCGCCGCCGGCTTCAGCAGCCAAACGTTCACGCCGTATGAGCGTGCGCTCTTCGCGGACCAGAGCTTCGAGTTCGCGTCGGTCGCGCGAGTCGAGCCCGTTCTGGCGGCCTTCGTTGCGGCCTTCGAGCTGGCGCTGGCGCTCGCGGTTCTGCTCGAGTTGAGTGGCGGTATTGGCGGCCAGGGCAGGCGTGGAGATGGCCGGAGCTGACTTGATGAGGGAGACGGGGAGCAGCGCAAGGCCAGAGCCAGTGTAGATGACGTAGACAATCGTCCCAACGGTTATCAGAAGACCCAGAGCGAAGGTCAAGGCGCGTTCGCCCCGGTTCTCGGTAAGGAGGTCCTTGAAGTAATCCAGGTTCCGGTGATCGCTGTGTTTGGTGTTCTTCGCGGCGGGGATGAAGAAGCCGACGAGGAACAGGATGACGCAGAGGAAGACGAAGGCGATGGTGTATTTGAATGCTTCCCAGAGCCTGCTGCCGACCGTCTGGGTGCCTTGCTCCGCGGCGTCGTCGTCGTACGATTCGTACCAGAAGTAGGTGAAGGGAATGACGAGCAGGCACAGGACGGCGTCGAGAGAGTACAGAGTGTAGTATACGATCTTCAGCGTCACGACGATGTTGTCGATCTTGTCAGGCGTCGCCCAGTCCTTCTTGCGGCCTTCGCTCGAAAGTGTGGTAGATGACACGAGGGCGATGTCGACGGGCATCAACAGCACCGTTGCAAGCAAGGCGGTCACGGTAAAGATGCATATTATCGTTACGGAGGCGGCCCGGTCGCGCGGCTTCTGGTAGACGTAGACGAAGACGGAGGCTATGGCGACGAGGATGGCGACGGCGACGGCGTAGGTCACCCATATCAGGCTGGTCTGTATAAGAGGCATGGCAGGCAGCGCTTGTTGCTGTGCTGTGCTGTGCTGTGCTGTGCTGTGCCGCTCACTGTTTGTCGTCATTTGTTAGACGCCGGGGACTGTGAGAGGGAAATCGGGTGTCAATGCAGCTTACCTGGAGTCCTTCAAGTTGCTTCAAGCGACCGAGAGGATGGAGAGGATAGAGAGGATAGAGAGGAAGCTTGCAGAGGGAAGAGTCTGGAGAGTCTGGAGAGTCTGGAGAGCGGCAGCGTTCGCATGTGCGGCGGGGGGGAATGGGGGGGGGATTGGGAGCAGGCTTTCGTTCGAGACAGGCTTCGAGCGGGTGCGGCCCAGCATGACGCTTGCTTGGGGCCTGGGGCTTTGGGGCTTCGAGCTTGGAGCTTGAGCCACAGCTTGGCGGCAAGGGAGCGCGTTTCGAGCTGCGATTGCTCGTGGATTTGAGATGCGATGCCATGCCATGCCATGCCATGCGATGCTCAACACCACACCGAATTCCTGTGCAGCGACAACACATACATACATAGCAAAGCGAAGGGGACAGATGACATGCCATTGAGGGAGAGGCCTTGAGCAAGATGCAGTGCTACACCGAGCTGACGCCGCCTACCGCAGTCACCTACGCCGTCAACCTGCCCTTTCTCGGTCCAAAAGCCAGCAACTTGGTTGTCGCTAAGAGCTCGCTGCTCCAGATATTCGAGCTCAAGTCAGTCGTCACCGAAGCCAGCAGTAAAGCCAATGGAACCCACACGCCTACATCGCCGCTGCTCGACGGGGAGGCAGCGGGCATCTCCTTCCAGCGGACCGAGCATACCGCCAAACTCGTGCTGGTCGGCGAGTACATCCTCGCCGGGACAGTCACGGGGCTAGCGCGTGTCAAGCCGCTCAACACCAAGTCCGGAGGCGAGGCATTGCTCGTGTCCTCTAAGCATGCCAAGTTAAGCCTGGTCGAGTGGGACCCGGAGCTGTTTGGCATATCGACCATCTCCATACACTACTACGAAGGCGAAGACTTGCAAGGCAGTCCTTGGGCTCCGGATGCCGGCCAGTGCTACAACTTTCTCACAGTCGATCCTAGCAGCAGGTGCGCTGCGCTCAAATTCGGTGCCCGCCAACTTGCTATACTCCCGTTTAGGCAGCCGGGGGATGACCTCGTAGGAGGAGACTATGACCCGGATCTAGATGGCCCTTTGGATCGGCCAGTGGCAAAAGGAAAGGCCAGTGAAGGGGATGCTGATGGCAAACAAACTCCGTATATGTCATCCTTCGTACTCCCTTTGACAGCTCTGGACCCGTCTCTGACGCACCCAATACACCTCGCTTTCCTGCACGAATACCGTGAACCTACATTTGGACTCATATCCGGCTCCCGGGCGCCTTCAAAATCGTTGCTGAATGAGCGCAAGGATGTCCTCAACTACACCGTCTTTACCCTGGACCTCGAACAGCGGGCCTCCACCACCCTCTTGTCGGTAACGGGACTGCCTTATGATAGTTATCAAGTCGTCTCTCTCCCTCTCCCCGTCGGAGGAGCTCTCCTCGTTGGTGGCAATCAATTCATTCATGTGGATCAAGCCGGCAAGACCAGCGCCGTCGCTGTCAATGAGTTCGCTAAGCAATGTTCATCGTTTGCCATGAGCGATCAAACAGACCTTGCCTTGAGGTTAGAGGGCTGCACAGTAGAGCAGTTTTCTTCCGACAGTGGCGACATGCTGATTGTCTTAAACAGCGGAGAGCTCGTCGTTCTCAGCTTCAAGCTGGATGGGCGGTCCGTGTCGGGGATCTCCCTTCATAAGGTAGCCGAAGACCACGGAGGCAGTTCCATCAGGACCGGTGCATCTTGCAGCGCAGCCCTAGGTCGGAACAAGGTCTTTATAGGGAGCGAAGACGGCGAATCTGCAGTTCTCGGCTGGACGCGAAAAGCGGCGCAACTGACAAGGAAGCGTTCCCATGCCGAGATGCTGGCGGATGATGCTGACCTGTCCTTCGACGAAGAAGGCCTGGATATCGACGACGATGATTTGTATGCCGGTGATGCTGAAGCTATCAAGAAAGCGATATCTTCGCCGACTGATGCAAGCGCACCCAGCAATTACATCTTCAGAGTTCACGATACCCTGCAGAACCTTGCACCATTGCGTGACATTGCCTTTGGGCAACCATTACCGTCGCTCAAACGAGAGACATCTAAGGGAGGCAAGGCTCCTCAAAAGCCGGAAAACCTCGAACTAGTCGCTGCGACCGGACGCGGCAGAGACGGTGGCGTCTCCGTCCTGCGGCATGAAGTCACACCCGATATCACTCGCTCTTCTGCGTTTGCCGACACACATGCAGTCTGGTCGGTTCATGGAAAGAAGCCTGCTCCTAAGGGTATGCCAGCCCAAGGCAAGGACGATTTGGAAGCTTTGATGTCCGCGGATGCCGACTATGACCACTTCATTGTCGCTTCCAAGACATCGACAGATGGCGAAGAGGTATCAGTCGTATACTCAATCACCGCAAGTGGTCTCGAAGAAACCACACAGGGCGAGTTTGAACGCGAGGGCACGACCATCGATGTCGGCACCTTGGCCAATGGTACGAGGATTATACAAGTGCAGAAAGGGGAGATTCGAAGTTATGATTCAGGTAAGTCTGCAAGCTTTCTTTTCCATACATCTGCTCTGCAATACGCCCACTTGTACGGCTTGTACATAAGGGAAGCGTTTACGCCGCCTTTAGTCCGAGAATCCACACGATCGTTTTGTGATTCCAAAGACCATCCGAGAGTCACAGCGCCCAGATGCTGGGTAGGACGGAAGCTTCGGGCAACTTCCATCTCAGAGAGTATTCTGCTCACGGGCGGGCTACATTCAAAGCAGCACGAAAACGGTGGTCTCTGCACCACGCAATGTTTGTTAGATGAATACAAGATACTTCTTCTGACCCTCATGCCCCGTTCTGTCCGCTAGAGTGTTTGATTGCAGAGCCCATCACATCGCCTACCCGGAATGACTGCTAACGCGGAATGTGTGTTAGAACTGGGTTTGGCTCAGATCATTCCCATGGAGGATGAAGCAACTGGGGCCGAGCCGAAAATTATCAGTGTTAGCTTCGCTGATCCCTATATCCTCATCTTACGAGATGATTCAAGTGTCATTGTCCTCCAGGCAGACGACAGCGGCGATATAGAGGAGATTGAACGAGGTGACGCTATACTGGCTACTAGATGGCTTTCCGGGTCGATTTACAAATCTCTCGTAACTAACAACAAAGCACTGGTCTGTTTGCTCAGCGCAGAAGGTGGTCTACATGTAGGTTTCGCATTTGCCCGGGGTACTCCCCCGTCCTCTCGCATACTGACAAACGGTCGAATCACAGATATTCGAGTTGCCAGAATTGGAGAAGCCCGCGTTTGTTGCAGAGGGCCTCTCTTTCCTCCCTCCTACGTTGACTCCGGAGTACGCTCCACGGCGAGGGGCTACAAGGGCTGCGCTCACGGAGATCTTATTAACGGATCTAGGGGACCAGACATCGAAGACACCGCACTTAATAGTAAGTCCCCAGCTACACTTTATAGCAGAATTCTCACAAAGATACAGGTACGGACTTCGACAGATGACCTGGTTATCTATAAGCCCTACAACTACCCTGTGCGAGATCTATTAGAGTCGTTCACGTCCGATCTTCGATGGCTCAAGCTCTCGCAGCCACATCTGCCCAAGTACACAGAGGACCCCACGATGGAGGCCGAGGAGCGCGGCAGGGGGAGCACACTCCGGCCGCTTGATAACGTCGCCGGATATAGCACAGTCTTCCAGACTGGCACCTCTCCCTCCTTCATCATCAAGGAGTCTTCCAGCTCGCCCAAGGTTTTGAGTCTCAGAGGGAAGTCTGTGAAAGCACTCACCAGATTCCACACTGCAGAATGCGAGCGTGGCTTTACATACGTGGATGCAGACGACCTCCTCCGAGTGGCTCAGCTGCCATCGGGATTCCGTTTCGGTGACATCGGGTGGGCAACACGAAAGATCAACATCTGTCAAGAAGTGCAGGCGCTCTGCTACCACCCGCCGAAGAGAATGTATGTCCTGGGCACCAGCGACAAAGTCGAGTTCAAGCTTCCCGAGGACGACTACCACCATGAGTGGAGCCAGGAAGACATCAACCTCAGACCTCTCATCGATCAAGGCATGCTTAAGCTGCTAGACCCGTCTATCTGGGGGGTCGTAGACACACATGTCTTTGAGCCGGCTGAAGCAGTTACATGCGTGAAGTCTATGAACTTGGCGGTTTCCGAGAACAACGACAAGCGGAAACAGCTCATCGCTGTGGGAACTGCCTACATACACGGCGAGGATCTACCTGCCAAGGGCAACCTTTACGTCTTCGATGTGATTGATGTCGTGCCCGAGCCTGGACGTCCAGAGACTGGCAAGAAGCTGAAAATTGTGGGCAAAGAAGAGCTGAAAGGAGCCGTTACTGCGCTTTCCGAGGTCGGTGCCCAGGGTTTTCTGCTCGTGGCACAGGGCCAGAAATGTATGGTCCGGGGTCTCAAAGAGGACGGACAAATCCTGCCGCTTGCTTTCATGGATATGCAATGCTATGTCACCGTGGCGAAGGAGCTTTACGGAACCGGAATGATGATATTCGGCGATGCGATGAAGGGTCTGTGGTTTGCTGGGTACACCGTAAGCACTTCTCTCACTCTCCGTGTGTCGGTTGAAGTCGTTGCTCACACACAGGACAGGAGGAGCCATATAAAATGTTGTTCTTCGGCAAGAGCCGCTCTCAGATGGAAGTTCTGGCGGCAGAATTCATGCCATATGAACAGCAGCTCTACATAACAGTCGCCGACGGACACTGCGATATCCACGTCCTACAATTCGATCCAGAGCGTACGTCGCCAGGGCCCTCCCTCCTCCAAACCTCACACCTTTACTAACCCCCTCCTCTCAGATCCCAAATCCCTCTCCGGCCAACGCCTCCTCCACAAATCAACCTTCCACACTGGCCACTTCCCCACAAGCATGACGCTAGTTCCCTCAACCCTCTCCCCCCTCAACACCGTAATCGACAACGCCGCCAACCCAAACGCCGCCGCTCTCAACGGCACCCAGCCCCGCGCGCCGCTCCGCCACGTCCTCCTAACCACCCAGTCCGGCGTCCTCGCCCTCATCACCCCGCTCGACGAACAAACTTACCGCCGGCTCGGCGCCCTGCAGACCTATCTGACCAACCTGCTCGACCACCCTTGCGGCCTGAATCCGCGCGCGTACCGGGCGGTTGAGAGCGAAGGGTTTGGGGGTAGGGGTATCGTCGATGGGAATCTGTTGAAAAGGTGGTGTGAGCTCGGCAGTCAGAAACGCGCGGAGGCGGCGGGGAAGCTGGGGACGGAGGAGTGGGTTGTGGGGAGTGATCTGGAGGTTGTGGGAGGGGGAGGGTTGGGGTTCTTGTAGGGCTGGCTTTTGTGGGACAGAGGGGGTTTCGTAGGATAGATCGGGGTTTGTAGTCTCCTACAGGACTGGAGGCGTAAGGCTTTCTTTATTTCACCGCGCTAAACCTTAGGAATAGGAGGGTTCTTCTGCCAGGAAGAGCATTCGCAGCCTTGCAATATGTTGAAGAGCAAAAGTACAGGCGCATTATTGCTTTCGTAGTGTCCCATGGCTGAGATTCAACACAATCATTTGAGAAGTTATTGAATCGAGGTAGCATCTTTGGATATGAAAGCTGCGCTATATTAGACGTGTCCCACGAAAAGGTAAAACCAAGGCCATTGTATCAGACTGAACAGTAAGAGCAAGGTTGTGGGACGAAGAGACGACGTGAGAGAGAATCAGACTCATTCAGTCCTCTATAATGAATCTGAATTGTGCTGACATCTGTCGCCGCGAAGCTTGTAGCACGATATACAAGTCCTCGGATTTCGCAGCTCTTATCCTCCGGATGTCGCTTCTTGCTTTTCGAGAACGTTCCATTACCAAAGCACGATAGAGGCACTCACTGCTTGATTGAGAAGGAATCATGCTGAGGCACCCTTCACCACTCCTTGATAGTCATGGTACTGGCTGACTGCCCGGGCCGCTGCTGATGAAGAACCACGTAGCCGCGGAGGCAATATCGTTACTCTATTGCAATCCACACCGGGAACTGAATCCGACGAGTCATCAAGTAGCAGCGAGTGTAGCGGTGAAGACAACCAGAACAAGGACTTGGCACGCCATCGTCCCTCATGCTAACATCATGCTTCATCCAGATCTAGGGGCGGGAGCGTGGACAGAGTGAAGTTCTTGCCGCCTTACGCCCAGATCAAACTCCGCTCAGTTCCGCGTATCAATCAGTCCAGACGTCTGCGTGGTTGGCTTTGACTCGCTATCTGTCGTTGACACTCAACACCCGGCCGCGTTTGTCCAGAGAAAGATTGCTCAGGTGGTTTTGCTCTGCGGGTGGCTGCGGCGGTCTGCATCTGCTGCGGCATGCTACAGATGGAAGCAGATGCATGTCAGGGGCGAGCCGCTCAACGCATTCCCGCTTGCAAATATGCCACATCGCGGGGCAGTAGAGTGTCGTGAGTCCGATGTTCGCGATGCTGAGGCGGTAATCTACAAGCAATGTCGTTTATGGCAGGATGCTGCTGCCACTTTGTTTGTATCGTTGAACGAGATCGGCACCCTCATGGCCTTGTAAGACTGATCCAGACCGTGGTTTTATGTGTGTCTGCAACGGTGGATGGAGAATTTGTATCTATTTCCCAGTCAGCGACCGTTGAAGTGGAGACGATCAAAGCGAGTTGATTCCGGGGTGGAGGTGCGGGGCCAGGGTTTCCTAAACCGGTAGAGTTTGCAGTCGAGTTGCGTAAGAAATCTACGCTCCTCAACCTTTAATTTTGTTTGGCTGCAACTCTAGCTTTGTGGTAGGATAGGCGAAACACGTGAGGACCTTAATTATAAAGCTCTTTCAAACGCGGTTAACTGTAATACTACCACCATAATAAGCTATAATAAGCTGAGATTGCTAAGATAGCGTGTTGGCATATAATATCATAATATACAACCATAAGAAGGCGACATTTTAAAGATTACAAGTAACGTGTTTGATGTAGATTCAACTAATAAAGAGGGACGGCGACATCTCTTCTGCTGGCGTTCAGCTGGGAAGAAGCGCCGATCTGTGCAAGACTTGTAAATGGTTTGAGGGCAATTGAGGCTGAAGCTCCAACTTTAACTCAACGATCAATGGTACCTTATTCCATTGTTGTCCTCGTTCACCACGTTGCAGTAAGTCTTCAGGACGGTTCCGGGCCGCTGCCGACTATGGCATTATGTGAACGAGCTACCAGCACCAGCATCCCCCTCCTGTCTTTCCAATACATCCAACACATCAATATCGAAGATCGAGCTACTGAGTAGCGTTGCACCACCGTAACCTTAATATCCATTGGATCCCGCACTACGCAAAACAGGCGAGAACGTATGAGTGTCCCTTACCGCAGATCTTGAAGTAAGAATCTCCGAGATGCGGTTGAAGATCCAGTTTGCAAGCGTCACCGTTGAACGGGTTGAGTACCTAAGTTACGTGTGGGACTCCGGTAAAACCGCAGAGCCTTGTCTGCGCTCATCATGACACCGCGACAGGTGCATACGACAGCTGGAGGAATGCCGTTTGTCGAACCCCCGCCTTTGACTAAAAGCGTGTTACGACACACACCGTTGAGGGGCACCAAGAGGTGATTCGGGTCCTGTGACATCAGGCCAGTCTGGAGCTCCAACGGGCTGGAGTCTGCGCTTCGATTCCCGCTAGCTAGATCCCCTTCCTTTTACTCGTACTTTCTCCACCCCCACGCTTCCCCAGGCGAATACTTAGACGATGGGGTTGGCGATGGAACCCAACCGTTCCCTCTACGGAGGTAGCCGAAGCTCATAATGATGAGTGTCCTAAGCTGCATGTCTTCCACAAGATGAATCCCAGGAGTTGTTTCTCTTCTGCAGTGAGGTGTCAGAAATCCGTCCTCAGCATCATTGGCTACGGTTTCTGTCGTGAGGCGTCTCCCTTCAGCTCCAGCATGCTCCACGATGCGCTCCGCTCGAAACGGACCAGACACAGCCTGGCGGTGCGAACAAGTAGCTAGCTTACCCCGTTGAGGCTTGCATGCTGCTTCCTCTGTGCCCAGTGCCACGAGGCTCTCGGCATCCTTTCCGCTCTCCTTGCGAATCTTCGGACTATCAAGATTTCATTTCCATTCTTAGCTGAACCCCCACGCCAAACATAAGATTTCCCTCCACAGATTGTTTGACAATCCCCGATTTCAGGTGAGGTAGGTGATTGACGCTGTCATTCTCATCGAGATCGTAATGACTCCCGAGCTGCATACATCATCACGTTCATATTAGTAAATTGTCTCGAGTTGATTCACTCCAGCCTCTGGTGACACGTCATCTTCACTTTCTGATCAAGTCTACATATAAGGACGTCCCTTCACTTATGGGGAGCTTCGACTCCTTCATCAGCGGTGACTTGGCTTTCGGGGCAGGAGTGCGGTATAAATCAACACCTACACTTTCTGCATATCAGGCGACTTCCACCACCATCACCATGGGATCAACCGGCGACAGAAACCATCGAACTCTCATCCCTGGCGTGTACGTACCGACTGTCGTCTTCTTCGACCCCCTCACCGAGGATTTGGATCTCGACAAGATCGCCAAGCATGCTGTCCGTCTGGCGGAGGTTGGCGTAGCCGGTATCACCACGCAAGGCTCTAACGGCGAAGCCGTGCATCTAATCCACCAAGAGAGGGATCTTGTCACAAAAACCACCCGTAAAGCACTTGACGAAGCTGGCTTTGAGCACATGCCGCTGATAGTTGGATGCGGCGCTCAGTCGACCCGTGAGGCTATCGAACTCTGTCGCAAGGCTCAGGCCGCCGGCGGAGATTACGCGCTAGTCCTGCCACCAGTCTACTACCAAGGTCTGTTTTCAAAAGATTCCGTGATGACCTTCTTTCAAGACCTCGCTACCGCATCACCAATTCCAATCATCATCTACAACTACCCTGGCGCTGTGTCAGGCCTTGACCTGTCCTCGGACACTATCATTGAGCTCGCTAAGCACACCAACATCATCGGTTGTAAGCTCACATGCGGCAACACCGGCAAGCTCAACCGGATCGCTGCAGCAACCCGTGCGGCGACTCCATCGGACCCCGGTTCCGGCTTCATGTGCATGGGCGGCTCCGCAGACTTCACACTGCAGACACTGATCGGTGGCGGCTCGGGCATTATTGGTGGACTTGGCAACGTCGCGCCAAAAGCATGCGTGAAGCTGATCGAACTCTTCGAGGCCGGCAAGCTCGAGGAAGCCCGAAGGATGCAGGCAGTCGTTGCCAGGGGCGACTGGGCGGCCATACAGGGTGGCATTATCGGCACGAAGAGCGCACTGGAAACGTTCTTTGGCTACGGCGGGTTCGCTCGCAAACCGTTGCCCCGACCGAGCAAGGAAGAGGCCAAGAAATGGAGGGACGCGTTTGAGGAGCTTGTTGAGCTGGAGAAGTCACTCTAGACACCCACGTCGTGCGGGAACGAAGCTTCAACGCGCAGCCGTCCAGCTCTCGTTCGCCGCCAACTCCACAAAGTAATCCACGATCAGCCGCTGTAGTAAATCTCAGCAGTGAACAATAGAACGACAAGCTTTCGGTTGGCTATTTAGCCCATGTTTTCGAGCGTTACATTGATCGTAAAGGGAGTATTATCGTCGAAGAAACCCTGGATTTCTAGGTTCGCGGTGAGGGTTTTCCCCCGCCCGACGTGAATCTGTTGTTATGGGGGTTCCTTAGCCACTTAGGCTCCTACTTTTCAGGCGAGTTCCCCTCACCTCGTTCTCTACAAGCAGGCAGGTCTATGTTGTGCCTCTCTGCAGTGACATATCCATTTCATGCGGCGCCACGAGTGCATCTCTGGCGTCTACGGGTCACGCACTTTCGGCGCTTGAGGTGATGAGGAACGGGAATTACGGGAACGGCCCTTTTGCGTGTACACACAAACCAAGGTTGCTGTGACTGTGCAGCTTCGTCCACTGGGTCCCCCACTACACTCCCACGCCATGCTTGCCCTCTATCTTGATCAGTGGGTTTCTCTAGTGGCAGCGCCTCGGCTCGCTTGATTGCTTGACATTTCGCATATTCTTCTAGAGCCTCTGGTTCTCGCAGTGGAGTGTGGATAGGACGTGACACTTGAAGGCAGAGAAACTGCCTTGCGAGAGGTTTCAACTTGGCCCCAAATATCAGAGCAGTATACACCGATTCCCAGGCAACGAATCGGACATGTCGTTATTTGCGACCCAGAGACAATCGCCAGAGCGAAATCCGTAATAATGAGAATATAGTAACGACCTGACGTGTGGTGACGGCTAATGGAAGAATTTTCCTTCTGCTACGTTTTGATTACCGTTGAAGAGAGAGAAAAATACCGAAAGGGGACTGAGCTTCGCCTTCTGGTCATTCCGTTGCATGGAGCACGTCTCCCGTCACCCAAACATTTAACCCTCTCGCCGACAAAGTCATTCTAGGAACTGAGGATGAACTGAGGTTTCATTCGACGTGGAAGAATGATCACGTGGGCCGCTCTTGGCATCGGTTAGCGGGAAAGCCTCTTCCACACGGATTTTGAGTCTTGGCGAACTGCTCGACTCCCACCGCTGCCGCCGACAGCCTGCACCTCATCGACAACCACCCATCTTGCGCTGCTCGGAACATACTATCAAGCCTCAATTTCGACAAGGGTATCTTATACACAACACCAAGCCGTAAACTCGGACAACCGTCAAGATGGTGAGGCCCTTCTCCCCGAAGCCGCACGCGATGTTCGCCCCCTCCATACTATCGGCCGTTCCGCTGACGACCCCAATCTAGGTTCTCGCAGTCGATCTTCTAAATCCAACTCCTCAGGCTGAGGCGCGGAAGCACAAGCTAAAGGTAAGCCTGGCGAAATCCACACTCACTGGCACACGGTGCTAACACCTTCTGGCAGCAACTCGTACCCGGCCCCCGCTCTTTCTTTATGGACGTCAAGTGCCCCGGCTGCTTCACAATCACCACCGTCTTCTCGCACGCTCAGACCGTCGTCACTTGCGCCGGCTGCTCTCAGGTGCTCTGCCAGCCAACTGGTGGCAAGGCGCGGTTGACCGAGGGCTGCTCTTTCCGGAGGAAGTAGACAATCAATGGTGGTTGGAAGACGGAGCGCTAGGAGGCAAGAAGTTACACATGGCATCGAATGCGATATGAGGCGTTGGGCTGCATCTGTGCGTGGATAGAGGATGGAGACTCCCGGATATTCACCACGTTTTTGTTCGCGATGCGGGTTTTTGTGTCGTCGTTCGGCTGGACTGATCTTATGTATATTCAAAGACAACATCCAGTCGAATCGCATTCCATGATCTCTATGCTGCTGATCCCTGAGTTTGATCCTCATCGCTCAGATATTACTTCCCAATATTTCGCTCAAGAAACTCTTCTAAGTTTGTTGTGCTCTGCCACCGTCTCATCACCACTTGACAAGCCCTCCCTTTCACGCACTCATCAGGTCAAGCTTTGACGACAACTTTATGTTGTTCGCATCATGGCATTTCGGATTTCATGCACGCACCTGAGCATTTAGTCCGATATGGGTCGTAGGTTGGAATCGTTGTTGCATCTCACAGGTTTGAATTATGGATATACCAATCAGCTTCAATAATTGTAAGATCTTTCATCCATCCCTTCTGTGAGGCCCGTGAACGCCCCAAATTCTGTAGTGTACTTCAATCTACCAGGCTGGGGAGTCCAAATTACACCCGAGCAAGGAGAATTAGCATTCGTCACGACAACCCCCCCCTCTTTTTTCTGCGGCTGGACTAGGCCAGCCCCGGTGTCAAGAAGGATCCTCCATGCTACCAACCGTTCGCATTCATCGGCATCTGACCACCACCATTATCCCATCCGCCCTGAGTTATGACGTTATTGCCATCATCCCATGAATTCCCCTTGTCGCGGTCTGCAGAGCTGTCGCCATGGTGGCTCTTCTTGTTTCGCTGGTTCTCCTGAATCTGGCCCGACTTTCTGCTTGCATCATCCTTCGCGCTGGACGCGCCATTGGCACCACGCTGAGAGGAGGGAGACCATGCCGCTTGAGCTCCATGAGCTTTGTTGTCTGCAACGGGCGAAGAAGTGGCGGCCGCATTCTACTCCATGCGTCAGCGAGCAGCCAGTAGGGGAGGAAGCAAGGACGAAGTAACCCTTGTTCGCAGTAACTCCACGATCACATCGTCCTTCGACATGCTAGCTACGCGCTGCTTGTATTCCTCTTCGGTTTCCTCGATGCTGGATCCCAGGATCTGCTCAAGCATTGCTGGCTGATGTGTCAGTGTCAAGCTTATCTAATGTATTGATCCAAAGCGGTCATGTTCAGTACAGTGGATGCTTAACTTACCCCTGCTCCGGTACATGAATCTGAAGACTGCATATGGCTTCTCGATTGAATCTAGATATTCAACGCTCTTCACGCTATGCGTGTACGCCACCCCCTTGCCCGGTCGCACCTGAGTATCCACCTGTTGGCGCTCCACGGTGTCTCTTGAGATTTTGTAGCACGGTTCTTCCGGGGCGATGAAGACCTTTTCGGAGCGATGGCGATGGGCTTTCGAGGCTGAGGAAGAAAGATCGTCGGGGGTCGCGTTCCAGGTAGACCAGTAGGGGCGCGTATTAGGTGAATTTGTCGGAAGGAGGGGTTGAGAGGTGCCAGGAGTCTTGTAAGGGACGGTGGTCGATATGTGAGCCTTATGCTGGTCCTCATTGGCCTTCGGAGACGACTCATCTTGGTGTTTCGGAGTGTTGCTGACACCCCAGGTGTCATTGTTGTTGTTCTTGCTCTCGTCTTCCTGCTGGTTCGATCGTTCGGTCGTGTCCCAGGCGGCATTTTGATTATTCTCTTGTTCGTTCGTCTCATCAGCCCCGCCCCAGGTGCCGTTGGCCTGCTCATTGTTATCCTGGCCGTTAGAGGCTGCGTTCCAATGGCCATTGTCACCTCCGTTGTTCCTGCCACCTTCGTTGTTTGAGTTGGAGTTCCAATCTTGATCCTGACACTGACACTGCTGGTCCGAGTCGTTTACTTTGTTGTCATTCTGCCAGTCGCCGTGCTGACCGCTCGTGCCATTGCCATCCCAGCCGTTACTCCCTTTGTTAGGCCCGTCGTCCCAGTCGTTTCCATTGCTTTGATCACCAGAGTCATCCTGGTTCTGGTTGTTCGAAGTCCAACCGCCGCCGTTCATGGCGTTGGCACCGGAATCGTTGCCATGCCGGGACTGAGACTTTTGATTGCCATCGCCATGCAACTGGCAGGAGCTCTGCTTAGCATTCCCATTGTTGAGTTTGTCATTGTGACCCCAGTCGAGCTGCTCGTTGGAGCCCGTCCTTTGTGAGTCTCCTAGGCCAGTCTTGTTTCCCTGGTTGGATCTCTTCCCACTATTGTCCAACCGGACGTTGGAGCTGTTACCGATGGCGTTGGCATTGTTCTTGATATTCCGCCAGCCGTGGCCGCTATTGTGACCGGACTTATCTCGCTTTTCATGGTTGTGGCCGGATTGATTGCGGGCGACCTGGCCATGATTTGCTGTATTAACGCCTCGACGCTCTGCCGCAGCACGCTTTCCGCTGCTATGAGCGTTGATCCGCTGACTGGAGCTTGTATTGTCTCCCCCGCTGTGTGAGGCGCTGAAGTCATTGCCTTTTCCGCCAGTCTTGCTCTGGCTGCTACCGGAGCAGGTGCACTTCAACCGGTCTGACAGGTCGGGAGAGTCGCATTCTTCATCATTGCTAAGACCATGTTGGACACAATATGCCCGAGGACCTGGTCCATTGGAACGGTCTCGCATATTGTCTTGCTGCGGTTGATGTACGTCCAAATCGTGCTGACAATAGCTGGGATGGTGGCTATGGGAATGGTCAGAAATACGTCTCTGACGGTTCGACTGGATGTCAAAGGGCGCGGTTGGTCCCTGATATCTGTGCGAATTGACTCGACGGCCAGTTTCAGAATCATCAGCGCGGAAATCCAGTTCGTAATGCTGGCGTGAAGGGTTACGCCGAGCTTCAACGTCTGATCTATTCCAGTCCAAGCCCACCTCTGAGGATGATGACGCTGCTCGTCTAGCCCTGGACTGAGTGGCATCTGCGAGGTGAGTCCGTCCGCTGGTCGCGTTGGGATAGAGGGCATACTGGTTAATGACGACCGGAGGCGCATGGCTAGGAGGGGATGGTGCTGGAAGCTCGTCGAATGTTGTCTTGTTGGAGAATCTTCGAGACGACTCCAAAGAGGAGCTAGGAAGTGTTTCAACACGTGAGTAGGAACTGCTGTCTCTGCGCCGCTGAGGGTGGGGACATTCTCGCAGGTGCCCAGAGTAGCTGTGTTGTTGCCAGTCACCATCGTAATAATTGAATGAACGGCTGTACTCTTCCCGCCTCGGGCCAAAATCATGGTTAGAAAAGCGATTATCTCGCGGTGGGGACCGTCCGTAGTGGTAGCTGCCAGTGCGGTACCCACCAGTGCGTGGGGGACTGTACCCATGGCAGTAACTCCCACCGTCTACCGTTGGACGCAAAAGTTTCTGGGGTGCGCTACGATACGTATTGGTCCAGTCACTCCGACGCTCATCATGGTAAAGACCTCTATTATGGTAGTATGGCCGGCCACGGTCATCGTTGTTTCCGTCGTACCCGAAGTTGGTTGGCAAATCGTTAGCAGAGCCGTCGAAGAGACCAAATATGCCTGAAGCGCTGCCTACGTCTGTGTCTGCTGCTAGCGATGCCTGCTGTATAGAAACCAAGTTCGAGGAAATTTGCTCTACAGAAGCTGGCCCCCGAGCATTTCTGGCTGGATTTATGCGTCGCGCGACGTTCCCCCCTGCGGGCGCCATGCGGGATATCTGATCCGGCGGTGCGTCGCGAGTGTCTCTGCATCGAAGCACAACAACTTCAATAGTGCCGATATTGCTTGGTACGTCAGGATTGAGGGCTGATTGTTCATCTGCTGACACTGCGAAGTCGTTAGTCATTGCAAACTGTAAAGTGTTTTCCTGAGAGAGTCAGTGACAAACCGATGTCAAGCTTCTCGAAGCGCCACTCGCGAGCAACGAAGGTTCCGTCACGGTTCTTCGTTTCCTTTTGACGGACACGAAAGTCAAGGTCGTTCACCTCTTGATTTATGGCCGCCCGCCCGAGCCTGCACCCGCCCTTATTTCGATTGCACTGATACAGGCCATCCATGTAGATAAACATGGCAAGTCCAGGGGCGATGTAACCCTTGGAAGTGAGATGGATGCTGAAACTGATTGGAAAGTCCGGAACGGCGACAAATGTCTCGACGAAGCCATCACCGTAAGTGGTGTTGTACTCACGCAGCTTGTCGTGTGAGCTCGCTAACTCGATGCTGCAACTGAGCTGCTGCAGGCTCGGCATTCTGTGATGTGGGTCGGCTTGTACCTGGTGCTGCGCGTTGCTCTTTCGCTAGTGTTTCTGCTGCGGGAGGCTTACCTGAGCCGACAGGCGCGGTGTGACGGGCAATGTATGTAGAAGAGAGGCGCGAGGATCAGGTGTTCATTCGAAGAGTCACGCGCAGGGTGGGTTCCAGGTCGCAGGGTGGGTTGAGGTTATTCCGGCTTGAACGTAGTGGAATACTGCAATTGACTGAACAGGGGTGGAAGCTTGAGATGTAGTAAGACTTGACAGTGTGAGAACTTGAGGCTCGCTCGCTGAATTGACGGTGTTGCACCAGACGTGTCTTTCTTACTGGCAGTTGTGGAGACTGGTGCGCAGCGAGTGCAAGAGATACTTTAATACTGTTGAGGTACCTTTTGGACATCTCCGGGCATGACAGATAACAGACGGAAGCGTCTCTTACGCTTCACATTCCACGTCGAAGGCAGAGAGGTAAGCGGCCGCAAGGCAAAGACATAACAGAGGCCATCAGCTTGATCGAACATCCACCCATGATTACTTGGTACGTGTATCAGGCCTCCCTTCACTAAAGGGTGAATCGCTCGCAATATCACGAAGCAGCACCGACCCTCGCTCAGCGGCCGTCCCCAGCAACCGGGCTCCTCTTCATGCTCTGCAGGACAACTTCTTCGAGTAGCGGACGAGCATGAGGTCGACCGATTGAGTGCGCGACAGCATCAACCTCTGTTCGGCCATCGAGGTCGGCGACAATCAAGCCAACAGAGCTAACCGGATGCGATTTGTCACGTGACCGACAAGTGCACAGGAACACCGCAGGCAAGCGACGACTTAACGTAGGCACTGTATTTCGCTGCTCTGATGCCGGCGGCTCTACTATTCGAGGTTGAGAGCAAAGAAGACTCAACGGGGCGTCGCTGACAGATCTTGGAGAAGAGGTCGCCAGCATTCCTAGGTCCAAGCCAATCCCTCCCAACCGTATGGCGCCTGGCGTTGACCCGCGCGCCGCAAACAGAATCAAGATGGACCAGCAAGTGGATATTGCCCTTGCGCAAGTTTTGGTAACTCTACCCTTGCTGGAGATCATAACTCTTTGTGCCATAATGCCGGTAACCCTCCGCCGCTGCTTACGGTACGGTAGACATCAAGTGCAGCCGAAAACAGTCAAAGAAGTCTGACGGTCTGATTATTCTCCACGAGGCTGAGTTTGTAGTCGCACAACGTCTGGAGGAGCCATTGTGTCTGATTCTCTGTCTAATTGCAATATATGTATTTCAATCCCTCGCCCTACAGCACTCAACGTGCGTGCTATAAATATTGCCAGCAAAGGGGATCTTAGGTCATCAACTTCCACATCGCTTTTTAAACCGAGAGTGTACCGCTGCATCCGAAGACACCTAACGCGAAAACGAGATAAAAAGAATCGAAACGCATGATACGCGCATAAGAATTCCCCTACGCCGTCACCTCTCCCGCTCGTCGACGTACAGAAGCGGTCAGTGTGTGTCCCACGGCGGAACAATTCCTACAGCCTCTTGATCTCTGTAAGCTTGGAAGAGCCCCAAAGTGCGAAAGCGGCCTACATACAAGGACTATACGACAGAGCAATGAGTTTTCCGGCCGGCGGCAGTTTTGCCAAGCAAAACTTCAGGATCGTCAAGTCCGGCTCAAGCGCTCCACGGTCCGTTCCAAAGGAAAGCGGTAGGAGATGTAGAGAACGAAGCCAGAGTATGAGACCCATGAGGAGTGGCTCTAAATCTTCCCAATTAAGAGAAACTGGAACGCTAGTTTTGGACGAAGATGATGACAATTACCGATTCTCCACTGGTTTTCTGGGCCGTATCCGCATCCAAGAGACACTAGAGACCAAAAGAATACAAGTGTTGAAGGCAGACACCACGGATTTCATGAGCGGGTCACTACCTGATGCTCCTGAGTCAGTGGCCATCGCGCCCATGGAGATGTATAGCCCAGGACAGCCTCCACCACTGCGTCTGCAGTCAGCGCAACGAACAGCCTCGCGGCCTGTAACCCCTAGCAAACATCGTGCGACGGCCTTCCCGATAACGCCGATAGCGACAGACCTAGCTGCTTTTTCAATGCTAGCGTCATTCTCCGAGCCGCCGTCTGCTGACTCGAACGCAGAGTACTCCCCAGGCGGCACGGCAATCAAGCTTCGAAGCGGCTCGGTCCTGACCGTGGTAACCCTGGAGCAGAATGCCTGGCAGCGCTCCATATACATGCACGGCCCGGTCCGGTTGCAGAAGCCAGCGGTCCTGTTGAAGAAAAACTCCATCGCATCACTCGATGCGTTTCAGGATGCCTTGGAAACACACCAGGAAGAGACATCTCGCCGCACCTCGGATGATACGGCGGTCGATGACCTCGTCGATTTCATGGACTCTTTCGGCTTTGAGCTGGACGAGTATTGGGACACAAGACTGAAACCTCAGCGAGTGCTTCCTGCTTCGGGAGAACGAGGACCTATATTACTAGGTGAACGGCGCCCTACTCTGCCGGGTTCCCCGTTCAAGGAACAGTTCATGTTCGCCTCTCCTACCGGGAGACACTCAACTCGTACCCTTTCACCTGATAGACAACGAATTCTTAACCTCGCGCCCGACCAGCCTGAGAAACCCCTGCCGGCTCTGCCGCCCCCGGGTAGCGCTCTATCGCCAACGTCTTCATCTCAGGTAGCGCTACTTTCGTCGCCTAGGCCACCACCGCCTATTCCGTTGCAAAGGGCGCCACGGTCGTTGTCGCTGTCGACGCCAAGGCCAAGTCCGCCGGCCCGGCCATCTCCGCTTGAGTCGCCGCAAAGAATGAAGTTAAGGCGGTTGATGATGAGTGCTTCATCGATCGTTTAGAAGCAGGATGTGCTTTGACAGACGTCGAACTCGACTTTACAGCGAAAAGGCACGATATCAGTTCTTGTACTGGGGTTGAGGGATGCTTCCGGTAGCGATTCGGCGAGTACGGCCATTGCGGTCACTAGGAAATGAAACATTCACATGAAACCTTGAATGCATCACACTGAAGACAAAATGCCGTTGTGCAATCTTTGGGCGTCAAGCGTGAGGTTCGGAAGTAACGACTGTGGGCTATCCTGTAGCAGCGAGCCAAGTTCAAAAGTGACAGTCTGAACACTGCTCTGGGGTTCTCACAACCCAAATTACAGCCTCGGATTGAGCTCTGCAGATAGGGAGAGTCAAAGATGGGGCAGCAGTGGTAGACACTCAACAAGAGTTGGACTGACCCCGGCTCAGCGGTCGAGCAACTTGGATTGCAGTCTGCCAATCGCCATCCCATGGGCGAAGTGTGTGGGCCTGAATCTGTCTCTAACATTCTGGATCCAAGGAGGTGATCTGATGAATCCACACCCTAAACCACACCCAAAATCGAGCCAATCGGGTTCATTTTACTGCGCTGTTGCCGCATGGAAAGCCATACCGTGAACGTGTCTGCCTCGTTGCCTAACAAGTCTCAACGGGGAGTGTGCCGGTCAAGTGACGAACCTTGCACCTCAGCGCCCAAGATGCCTACGGTTTTGCTCATGCAGCGATACGGACATCGTGCCGTTAGGAAAGAGTGATCCTCCAGTCACACAACTCGGCTCACAATAAATGCATGTAACTACGAGTTACGCTACGTGCTGCAACGTGACCTGGGCGCATAACGCGCTGAATGGTGCTGCTGGGTAGCGAGCGGAGTTTCGAAAGTGAGGCAGCCAGTGGGAAACGAAGGCGGGCGCTGGCTTTCATGAAAGGCCAATCGCTTCTCGCTGTGTTGCTGTGTTGCTGTCACCACTCGCTCCTCCAGACGGTCCCCGACGGGTTGGTGCAGCACTTGCATCCTCTCAACTGCCGGCTCGCTCTTCGTCGTCCATTCACGAAACACAGCCAGACCACCAGCGTCATCGCCGTCGGGCGTCGTGCCTCTCTGCCTCTCTGCCTCTCTGCCTGCTTGGACGCCCTTGTCGCACCGCTTGCTCTCGCCCGCATCGGGACGGCGTTGCAGCACCTGCTGAGCTGGCGCTGGTAAATACCTCGCCGCTCCCTTCCCCCCCTCGATCGTCTTCGTCCGCCTCGCAATCGTTGCCCCTCCTATTCGTACTCGCAACACTCTGCCACTTCCAGATACCAGCTCTACATTACTGTAAGTTTTTGCAGTTCTCGCTCTGAGCATGGTGTGTGCACAGGTCACAGCTTGCTCACCAGTCGAGTAGCAGTAGCAGCAGTAGTAGCAGCAGCAGCAACACCACATCCTGCGTCTAACGAGCCTCTCGACATCCGTTGTGCAGCAGCAACGATGACGGCCTTCTCCAACACTGATATCCTCGCTCAGATACTCCCACAGGAACGACAAGCCTTCTGGGGGAGCAATTCACGCTGCAACGAGGATACGCAGCAGCAGCTCTGGAACGATTACCTGGCCTCGCTTTCCCTCAACGACAACTCTATGGCCGGCTACGTTCAGGCTCCGCATGTTCCTCGGAATTCGTACTTTATTGCATCGTCGAGTAGTCGTCCGGTCTCTGTACGCTGGTCTCCGTCTCTTTGGCTTCCCGTCCGCTCTAACACCTGGCTAGGGCCACAACATCCCTCGGACGATGACCTGGACGCCGTCCGCTCCGGAGAGCGTGCCGATGATGCGAACTCCGTCCTCTGCCTCGGCATATAGCAGCGGCGACTCCTTCTCGGCACCCACCACCAACCGACCGGCCGCTCTCGCAATGCTCAACGCCTCGCAATCCTACAATGAAGAGCCTTTCAGCGCCTATACCCTGGCTTCCGGTCCTGCATTGCGACCACGTAATGCGAAGCGACCTCTCCCCTCCTTGGCCGAAGCGGACGTCTACGACGATTTTCCCAGCTTCGTTGCGACCATGTCGCAGACTTTTGATGGATCTAGTAGCCTACCGACGACACTGCCATCTTTTGACATGGCTACGACTCTTCAGCAAGGCACTGCTCGACTTCAGACGCCACTGAGTGAGTCTTATTCACCAAGCACTATGTCAAGCGGTGAGCTCCCCTCTCCTTCCACTTTTACAAGTGGAATGAGTCGCCAGAGCAGCATCGCAGGTGCCACTTTCGTAGGTTCATTTGAGGACACGATGCGAGTCCACGATCTCTTTGCTTTTGATAGTACCGAAGACAATGGCTTCAGTTCTGCTTCTGAATCTGTCAAGCCTACCAGCTTGACAGAAGTTGATCCCTCCCATTTTCATAGCTCGCCGTTTGGTTCTTTCAGGGACGAAACTATTTCATCATCATATTTTCCTTCAACTGCTTGTGCTTTCGCACAACCTTTTCAGTCATTGACCTCCTTGTCGGAAGACATGGAGCGTTCAGCGTCGACTCAGAGCAACGACTCAACATCGAGTCAGCCTCGTTCGTCTCGGCGACGCCATGAACTTCTCGCTCATGGCACGCGGCCTATTGCGCCCAAAGTGGCAGAAAACAAGGCGGTCATGCTACGGCAGTCGTCAGACCATGCAATGATGCGCATCAAGTCTCAAGATGGATCATCGAAAGACGTTGCTATCATCCCGAAACAGCCTTATGTACGGCCTACTCACCCGAAAGTCTACTGCACCATGTGTATCGACTGTCCCGGCTTTCGCGGCGAGCATGAGCTGCGTCGACACACCGATCGCCTCCATTCGAAGACCAGAAAGGTGTGGGTTACTGTAGACGCATCTCACGACGGTAACTTTCTAAAAGGCTGCAAACAATGTCGTAACAGCAAGAAGTATGGCGCATACTACAACGCCGCGGCCCACCTCCGTCGAGCGCACTTCAACCCTCGTAAGCGCGGCCGCAAGAGTAAGGGAGACGAAAAGCGCGGTGGTAAAGCTGGCGGCGATTACCCGCCAATGGATTATCTGAAGCAGAACTGGATGAAGGAGGTCGAAGAGCGTGTGCCACACAACTACGTAGATGATGTCGAAGATGAGCCAACAGAGCAGCTCGACACCGAAGACCTCGTCGCCAATGCTGTCGAAGACGCCGACTTCAGCATCACCGCATCGCACTCTGCTGCCTACTCCATGCTACCACCATCAGACCCTATGGCACTATATCTCGATAACTCAGCACCCTGCACACAATTTGACACTGCTCTGGCCGGCACACAGCAAAGCGAGTACAACATGATCGATCCGTTCGCCTTCTACCAACTGGTCCCCAATCTCGGCTCGACCATCGACGACGCTTCGGTGTTTTCGCATCAGCACGGTGCGCAGTTGCAGGCTGATGCTATGCTTGTGGTTAACAGCACCGGTTCTTCTGTCCAGGAACCAATCCAATTTCACTCTTCATTTTTCTCGCCTTGTTTCTGACAGCGTCAAGAGCGGCTTTCTGTTCCTCTTATGTATACAGTTATTCGATACTATGGATGTGTGACATGCTGCTGGTGGATTACTGTACAGTGTGGTTTTCTGTTGGGACGGTGCTGGATGTTTATCCTATCAATGGCGTTCCGGTCCTTGTGAAATTTATAGTCCCATTGCACATGGCGCAATGGAAGATATTCGTTGGGAGGGTACCATGGTACATATTGTATCACTCTTCGTGGATATTTCCTCTCGGCTTTGGTCCGACCGTGCTACCTTTCGCGGCAATTTTCGGATTTTACGTCATTTGTTCACAAGGAGTCTCCGGTCCGCTTCTACTATATGTACTTTGTAAAGCCGTGGAAATAATACGAAGCTCCTTTGAGAATCGGCGTGTTTGCACCTTGCATGTCCGCTGTATCCAACCACCCGGCGCAAACCCCACTCTCCGCAGCAATGAGCGATGACCTATTGTAGACTACAACCCCACTATGACTTGTCTCCACTTGTTCGAATTGCTCATGTCGCGTACGGGAAAGCATCAAAGGAAGGCGGCGCGGATCAGACTGAGGCGTGTCGCAAGCTTCGATGACGTTTAGCCGCAAATGCGCGTATACCGACGTCATGACATTAGACACCCATTGAAGTTATCTGAGAGACCTCTACGTTCCTTCTAACGATGTTACGACACTTCGCCAGAGCAGCGCCGTCCATTCGAACCTCATTCCTTAGCAGATCCACATACACCATTGTTCGGACCATGGCAACTGGAAAGGCAGATAATGAGCAGCTCAAGGGCTCCAAGCTCTTCGACGTCTCCCATGTCACTGCCATTGTGACAGGTGGAGGAACTGGTATTGGTCTCATGATCACGCAAGCTCTTGTTGCGAATGGCGCAAAGGTTTACATCACTGGGCGAAGGGAGGAGGCGCTTGAAAAGGTGGTCGAACTTTACAATACTGGGCCGGGCAAGATAATTGCGTGCGTAGTCTGACACAGCACAAACCGTTGATCCGCTGACCCGTACACTCCAGGCTTCCCGGGGATGTCAGTGACAAGGCTGACGTTAAGCGCCTCGCCGACGAGATGGCCAGCAAGGAGCCCAAAGGCATTCAACTCCTTGTTAACAACGCGGGTGTCGCACAGGACGAAAATACCAAATTCTCCTCCGCCGGCCAGCCCGACATGAAAGACCCTGTAGCCATCTCCGAACACTTCTGGAAGACCGAACCCGAGCAGTGGACCGAGACTTTCAAGGTCAACGTGACGGGCGCCTACTGGATGTCGATGGCGTTCTTACCACTACTTGCAAAAGGACGGGATTCTACACCTGGCTACACCTCCAGCGTCGTGAACGTCTCATCCATTTCAGGGCAGATGAAAGGTTCGAGCATGGGCCAATTCGCCTACGCTTCCTCCAAGGCCGCTGTAACGCACCTCTCACGCATGCTGGCCTCGACCTTCGCGCAGACAAAGGTTCGCGTCAATGTCATTGCCCCTGGCATTTTCCCGAGTGAGATGACGGCAGGTGACTCTGGGGAGGACAACAAGTCAACGCTCGACATGGAGCCATCGAACCCGGCTGGCAGGCCCGGACATGATGCGGATATGGCGGCGTCGATACTGTTCCTTGCTGGCCCAGGTGGTCTGTTCTACAATGAGCAAATCTTGTATCCCGATGGAGGGGCAACACTCGTGCAGCCAGCGGCGAAGTGAGTGTGCGTATGAATATTCTTGTGGCACCTAAGAACAGCTCGATTTCTGCGTTCCATGTGGGCTGTCGTAGGTCTGCTTATTTTGAAACCAGAAACTGCAATTTTCGTGTCTGGAAACGAGGACTCTGAGGACTTGCAAGCGCAAGCGCAAAGCACAAAATTCATCGCGTCCTTGGCTCGGTGTTCGTTGCGGAGTCCGGATTATTAGTAAACCCGTCCGAATGCTTTGCATTGATCCCTTCGCCTAGCTCGCAGTGCTCGCCCAGAGACAATCACGGTAAACAACTTCCTGCGATACAATCTCTTGCATCATGATCTCTGCTGCAACATGGCCCAACAGTCACCCGATTATAGACGGCTTTGGCTTGAGGAGTAACGCAAACGAGAAGAAGCAGAGCGAGCCTTGAAGGAGAAACCCCGCGAGACAACACTAGGAGAGCAAGCCAAAGAACCACTAGATGAGAGAGCCCGCGAGACAATACTACCCGAGTTCCTTGACGCCTGTCACGTCCACCTCTACTCCGGTATCGCCGTTCAGACTGCGACATTGTCCACACGAGGCGACCCCGCCAATGCGAAGAACAAGATCCGACCTGAAAGAATCCGTGCATGGGAGGATTTCCCCGCACGGTGGGAAGCTATCTGGGACGCCCTTATGGGATCGGATTTCATACTGAAACGGCACCTCGCTTCACTTCACACATTAGAAGAGATGGAGAAGGCTACCCGCCGGAAGATAATGGGCTCAGAGCTGGACTTAACCCACTTCCAGCGGACCACCGTCGAGGACCACATATCATCGATCACCGAACAACTCTACAACAACCCTACACTTCGGCGGGAGTTCCGCCTTAAGGGTTCGGTGAAATTTGAAAATCATGCCAATACAAATGCAAGTACTGGAGATGCACAGCAAGGGCAGCGCCTTGGCGGTCGCCTTCTCGCTGGACGGCACATATCTCGAAACTAACTGTTCCGTCCTACGCCTGGACGGTGATGAACATTTTCTAACTCCGAATCAGCTGAGATCTGCTTCCAAACTACTCTTGAATGACAATTGGTTGGCTTTGAATGGCTACAACATGCTACGGTTGCCGCTAGATTGGAGGCCTAAATGCAGTGCCATTCACGGAAGTATTTTCGCTATTGACTGCTTATCTGGGCAAGAAGTATGGATTAAGTTCAACTTGGAGCGGACGGCGTAACTCAGTTGTATTCTTCTCCGTCGCTCTACTGAGTGAATTCGATTAGGTTTATAAGCTCGAAGCTCCCTAGGCTTGGGCCTTTTGGTTATTCGTATCATGCAATCATCAGCTCTTGCGCTGACTCCTCATTAGTCCTAGTTGTAGAGGCTTCGCGCACCCCGAACGCTTTCATTGGTATCCGTTTCACGATCTCGGGTCTTGCAGAAATCGCTTCATCGCGAAGCCAGCCTCTGACTCTGCGTAATGCGACGGAGCGCTCCATTTTTTCTTCTCCGCCTTCTTTCGTTTGAGACGTGTGCTACAGCAGCGGCATAACAGTATGGCGAGGCCAGCAAGGACTGCGAGAACGATTATGCCGCCAATCGCAATGCCTGCCTTTGCGGCTGTGCTGAGGCTTGAATCGTTGGATCCCGCTGGACTGTTGCCTCCGCTGGACACTATAGTGCCGCTGGTATCCGTAGGAACGCCGAAAATATTTGTGCTCGCCGCCCCGAGAAGGTCCGTTGTTCGTGTATTAGCGGTGCTCCCAGCCTCTGGAGTCACTGATCAGTCCTTCGTACACGTGATCGTGGCTTGGGTGAAGGTCTGAATAAGCAAAGGTCTGACTTACTGACTGTAGATGTTGGCGTCGCGAAAGCCTTCACGATGCCACCGGTAGCGCTACATGCGAAGCTTAGAACTCCGGAGGTAGCTGCCTTATCAGTGACTAGCATGTAGCCTACACATGAAGGGGCGGATGCATCACTAGATACCGTGAAGTTAACTTATGATCTTGCGTAGCCGACAATCACGCGGGTGCAGGAAGACCGGAATAAAACTCACCACTGAAGGTATGAAGTGTAGACCACCGAGCAGATACTAGCCATAGGGCATCCGGTCCCAAGGTAGTCATTGCAGGTAGCATAGGCACCTGTGCAGCTGGTGTCATCGCAACATCCTATGTATTGACCCGCAAGGCCAAAGCTCAGCTGTGGTGTAAGCGTTCCCGGACATGAGAGCGGTGAGTCTGGTGATCGGGTCAATGACGGTTCGGTCGCGACGGCTCCTCCATGACCTACTGCTTTTTCCCCCAATGTAAGCCCAAACATAGTCGTCGCGCTTCGCAAGTACAGGTGCAGGAGTGATCTTCGCAGCCATGATATTGTAAATGGGATGTTCAATGTTAGTCCAGAGGCGATGCGGACTCGGAAAGCTGGCAGCGAGCTGCGCATTATTAAGAACCGATTGTCTTCCATTTAGGCGAAGCGTAGGTAACGTGATTCCCCACTTGATAACCGATTCTACTTAATAACCGATTTTTCCGACCCGAGTAGTATATGAAAACGCAGCTGTAATAGTTTATTACTAAGTTTATTATTCTAATATATTATTTATTCTAGAAAGAATAGCTATAGAATTTTTTAAGCTACTAATAATTTTACTAGTAGAAGATATTATAAGAGTAACTGTATACTATATCTAAAATATAATCTTAATTAAACTATAATTTTATTTACATCTTACTAATATAAAATCGAATTAAAAGTTTTTTTATTAGAAAGTTTTATATTAAACGCTAGATTTTATAAAATAGTAAGAAAGATTTAAAATACTTATTAACTACTAGATATACTATTTAGAAAGCTATATATAAAGTTTCTTCTAGAGTTTCTCTATTTCTTTTTCTTTTAATTTTTTCTTAGATTTAGTAGTATATATTTACTACTTTTACTACTATAATTTCTTTTTACTCTAGAATTATAAATTATAGTAGCTATTTAGTAATTTTTATTTTATTATTCTAATACTAGTAGTAGCTTTTATTATATTTAATATATTAGATATAACTCTAAGATTTTAGCTATATAAAGCTTATATTTAAGCTATAAGCTACTTATAAGCTACTAAAAGTTTAATTAATTACTTTAAATATCTTATTATAAACTCTTATAGAGTAGGTTATAAGTAATATAATTATAATATAGTATAACTAGGTATAGTAGATAGATATATTTAAAGAGCTATATAGAGTTATCTATAGATAGTTATATTAAAATAGCTAAGAATAAGCTTAGTAGATAGAGAATAAAGTACTCTACTCTAGTCTTTCTTAGAGAGTAGTAGTTTATACTATTTTAGAATAAAAATTATATCTACTAGTATTCTTAGTTTATCTAATTCTTTCTTTTTAATATATTTAGTATATTTATAGAGAATTCTAAGAAATTTTAGTAACTAAACTACTTACTAAATAGCTTAATAGCTTGTTTTGAATATTTAAATAAATATTAAACCTTATTTAAGTATATTAAGTATATAGAATATATAAACTATATTAGATATACTAAGTATTTAAAATATATAAAGCTGGATTTAGTATATAAGATTTACTTATATCTAGCTTAGATTTAGTTAATCTATAAAATATAACAACAATATAACTTACTAGTAGAGTAATTATCTCTTAGATGTACATAGTAATTTCAATCTATCTACTAACTAAGCTATTCTATCTTATATTTACTACTAGAAATTGATACTCGCTCTAGAAACTACTTAAGGCTCTAGGATTGCAGTAAGTACTAGTTAAAATCACGGTATCAGGTATTTTCGGGAGTTGCAGTAAGTCGTAACATCGATCTGTATTTCGTACTTCAAGCCATAAAGTTTTAGGTGTGCTGCGCAAAACTCGTGAGAGCGAATAGTTCGAGTCTGGGCCTTGCAAGGGGCGCAGCCAGCACATACAGCTGAAGTTCCGCAATGCAGGTGCCAAGTAAAATCGACCAATCAAGCACTGCGTGCTTCATCTTGCGTGTGGTCAAATTTCTATTTCGGGATTCAGTGTGTTCAGCCTGATCAGCCCGTCCTGAGGTGGGCGCCTCCCTGAAGCCCAGCCTTCTAGTCATCATGTGAGCAGCGCAACCGTTTTCCATCGCTCTCGCGGTGACCATCTGGTCCGAGGCGGGGCTCCAAAATTCATGCTCGGTCTTTTTACTGATTTTCGGCGCAGAGACCCAGCATAACTTTTGGAGCCCCGCCTCGGTCTCCGCTCACAAGTCCCTCTCCCTTTTGCGCGCGAAAGTATACCAGTCATCGGAAATCAAGTGTGCAATGTCGATATCTCATCCTAGTCTGTTGTGTTTCGATGGTGGTGGTGTTCGTGGTCTTTCTTCGCTGTATCTTGCCAAGCAGTTGATGGAGTCAATTAACCAGGACGCACCGCCGAAGCCATGCGAGGTATTCGACATGATTGGAGGAACGAGTACTGGCGGGTAAGTCTATCTTTTCCTGCAACAGAGCATTAAGCTGACATAGCGAAAGGCTCATTGCGATCATGCTTGGGCGGCTCGAAATGTCGGTCGATGAATGTATCAAGCAGTACATCGCGCTGTCGAGAACGGTGTTCAAGCGTGAGCATTACCTGCCGTTCAGGAAACGGGATGGTAGCATTCAGGCTCGATTCAGTACTTCGGCTTTGGAGGCTGCGATCAAAAAAATAGTGGCAGAAAGCGATGTTGCGAAGGCCGAGGGTTCAGGAGAAAACGCTCTCATGAGAACCAAGTCACGCACAAAGTGTAGAACGTAAGTCTGGCACCGCAATGACTAATAATTGTGACCACGGTTAACATTTCTACAGGTTTGTTGTTGCTCTTTCTAAGCACTTCGCCGATGATCATGCCGTGTTCTCAAGTTACAGTCGCCCACGAGAAGCGGACAGAGAGCTGTTCGATAACACAAAGATCTGGGAGGCTGCCAGAGCTACATCGGCTGCATCGACGTTCTTCGATTCCATCAATATTGGCGATCCTCCCGTGAGCTTCGTAGACGGCGGTGTGGGCCGTAACAATCCACTACCTGTTCTGTGGGATGAGGCCGGAATAATCTGGGGAGGACGAGACGGCGATCAACTAGATGCGCGGGTGCGGTATGTCGTGTCCATCGGTACCGGGATGTCGTTGCCCGGGCCGTTCGGCAATAACCTAGTCGCGGTCTTTGAGACCTTGAAAGCCACCGCCACTGAGACCGAACAGACAGCAAATGCATTCGTACGCAACCATAGGCGCTTGGTTAGAGAAAATCGCTACTTTCGCTTCAACGTCACACAGGGCCTTGAGGATGTTGGGCTAGAGGAGTATGATAAGCTGTCCACTATTCGTTCGGCAACGACGAGATACGGCGAGGATCCAATGGTGCAGATGGCTCTCATTCGTTTCGAGGACACTGTCATGGCTGCAAGACACGACGGCGCAAGTAATAGCAATGTTAGTGGTACGTAGAGCTTGAATCGGTGGTAAAACCTCATGCAAGTATGTCTCTTACGTTGGCTAGTACTTGATACCGTATCGCAGCCTGGTGTTAGCCCACAAGTCAATGCCATTTCGCACAATCCTGCTGAACGTACCAACCTGAGGCAGCCGCACAATTCATCGTCAGAGTACTATACGCTTGACTCTTCTAGCAAATACTTCGCGAACCGAACCCATCACAGAATCCCAGATTGTTATTGGACACATCTGACGCCGGATGGCATGAGGGTATACGATCTGATGTATAGGGCCTGCATTGAGCATAGCGAAAGCTCAGATGGCACCTTAGACTGTAAGCTTGTTTTAGTCGATGAGAGATTTCGATTAACACGCACGTAGTCAAGACCTTTGCCGGCCAATTTACGAACCGGAATCCAAGGCCAGAACTCATTCGTGAGTGCTGGAGTCGATTGGGGACCTTGAACACGCAGCTCGACCGCAACCATGTTCTCGCCGTCATATACATGATCCACGTTGAAAGCATGCTTGAGAACGAGCATTTAGAGCGTATACAGGGCAGATCCGATCTCTCTGATCGGAGGCGCAAGATCATCAACCATTTCGGGGAATGGGTCGACTGCCACTGCCAGTGTGGTCGGAAGTGGAACTATGCTAACAGCGAATTCGGGATGCAACGGGATGTTAATAGTAAGCGGAAATGCGAGGTCGACCGCTGGATGCGCGCGACACGGGTAAAGAGATGGATGTATCCGAGAGGTGAGGAACTTGAGGCGGACAATCGACATATGTGGTTCGGACGCAAGTCCAGATGATAGAAAAACATGTCACCTAGACCCTTACTACCGAGCTGTGATATTGGAGACAGATGTGTTATCGCTATATCACAGTTTAAATGCAAATGATACTAGTATTCGAATATATTACAGGGGCGGCTAACTTAGTAGAGTAAGAGGATTCGTATAGTACTAGTATTAATATTAGTAAACGTAGATACTTTCTCGAAATATAGTATCTATTAGTAGGTATTTATAATAAATATAATATAATAGAGATATAATAGCTTTATATCTATAATAATCTATTATAGTAGACTTTGCATTAACTAGTAAATAGAAGATTTATTCTTATCTTAGTGTAAATAATTAACTATATAATTAGGGAAAACTCTTAACTATTATCTCTTTATATATAGAAAAGAATGATATATTAAAGAAGAGTATTACTATAAAACTCTTCTATATTTAGTAAAGAGTAAGCATCTTAAGAGATTATATTCTAGTAGTATATTATCTAAATCTAGTCTATTAAAGCTATAAGTTCTATTAGCTACTATTTAGCTTAATATTCTGTATAATTAAATACTATTCCTAAACTAAGATTACTAAAATACATCTAGTAAATCAAGCTACTATATCTTTAAAATACTAGAAAATATAAATTAATAAGAGTATCTAGCTTCTAAACTACTTATAAGCTTAGCTAGTTGCAAGTATCTAATTATAGAAATAAGAGTATATTACTAGAAGCTGAAATCTAGCTATTACTCTAAGTCACCTATTTTTTAAAATATATTTACTACTTCTACTTAGATTTCTAGAATCTATAAGAAGTCTATATAAATAATAGTTTGATACTAACATTGCAAGTAGTATAGTAAAGCTAAGTAATAGTGGTAATAGAGATATCAAAAGTTTATTTACATTTAATAGATACAATATAATATTTAAGTATAAAATAATAAGCTTAGCTAGTTAAATAATCTATATTAGTAAATCTTCTTACTATTTAGAAAAGTAGATTATATCTAGAGTACTTATACCTAATTAAAGCGCTTATAAATAGACTATCTCACTTAGAGTACTTAGAGTATTTCGAGTACTTAGATTAGCTAGAATATCTAGAATATCTAAAATATATAGAATATATAGAATATCTGAAATATATAGAATATCTAAAAGATTCAAGATATTCGAAATATCTAGAATAGTAAGAGCCACTTAGTAAGTAGATTAGTTAGTAGATATTAAATTATATTAATTAAATATCTTAATTACTATCTAAAGTAGGAAGCTACTATCTATATATATTTAAATCCTCTAAATCTTACTACTTTCTAGTAGATTCTATCTTACTAATTTATAAAATCTTTGATGCTATAATGAGTAATCTATACTATAAATTCTATCCCTCTAGAATCTTTTTAGAATCTTATAGAATCTTCTATAACCTAGTAGAATCTTTAGTAGTAAACTTAAATATTAAACTAACTAGTTTTACTATTTAATATCTAAGGCTAAGAATAGATACCTTATAGTTTCAGTAGGTAAAATAGACTAAGAACTTTAGAAATTAACCTTTAATACCTCTTCTTAAGATATAAGATTCTTAAACAAGCTGTTTGTATAGTAGTAATCTTTAACTAATCAAATAAATCTATTTTAATCTTAGAAATAAGATTATAACTTTACTAATATTAATAACATAATCTTAGTAATTTCACTACTAGTAGTATCCGACTAACCTAATTTAGTTATAGAATTCTAGAAATTTTTACTTAAGTAAGCTCTTATTAAATCTATCTATAATCTAATTAGATTCTTTAATAAAGCGCACTTAGATAGCACTTAACTCAATTACTCTATATATAATATAATAGTATATATTAATAAGTTTAATACCTAAGTAATTAGCTAGATCTTTGAAAATAGTTATAATTATGTTATATCTATAATATAATGGAGTAGTGTTTTACTAAATAACATTTTAATACTCTAATAGAGTATTTAAATTTAACTTCTTCTTAGCTCTATAGGTAAATGCTATATATTCGGCCTTATAGCTAAATAGAACTATACGAGAATAGAATCTATATTTAGCAATTAATATATTATTTTTTATATTTTTCAGTGAGATATTTAGTGAATTACTAATTTCTTTACTACGAAATAAGAGATTCTACTTCCTTTTAGTCTTCTTATTATAAAATAAGGGAACTTAGTATCTTAAATTATATTATAAAGTATTTTGGTACTATATTTTTATACTCTTCAAGGAATCTAAAACCTCGTTTCATTACACTAAAATATGTAGTGCTAAGGTTACTAATAAATTATAATAGCTTTCTGATATAAAATGCTAGATTAGACCTAGTAATTTTTATAAGATATAATAGGCTCCTAACCTATACTTAGTAAGCACGTGTTACTACTAAGTCTTATTCGTTATCGAATTTAACTAATCATAGGTTTAGCTTTATTAGTATAGCTACTAGATTACGTAATTAATAATAAATAAACCCGGTATTTTATCTATAAGCGCCTACTATAAGAGGTATCTAAAGCGCTTAATTCTATAATATATTATTTTAGTATTAAGATAAAAGTAGCATGGTTCTAAATCGCTTATACTAGGCTATTATTTAATCTAAATTTAATAGAATTGAGTTTCATCCTCTTTAGTATAAAAAGAAGAAAATTATCTATATAAATAGCTATAGTAATAGTAGTTTTTATATAAATAAAACCTCTATTATCTAGATTTAAGAATATAAAACTAGTCTCGCTTAGATATAACTCTACAATTTTATTCTAAATACATATAGCTTACTTTAGTCTATATAATATACTATCTAATCTGTATTTATAATTTAGGTTATTATGCTCTCTAAAACTACTTGGTTGTTCGATCCAAAAGATTTAAATAATTAACTATTTAAAAACTCTATCTTAATATTTATCTAATTAATCCTCTTATTCAGGATAGTAGCTAAGCTAAAGAGTAGCTTATAGCTTATCAGCTTAAGAATTAGAGCGAGATAATTGAAATAATTAACTCTAGAGATTGATTTATAGCCTTTTACTAGCTACTTGGCTTTATAATTCAAAATAAGGCTCTAAGAGAAAGGTTTTAAAGTCTATACCTAGCGTTCTTAAAGTATAATAGCTATTTTAGAGGTGTATACTAGTATATAAATATTTATCTCTAGTAAGAATTTTATCTTACTAAGTATAATTAGCTTTTATTAATTTTTAGAGGTTATTCTAATAGCTTTAGTATATATCCAAGGTTTTTTAGTAGTAGCTTAAAAGCCTTACTATTTAAATTAGCTAGATTAGCTAATTTGTTATCTAAATTAGAGCTAAGCTCTAATTTAGCCATAAGCTTACTATATATAGTAACCTTAGTTAAATATAGACTAGGCTTAATCTACTTAGATTAATATTATCTAGATATATCTAGAACTAAATACCAATTACTTTACTATAGTGTTACTATTATAGTCTAAAATAGTGCTATTACATAATTAATACCTAAAGTTCTAGCTTAAAACGGAAGCTTCACTTAGAGATAGAAGCTTTATATTTAGAATCGAAGCTTCATTTAAAATAGAAAATATAAAACTTTATACTTATCTAGTAGTAAAATTCTTAGTAAGAAAAAGCTAAGAATATTATAAGATAATATTAAGCTAAGAATTTTAGAGATTGTATTCTAATAATTAGTTGTTCTATTTTAATAGTTTAAATAGTCGCTCTTATATCTTAAATCTAATTAAACTATTAGTATATATATAAGCTTTAGTTAATTTATATAGCTAGTAGATATTACTACTATAATAACTTAGTAGTATTATAGGTAAGTGATTAAAGTATAGATTTCAGTAAGTGTCACAAATCCCTATAGGGTAGCCCGCGAGTAATAGGGTCGTAATATAGCGTAACTAGATATAGTAGATAGGTATATCTAATAAGCTGTATGGGGTTACTTGTAGTTAGTTATATTAGACTAGCCTAGAATAGGCTTAGTAGATATAGAATAAAGCACCCCGCCCTAGCCTTTCTTAGAGGGTAGTAGTTCGTGCTATTTTAGAATAGAAAGTTATACCTACTAGTATTCTTAGTCTACCTAATCCCCTCTTTTTAATATATAAACATCTACCTTAAGGTACTATAAGGCTATTAGTAATACAGCTATACTAAAAGCCCCTTAAGACCGCTAGTTAATAATAGACTCTTAAGAAACTTCTATAGATATAAGTGGAACTTTACTAGGGAAGTAATAAGCTAGGGCATTTAATATAGTAATTTTAACTTTATCTTTTAGATATTCCGAACCTAAATTAGGCTAGAAAGTAGAGGAATTAGACTATTAGATCTAAAGAGTCTAGATAGAAATTAAGGTATAAAAGAAGAGAGTAGAGCTTAAGCACCTATAAGAGGTGCTTATAGGTAGAATTCTCTTAGATATAGTTAAAGAAGAGCCTATAGCTCTATTAGAGCTACATATACCTATTCTAGCCTATACTATTCTAAACTTAGGCACACTACTATAGACGGTACCGCTATAGGGAATATACACTATATAGTTACCGCGCCTAGAGTATCTACTAAAGTTTAAGGGTAAAAGTAGGTAGTAATAGAATCTCTAGATCTAAGCGTGTAAACGCTATATTTTATGTTCTATAAGCTTTCTAATAGAGAAGATAAAGATATTATTTATAGAGTAGTATATAGGCTCTACTTAATATAAGGCCTAAAAGCGTTATAAGACTACTTTAGGCCTTTTTAGAATAATCTAGACAGCTTTAAAGACTTATATACTTAATTTAATAGGTAACACCTATAAAAGAGAGTAGAGGGTAATCTTATAGATTAAGTATATAAAATAGGCCTATTAAGACCTAATAACTATCTTAAACTACCTAAAGCTCTAATAGGCTAACTATAGTAAG